TGGAATTCAAACTAAACGGCACTGTGTGCCAGATGCGAGCATGCTGCTGAGAAATCACCAAATGGTGCCCTAATACTAATGAGATTCCTGGCGGACGGCCTGGCCTACATCAAAAACCAGCCAATGTTCATGTTCAAGCCGTGGGAATTGTAGTGCCCCAGCACCCAGCTGCGAGAGGGACAGGGAAAAGAACGAAGGACAAGAAAAGAGCCCCACCTTGGCAGATTGGAGGCAAGAGAAAAGGGAAGAGAAAGATAAAAAAGAAGTGGCGACGTCCGTGTGTAACCGGCGAGATGCAATAGGATGCCCAGGCTTGATCTTTTGCTGGGTTCAATGTTCTGCCCACCCACTCATCAAGCGGGACAAGGCTTCAATGCCAACGGGCAGCGCTCTTCTTGCATAGCTGATGTTGATTATGCCGATTTCTAGGTGGATTTCATCTATCAGAAAAAGAAAAGAAAAGTAGGAATAAAGAACTCAGCACCTGTTGACCATCAACAGGTTCTCTCCCGCGTCAAGTTCTTGAGAGTAGGTAGTCTTTTCCTCATTGATAGAATTTGAAGCTTTTGGTATGATTAAAACTTGCAGCGCAGGCTGGCGTGAAGGGGGTCAGGGGAAGGAGCACTGTGAGCAAGCTTGGGGCGTGTGGGACGGCTCGGTAATTTTTATGGAGACGCCCTTTCCTGCTGCTCTTTGCTTTCATGTCCTGTTCTGTTCTTGCTGGCATATCCATCCTATCGATGCATGCCACCAGCGAGAGAGTGGCTTTTCTCGCAAGCCTGGCAGAGAGAGGAAGAGAAGAGGAGAGGGAGAGAAGGAGCGAGGTGGGTCGAGAGCATGAGATGATGCCTGCGATTGGCTATTTCCAATCGAACCTGAAAGCGAACGAGGGCCCGGGTGTCAAGCATTGAGAGGCAGGAGGCAGAGGATAAGGGTAAATATCCAGACTCGGCGTGCTGCTGTCGATCCATTTTGGTGGACTGGGGTGGAGACGACAAGCAAAGAACGATGAGAGGTGGGCACCCGGCCGCTGCCATCTGTGGTACGAGCGCCATCCGAGGCGCTCCTCTTGATTGACCGGCGGACTGTCGCATTAGGGCATTCCTGAGGTTCCCGCATCACCTCAGGACAAATCGAGGGTTTTTTCTCTTTTTGCCTTTCGAATATTGGCTCGTCCTGCGTCCAGCAGGACAGGACCATGCACACAGTGCTTATGTATGAGACTAACCAGTGACATTACTCTATTGGGGAGAGGCAACAGCGCTAGACTAGTAAAAAAGAAAACAAAAAAGCGATTGCACAAATGAAAAGGATGAGAAATGGTGACCGCGGCATCCCAGTCCACAGTGCTGGGCGGCGGGCTGGACAGACAGCCATCAATGATCCATGCTGGCTGGCTGGCCAGGCCAGCCATGTCAGATGGATCAGTACTCCAACGCCCTCGTACTTTGCGGTAGCAGTGTCTAGGGTTAGAGGAAGGCGCTGTAATGGACCAGTCATTTCGAAAGCCCCTCTACAGCTGCTTGGGATTGCAGGTTGTAGAGACACAAGAGGACAACTCTCAGGGGGCCAGAGTTCAAGTACTCCTCTAACCTGTCCCAACATTTGCTCAGTCATGCACAGCCGATCGCCAAATGGAACTCCCACCAGCCCAAGCTGCAATGATCAATGCACCCGTGTTCCTTGATACGTCCTGCTGGCCAAGGCTCTCCTGACCACTTTACTTTTCTCTAATAATACACGATTACACTACATGAGAGGCGGGACAGGAAGGCGAGGCGAGAGGGGGAAGCCTTCAACACACACTCCCTTGTCACATTGTCTCGCCCTTGGCCAAGGTCAACATTCCATTCCGGGCCACCACTCCCCACTAATTAATGCTTCGGACTAGTGATGCTACCAATTACCACTGCAGACTGCAGCAGAAACCTCGTCTTTCTATTCGACGAATTGGCATCCATCCATTGATTCTTGTCAGAATGGATCTCTGGATGTCTCCCCCGTAGCCCTTGTCGGAGCCACAATGATAACCCCCAAAGTTCGCGCGGTCGCCTTTGGTTCGCGTTTCTGCCGGCCAACAAACAACATCAGCAAGGCCATTGCTCACCTGCTATCTTGGCTTCTTCGGAGGGGAGCCTGTGATTTACTTTTGCCTTCAAGTAGTCTTGGTGCTTGAGCTCCTGGAAAGATCCGGTCCTAGATCCCAAACTCACTTGAGGTTGCCTCCTCCATTGGCCGTCGTACGAGAAGTCGCCGTTCCATAGACTTTGCCCTTCCTCGTCTTTTTTTTGTTCATATTTCCCCCTCCATTTAATTCGGGACACTCTCCACCCACGCCCGAGCCGAGCCTCATTTGGTGTTGTTGGTGTTGCTCTAGCTTCCTTCCACCCTAGGCCGGTCCTGTTGACTAGCCCACAACCTCCCGCCGCATCATTGATCCGCACCCGCACCCGCACCGCACCACATTCACTACTTACTACCCACTGTGACAGATCGGAGCGGAGTGAGCAACAGGCTTATTACAACACGCACCGCAAGTACTCAACACACCCAGAACCTCGACCTAGAACTAGAGCAGAAGACCTACAAACTACCTACACCTTGGCCCCCCTCCTCTCCTTTGCTCCCCTTTCTCCATCCATTCTTGCCTTTTTTCCCTGACCACCCTGAGTGCTCCACGCCTCTAAGCTAGACTGATCTATGTTTGACTACCGAATACATCCATCCATGTAACTGAAAGGACATAATACCTCGTCCTTCTCTCGACTTTCACTTCCGCCCTGTCCTTCTCCCTTCCTCTTTTCCCTCCCCTCTTACACTCTCCTCTTTTCCCCTTTTTTAGTTTGTGTTTTTCTCCTTTCCTCCTTAGTCCCAATTTCGATATCTCCCTGAAGCCCTGTTTGCGTCTCATCATGCTCTCACCAGTCAGCCGCTTATCATTAGACGTCGTACTTCCCGTTCTTTGACACCTCTGGTGCTGATCTGTCGGCACCGTGCTTATCCCAGCTTAAGCCCCGAACTAGCCCTCCGAAATTTGGGACAATTGCACGCAACTGCGCCGTTGTCTTCAATTCCTCCCTTTCGATCCCTTGCTAGCCTCTTCACGAGCATCAGCTGTTGGTGCTGAGCCTAAAGTTGTCTCTTCTTCCCTCAAAATCTTAAGCCGCATACGGTTCCTCAAGATTCCCTCCCACCGGCCTTTTAGCGAACCCACATTTCTATCTTGTTGTTTGACGGGAGCCATCTTCTCTCGCATCACAATTTAACACGCGGTCCGAGTACTCAACTCTCTCCTCGTTTGAATTATTGTCGACTATCACCGACGGCTTAGTTGCTACGATTTGTTGTAGCCTCGAGCAAAGACTTAAAGAGTGGCCTCGGTGCACTTCGTTATTCACGGACGGAGACGTGAACTTGTGAGGTGCTCTTCCAAACCCATACGCCTCTCTAAGTGGCTGGCTTTTCCGACAGGAGTTTGCCGGTGGTGCGAATCAATCCTGCCCATCTCCCGTCTTGAAGCCTGGTCGACGTCGTCGTACCTCATCCACAGACCCGAACACCTGGCACGATTTTCTCGGCTTGCAGCCCACCCTCGGCGCATTTGCATTCCCTGCGGGCTAGACATCACTTACATCTCAGCATCTCTGGAGTCACGAGTTCACCTTACCGAAAATCCTTCTCTCCACGAGTTTTTGGGCCAGTCCATCGCGAATTTTCGTGAGCACAAAATTGAGACGGACAGACGCTCTAAAAGGCTAGCCCATTTTCCGGTAGCCAATTCTCGCCGCCACCGCCCACGAGCAGAATTTTTTTTTCTCCCTAAGCCTCTAGACACTGGAAATCTAGGCCCAAGTCTCTCGGCGCTATACCCGTGTGACTGTCACTCTTCCAAGCCCGCCGTATTGTTTTCGTCAAAGCCTCAGCAATATTAGTCACGATCACCAACCCCAACACCGGGCTGACTGACTTTTTGTCACTCCTCACTCTCGCCGACATCCGCTCCTACCTAGAACCTTTGCCACTCCGCGATCATCGTCACTGAGAAAGAAAGGGAGAAAAAGCCGCTGCTTCGCCTCCCTCCTTTCTTCTCAGTTGCCTGTGCAAATCCGCAGTTGAGCCTCTTCCCTACCATCAACGGGAGATTTGAGATTCCTCGACGCTGGAAGTGGGCGACGTCCTCTTTAGGTGTACCTTCCCATCCTGCCAAGAAATTCGGCAGGCGCACCCCCTCCTTCCTCACTTACACATGCTCATTTCCCACCCCGCGGCAACGCCACAACTTGCGTTTACATCATAGTCTGAGCTGTAATACCAGGATCGTTCCTTCTGCCGTCGGAGCCCGCTGACTGCCGGAACCCCACGCCCCAACAACGTCAATTCCAGCCCCCATCACCAAACTACCATCGCCCATTGTCCGCGTCGTCAAGGTGTGTTCGCATCAATTGTCGAATTCATCGACATCACCTGTCAGAAACCTGAAATTGATATTCACACTTTGCGACCGCCACCCCTTCTGCCTTTGCTTAATCGCGATTTTTCTTCTTTTTTCCCGCCTTACACCTAAACCAACTCTGGTATTTTCCTCCTGATTTTTAAGACCCTAGACCTTGGTTTCGGGAAAGGAAAAAAACAATAAGAGGACCCCGGAAAAAAAAGAAAAGAGCGAAGACGAAAGTCATAGGAACAAGACCCGTGCCAGAGAAAGTGAACTTATATCTCTCTTCTTTCTTCTCACGTCTTTCCCCTCCAAGCGTTTTCGCCAGACTAGGAACAGTAGACTCCTTCTGTCGCAACTGGACGAGAATCTCGGGGGCAGCGTACCAAACAAGAACGGGGAAAAAGAACCCCCTTCCAGGCGAAACTTTCCTGAAAGGCCAGCCCTCAGCGCACTCATCGTGACCTTACCCCCTTGTATTACTCTCAGCTCCCTTCTTTTCCCGCACCCTTTGCCCTCTTGCCTACTCCTCCATCACCCCAACTCGGTACCATCGCAGCACACCATGCCTTTCCAGAGGTCAAATCCCTCTTCGGAGACGGGCTCAAAGCCCTCTTCGGTTAAGTCTGGCCTTTCCCAACAAGAAACTGCCACAACCACCACAACCACCGGTTCCAAACCATCGACGGCAGCAGCAGCTACGCAGAACGGAAAAGCCGTTAATGGTACTTCTACACCTACCGTCGACGGGAAGCCTGTCGAAAAGGCTTCGGTGAAGGACCGGATCTCCCGCATGTTCTCGACGAAAGAAAACTCATCCACATCCAGGGCTGCTAGCGGAGTCTCGACTCCCACCCCTACGACGACGGCCCGTAAACCTTCTCACAGCGAAAAAGTCCCTGTTCCGGGAAGTGCCCCTTCCGTCTCCTCAACTACCGCATCAACGACGGCGGCCCGTCCTACCTCAAAGCCGAAAGACCATCCTACGGCACGCTTCTATCCTAACCCCGAGGCTGTGGGCGGCCATGAACATTTCCTAAAAACAGCAGGAGGCAAGAGAAGCTATCTGATCTCTGGCGCAGCCTGATTGGAAAAAGGCAACACCCGAGAGCGAGTTGTCACTTGTCACGACCTGGATGAGTAACTATGGCGACGGCAATGACGGTGTGCCAGGGGCCCCGGCGGACCGGCCTCGGAGAAAAAGCTCCCACCCGCTTCCACACAGACGCTGTTTGAAAAGTACGGCAAATGCCAGGAGGTGATTGGCCGGGGTGCCTTTGGCATTGTTCGAATCTCTCACAAGAAGCTCGAGAATGGCGGCGGCGAAAAGCTCTTTGCCGTCAAAGAGTTTCGCCGCCGCCCAGAGGAGTCTGAACGCAAGTACAACAAGCGGTTAACGTCCGAATTTTGCATCTCGTCTTCTCTCCGCCACCCCAACGTTATTCACACCCTAGATCTGCTAAAAGATTCCAAAGGCGAGTATTGCGAGGTGATGGAGTTCTGTGCGGGCGGTGACCTGCACTCGCTCATCGTCGCCGCCGTGAAGCTCGAGGTACAGGAGGCCGATTGCCTGTTCAAGCAGCTCATGCGCGGTGTAAATTATCTGCACGAGATGGGCGTTGCCCACCGCGACCTGAAACCCGAAAATCTCTTGCTTACTACCCACGGTGCTCTCAAGATTACCGACTTTGGTAACGGCGAGTGCTTCCGCATGGCCTGGGAGAAGGACCCCCACATGGTCTCTGGCCTTTGCGGCTCCGCGCCTTACATCGCCCCCGAGGAATACACTGACAAGGAGTTTGATCCCCGCGCCGTCGACGTGTGGGCTTGTGGCGTGATTTACATGGCCATGAGGACCGGGCGGCACCTGTGGCATGTCGCGAAGAAGGATGAGGATGAGTTTTACGGCCGCTATCTAGAAGGCCGCAAAGACGAGGAGGGATACCCACCAATAGAGTCACTTCACAGGGTAAGTGTCGTGCATCCTTGGAGACTTTTGTGCTCCGAGTAGTCAGCCTAGCCGTCGGGAAAAGCTAACATGATGTGTCAACCGTTAGGCCCGCTGTCGGAACGTCATTTATTCGATTCTCGACCCAAATCCTAAACGACGACTTCAAGCCTCGCAAGTCCTCAAATCTGAGTGGGGCCGGGAAATAAAAACGTGCAAAGCCGGTGAGGATGGAATCTAGCCCGGACCTTCGACCTTTGATACCACCACAGCCCCAAGCAAGAAACGCCATCGATCATGGCTGGGATGGCTGGGAAGACGGGGCTAAAGGGCAGGGCTTTCCTTTTGTTTGCCCTGCAGGAAGCCTACCGTTTTGCCCAGGGCAAGGGCGTCCGTGCCTTCGTCATATATATATATATGCTCATGTTTTATCACAGAAGTGTGTGTGTGTATATGTGTGTATAGAACGGCCGGCGGCTATTGCCACTACTGTTTCCCGCCTTGAAGGGCAGATTGAATACGGGCGATTGGTGGAACATGTTGTATTTTTGTCGTCTCGTCTTGCCACTTGGCCTTCTAATGACCTTTAATGATCCTTACGCATAGCCGGTTCCTTTGCATTGCCCATTCCATGCTCGCTCTTCTCCCTGTCTTGCTCGTTTTGAAGCTCGGCACCTATTGCTCGTCCAACTTTTAGCGCTCGGTTTATTCTGGTTCGCCACATTTCCTCCGCGGGGAGTTAGACGTCTATATCTGTATTCTCTAGGTCTGCATTTTCTTTACTGTACTGTTAGAAGGGTAGGGTTCGTGTTTCTGGGCTTTTTTGGTCTTTTTATTTTTCATTCCCCTTCCTTTTGGAAACTGTTGATGATATATACATACCCAGGAAACAAATCTGAATATCAGCTTTTTTTTAATCCATATATATAAGCCTCGCTCTGATTGTGAAAACATATTCACCATGATGACCATCGTGGTGACCGGTAGTGCACATGGTGTCTCGCAGAAGGTCGCAATGTCCAAGTCCTGGGCCGCTCGTCCCTTGCCGGCGATGTCTCGTTTGACCGCTGGGTAAGGTACGCACGCCTGCTTTTCGGGAGATGTCCGTCGAGGGTCCCGCGTAAAGACGCGTCACGATAGGTGCCCGCCCTTCTACGGAACATGACGTCCCAGGGCCCGAGGCCTCGCCTCTTTTGTCGGTTGCGCTCTGCTCTACGGGGTGCCACTTTGGAGCTCGCAACCGAGAGACCAAAAGCATGGCAGGACGAGAGCACGTCGTTTCCGTGAAGGGGGAGAAGGAGAGGATCTATGCGTTGGACAGACGAAGGGTACATGCCTGCGGAGGTTCTTGATAGAGGCGGGGACGTAAAATCATTTCAAATTCGCTCTTGTGTTCGTCTAGATTAGGAAGACAAACAAGTATAGGAAAAAGAGCAAGACAAAACGTACAAAAAAAAGTAGATCCTGTTTACGCCAAAAATTTCAACCGCCGCCACCGACATGAGGGAGTCGAGGATCCTCTGCTCCCGCAACACATGAACTCGACAAGAACCAAGGATCAATGTCACCGCTCAAATCTGACATGTACAACAGCGCCGCAAAAGGCCCACGCGACTGACAGAAAATCCAGCGAAGAAGAAGAGAAAAAAGGATGGAGCGCTCGCCCGTACCGTAGCCTTCTAACCGCATGTCCAAACCCTCCATGACGCAACCAAGGTCAAGATGAACGCCGGGAGGATGACCCTGCTCGGCCGGTGTATGAGAGCTGAGCTGAGCTGAGACTGTAGGCCCTCCCAAGTTGGAGGCAACTAGTGCCAAGAGTCAAATATTAGAACAAAGGTTTTTCGCTGACACGGTAGGGAGAGACAGCTACATGGCATGGAGCTCAGCATCAAATGATAAAAAAAAAGATATAGTTGTTTTCATATCCTAGCCAAAATAAACCCTCCAAAATAAACCCTCCAAAATAAATCCTCCAAAAACCAATAGGTTCCTCGCCGACCTGAGCCATCATCATCATATATCATTGCGAATGAAGCCAAAAAAACGGCGGCGCATCATTTGCGCCATGGCAACAGCTACTCAGGCAGGCATGACTTGGCGGCGAAGATTCGGCCGCAGACGCATCATCCGGCACCCGAGGCTGTGTCGCAGAGCAGCAAAGCGGCCAATAGCTCGAACCTGGTCGCAACGACAACATAAAGCGCCATGACATTTGGAGTTTGATGGTGGACCAGAGCCAGAGAGAGAGAGCGCGAGGCCACGACGGGGAGGCTTCTTAAACTCGTCGGTTCCGAGCCACCGGTTGCGGATAGGATACCACATGGTGGGGAAGGCATCGCGCGAGTGGCTTGTGGCTCGCGTGCGCTAGCGTGCCGAGTCCCCGCAGTTGCCCGAGGTTCGCTTTCTCAAGTCAGTCCGCCGTGCTATTGATTCGCCGCTGGGTTGTCTAACCAGACAATTCTGACCAGATGTGCGCCAAGGATTGTCGTTGGTTAGACATGTGCTGTGGCAAAAGTCCATTAATCCCTTCTCCCGAGGAGCTAAAATGCCGCTGACCGAGCAAAAGTCCACCCTTCGGCCCGGGGGAGGGCATGTCGTAGCTGACTTGCGATCGATGGCGGTTTATGCTTGTAATATGGCGCTAGGCAGAATATGTGAAGAGAGGGGACAAAGTAAAAGAGAAAAATAAAAATAAGTGAGAAATGACAATCAAGAAGTATGAGAATCGCCGGCCAAGACCTCCTTTCCTTCCTCACCCCCTTCCCCCAAAAAAACAAGGCGATAGCTGTATTTTTCAACGAGCTACCAAGTATATTATGATGTCCCCGGAACTGTCGAGCGCGTGTCAACATGCAACCACCTGCATCTAAGCAAAAGGGGAATGAATGAGACAAAAGGCGGGTCAATGTTTCACCCAAAGGATACCTAAGAGTGGAACAAGTCCCAAGCCCTTTCGCATAACCGCAAGAACTCTTCTCGCTTGGCCCGTTGAGTTTCGGGGCTGTCGCGGCCGTAGCCAAAGGGCCCGGGGCGGCGGGTGGAAGGACCGTTCCCGAGAGGAGGGCTGTGACCTTCCTCGTACTCGGCTCGGGTTCGTCGTTTTGAACTGCGGCTGGCGTCGGTGGGTGCTCTGTTTCCGGCATGGGGGAAGGGGAGTTGGTGGCTGGTGGCCTCCGTAGTGGACTAACTTTGGCAATAGTTCTGGGCGTCCTCCTGCAAGTTCCGCCTGCGCTTCCTCCGCAGACTTGTATTCCCGAGGACGGGCAGAGGACGGCGCATGGGGCGGCGGGGAGGCGCGTGCCCGGGAGAAGGCAGAGGGGCTCTCGCGCTGTGCTGGGCGGGGTAGAGGTTGTGAGTCGCGGACTCGGGAGGTGGGGGAGACCCTGGCCGAACACATCGTGAATGGGTGGCAGGCGATTATTTGTCTGATTAGCGGGGACGTGGTGGATGTGGGAGGTGTTGGAGAGCTTGGACGGCTGGTTGGTAATGTGCCTCGTCAACGGGTGAGGGTTGTGCATGCCAGTGAAGGTTTGGTTGAGGGGAGCGGATTGTATTACGCGCTCATTGGCAAAATGCTCGTGAGACGGCGCGACGATGGAGAGGCCTGGGGGCGCCTTGTTCCTCCTCGACATGCCAGGAGTTTTGGCGGCAAAGTTGTCCTTGTCAATTGGGCCGTCGCCCTTGGCCGACTGCTGTTGTAGTCTCGCTTCAATGATGTGGCGCTGTTGCTCGCGCACCGACATGCTACGCTGAAGCTGTTCCTTCATAACGGGGTCTTGGGTGACGAAGCCAGGCGACAAGCACGCGATGCCAACCTCTTGTATCCCGAGGTTATCTCTCGCGGTAAGGGGCCGGGGGCCTCCGTGGTTTGACTGACCGCCCTTGGACAGATCGAGTTTTCTCGGGCGATGGCGTGGGGCGGGAATATCGGGCGAGCCAGGCTCCTTTTTACAACGATGGAAGGCATGCCGCCAGATCGGGATCTAGATCGTACGATTCGGTTAGAATGTATTAGGCGGTGGCAGGCGTGCGGGCAGCAACGGTCGCGGAAGCGAATGTGTGGACAAAGCCAGACAACACCAGGGCTCCGAGAGAGAGAACGAACGAAAGAAAAGAGAGAAAAAGAAGAAAAAACAAGTGCGAGGGACAGGAGAAAAAAATCACACAAAAAAGGGCTCAAAACGGTGATCAACGCAAGAAAGGTGTAGATGTGAAGCGAGCGACGTGGTGGGAATTGAAAGGGGAAGGAAAATAAGGCTTACGCGCTGGTCGGGGATGACTTGGTAGTGGGCCCTCTGGGACTTCGAGATCCTCTGTGCTGGGTGGGTTTCGCGATTGTCCGTTGCGCGGAGGGGGACTGTTGTGAGGAAGATTTGGCGGCCTGGGAGTCGGAGGAGGAAAACGAGGGCCGATCAAGAGGGGCCGGTGATGGAGCCATAGCGATGGCGGCACTCATACTGGATTAGAGGTGTGCGACTTTTGAATCTCGAATATTGAGAAAGAAAAGAAGAGGCGAGGACGGGAATGCGGGTGATTTTTAGGAAGAGCGGCAGAGTTTGGCGCGGAGCCAAGGGCGTGCCTCAGGGTTGGATCCTCAGGATTTGATCAATCCCCGATGTTACAGGGACTTGGGCCCCTTGCTGCTGGCGAAGGGGGAGGGAAGAGGAATTCGTTCTCTCCTCCTTTTCCCGGTCGGGTAAGCAACAATAGCAATTTTGCGGCGGCTATTCACCAGCACAGTGCATGCAAGGGGGATGGGGTTGTGGCCGGCTTTGTCCTTTTAGCACTCGGGACGGGGTGAGAATAGATGAAGCGACGTCGAGATTGAGCTTGTGCGAAGCAGACGGGAACCACCAGAATGGAGATGGCAGTGTCTATATGGCGGGTCGAATGTGCGAAGGAGGAATGTCGGAGACTCTGACCTGGGTGTCTCGGTAGACCTTTGATCCAAAAGATTGACTTGATTGAAGGGGGCACGGGGTGACGGTCAATGGATGATTTTCAAGCAGAGTGGATCTTGGAAGAGAGAATCGTTGGTTCGTTGGTTCGGGTGGCTAGTACGGTTTCGTACTGTACTTCAAGGTGCGCCAGGTTCAATGTTGTGGTTGTGGGGAGAGGAGGGTGGTCCTGTTTCGATGCTCGTGCGCTGCGCTGAAAAGACGAACCGAGTTACGTCGCCGACAAATAGGCGTCGAGTATGCCGCTTGTGCAGGGGGCAAGAATTGGTCGAGAGTTCCAGGGATCAGAATTGTGTTCCCGCCCGCGAAGAAGGGGAAGGGGAAAAAGAGGGAAAAATTAAGATGTCGGGCAACGGGGCCAGATCAAAGATATCGGTATTAGACCTTGGCTTTCAAAGCGCCCAGTTGAGGGTTGAAAGCGGTTGATAGCCTCCGCAGAAATACAGCAGGAGAGAAAGGCCGAATGGAAACCCGAGGCCAAAAAGGGTCCCGAGTAAGTTTGTCGGAAAAAGGAAAGAAGGATATGATGAGGGAGCGAAAAAGCAACCGGCTGCAGCTTGTCAACGAGCGAGGTGGCAAAGCAGGGGCTTGGGGCTCCGTTGATTCGCAAATGTCGGTAACCACTTAATTGTCCTGCAGACCAGTTCAGTGCCAATGTTGCCCACCAGCGTTGATGGATGCTTTCCCTTGCGTTGTTGGCTTTCGATTATTGTGTGTTTAGTTTTCCGTTTTAGGAGGGCGTAGTATTTGGTCGGCTACCCTTCCCTTGGTTGACGATGAAGTGGAGCAGAGAGGCAGGTGAGGTCCGGCGTTGCTGAGCCGAGCGATGAGGCTGCTGCGATTAAATGAGAGCGAGGGAGGGTTGAGGTGCTGGAAAGGAAAGGGAAGAACGAAAAGGAAGCTGGCCCATCGACGGGGGAAGGGGGCCCACGGTTATAATATTCAAGCAGCAAAAGGAACAAAAATGAAGGAGGAGACAAAAGGCAACAGCGAGTTTCAAACCTCGACGTCTGCCAGCTTCCTTCCTCCCCACGATGTATTGGATGGGTAGATTCCTCTCCTTTTTTTCTTTCTTTTTTTCTCTTTCTTTTTCTTTTTAGTCTCTCGAGGTATATCTCCTTGCCTAGGTCACCGTCAAGTTCCGGTTTGGTGTGCGACACATGCAACAGAGACGATGGGGTACTTGAACGCCCTTTTCCCACGCCAACTTTAAGGAGGGGCAGTCGAGACGCGCGAGCGGTAGCTGGGTGTCGTTTTTATTATCCAGGGGTGGGGAGAGGGGCGATGAGGGGGGACATGGGAGGGGTGGCCGCACCCATCAGTGACACAAAACCCATGGAGATGGACGGGAGTGTTGTATCGAAACCTTGATGGTGAGGGAAGGGGGCGGGGACTTGAGGGTGACTGGGGGACCTGAATGTGGAAGAGGATGCTTCATTGTTCTCCAGTGCAAGGCGCCATCATGGATCTCTGTTACCAAGCCAGGGCCAACCTGAAGCATCAATTTATTGTGGCAAAGACGACGACGACACACCAAACACCATGAGCCAACAGGAACATTTTACAAGCAAGGCCTGAAGTGCAGTGCTCCAATTCACCGTAGAGATCGATGTACAAGTAGCACTGCCTTGGGGGCTTTCCGGGACTACTCGCCCATCCGCACAGCTTCGAGCAGCGATCATTTTAGGGAACATGATCATTGATCGAATCTGTTTTGTTCACTCCCGGTCGGAGGTTTATTCCAACCCAGCACTGTACATGGCACATCAGGTACAAAGCCAGCAAAGGGGGTGTGTGCTGGTGTGTGTGCGTGTGGTGTCTGATGTTTACACGGTCACCGTCCCGGTCGGCGTCCCGAGTATATTTCCATGATTCATTGAGTCCTCTGCTTTTTGTTCCGGCGAGCATCGATAGGTAATCCGTGTGGCGGTAATAATACAGTTTGTGTGTCAAGCAAATCCAATTCATCCCCTCCCGGTTATATCTTGTAACCCTTGCTCCAATCGCCCCAAAGCTCGACATCGTCTTCTTCGTCGGTGCGCGGGACGGCCTATACTACGAGCATCATTTTTATGCCTCCGGCCCCTCTTCAGATGATGTCTCGTGAGCCTCTCCTCTACCCCACGACGAATCCATGTCGCGACCCTAAGCCTGCACCTCTTCTCCTGATGGCCGCCCCAAGACCCGACTTCGACTCTGATGATGTTGCGCCACCTGCAGTGCAGCTTCTTAAGAAGGCCATGTTGTCCAGGACCTCTTCGACTGCTGTTTTTCAGAGTGAATAACCAACTATTAGAGCCGCCATCTCGTTTGTGTATCAATATTTTGTCTCAACCGGCTCCGCTTTTGTAGCTTAGCTGAGGCACTGGAAGATCTTGAGCGGCGTGAGACACTGGAGGAACTGAGATCATTGTGGCTGTTAACAGTTCATTGTTCCCCTACTGTTACAAGTAGAGTCACTTCCCAAGTGTTTGAATCGAGCATCATCATCGCTCCAGTCTTCTCCCAAAAGTGTCACTCTCGCTCCGTCAATTTTCCCCTCTCACTCTCTCTGTCGCACTCCTTGCTAGAAAATGCTTGCTCATCGTAGGCTTGATTGTTTCGCAAGGTGCATGGATTGTTCTGGGGCAACACGGGGTATGACAAGCTTGCTTCCCCCTCGAACAGGGAATGTTCAACCAGGAAATGGCAGACGAGGTTGAAGTGAGGTACTTGAACTTCGACTGCCCAGACAAGCCAGACAAGCCCGTGCTGTCCTCATGGAACAACAACCCTGTCTGTCGCCCTGTCCAAGGTGGAGCTTCCCGCAACTGACCCTGCCAAACGCCCCCAGTCGCGGGTTCTTCAAGTGACTGGCTGGATCAATAGATTGGATCAAAAGACCTCGCCAGCATCTCAACTTCAGAGCCGGGCTTCCCAAGGCTACGATCTCGTGCAACATGTGGGAGGAGAGTATTATCAGGGCGTACCAGACTTCGTGACAGACGATCAACTACTGGGAGTCAAAGCCGGCCTTAGCTGTTGTACATCCAAGTAGACCAACGAGAAATTTTCAAAAAGGTTTGCCGACAATGGGGAAGATGGGATTTGCTTCACATTGATTGTTTCAAGCGGTACAACTCGTAGCCAAAGAGCAAAAAAGAGGACATGCTAAACACCCCACGTCCTTTGATCCCAACTTCTCCGTCTTATCCTGGTAAGTTTTGAGGGCTTTTTCTTTCTCTATTTTCTGGCATCTCGTAGCACCACTTCAAACCTCAAACGATTTTTGGAGATTTTAGGGACTGCGGAATGCGACCCTTTGATGATGCCACGGACCCGTTTTGCCAACATCTAGTGTATGCAGTAGTATCCACTGAAGGAGTGGGGATGCTACGACGAGATGGCAGGAGGAAAGAGCGCCCCTTGCTTGCTAGCCCCTTCATTGTTTGGGAAAAGGGCTTCGCCCCGGAACCGTTGAACCAGCGTGCGCTAGTCATAGCGAATATGAAAATTACACTTCTCCCCAAAATGTCTGTGAGTTCATGCCGTGGGCAAGAATAATGTAATGGGGGTATAATGGAATTGAGGGGCAGTGCCTCCCGATATAATATTGGATCTTGTTTGCTTCCAAGCAGTTAAGTGCAGTTATTCTTTTTATCCCCACACGATCACGCTCCGTGCGAGTGTCGTCGAGAGTCTTATCATCAATCCATCCACCTTTGGGTCTTGACGGTAAAGTGATCGATCCCTGCGAATGTGATGCCAGGGGAAAAGCCACCAACCCATTGAGGCAATGAACTGCGCTCCCTAAAAAAGTGGTCTTTCTTTCTCTCTCACCTGGAATCCTCCATTTGATACGTCCCCAGATCAATGTATCTTGTAAGGATCCATTGGATCGAACTGTTTGAGACGCTCTTGGAGGGGAGCTAACTCGGAGCTCTCAAATTTATAGAGGGGGGATCGGCCCATACTGGATCCCTCTAGCAAGGCTGCGTAGTTCGGAATGACGTCGACCCCCTTGACCACCGCCGTCTTCACCCTCAGTCTCTTCGTGAACGTTTTTGCGTGTTCAATGCTTCCCACGTGCACCCAACGCAACCACAGGTCAAGTAGCGCCTTGAACAAGCCAAGCGACTCGTTTTCAGTCGCAAACTCAAGGTACCGAACAACATCAACCCAAAGAGGATGATGGAGACAATGTTCCCGTCTCGTTACCAGCCAGCTGATTTACCGTGAACCCGCGAAATGAGAACCCGCGGTAAATAACAATCGGCCTCTATCCTCGGCTCACCTGAATTGCCAGATTCATCCGAATTTTCTTTCTTTTTTTTCTCTCCTCCTCTCTTAATTCCCCAAATTGGCTGCGTGGCCCCGGGGATCCGGATGGGGAGTCAAATTCAAAGAGAAGGGGAGAACTAAACAGGAGAGTACAATGAGAACTCAGGTAGATTGGGATTGCAATCTATCCGACAAGGGGCAAAAAAGGTTATGAGAGGACGTGTCCGCGTGGGAAACCACAGAAAGAAGGTGAGCGCCGGTTGATTCAGCGTTACTCATGCCGTGCGCCGTCCCATTTCGCTTCTAAGAATAGTCGAAGAGAAACCGACGCGCGCAATCTATGCCAGCTCAACCCACGGCGATGGCGATTTTTGGATAAGGAGGAGAGACAAAGAAGGGCGTGTCCATGTCGGCGCGATCAACTCAATCCTCACGCCGAAGAGATATGCTTCCCCACCTCGAACAAAGATCATTTTCTCTAAAGGGGAAAAAAGAGGAGGGAAGCAAATTCGTCCCCGAGCCCCGTTCCCCACCTCGATCAAGCGCAAGTAGTAGCATTTTTGCTTCCTGGGTTTCTTCTCGTGCCATCTTCCTCGTACGCCAAGTCGGCGCCGGACCGAGCATGCTCCGTTTTGACGAAAAATCAAAAAAAAATCAAAAAATCTCGCCTTTCGTCTCGACTACACGAGGAGGAGAAGCTCGGCTAGAGGCCGATGCCAGGGATTGATAAGTGATCGTCGGCCCATGTCCCGACATGAAATCGTCCCTTCAGCGCAAATCATCGATATTGACAGGTTGAGATGCCTGTGCTCTCTCAGGTCTCGACTGTCAGTGGGTAGAGATACTCAAGGGAGGCGGACAAAGTACAGGTACACTCTTTGTTCAATGGTTGCTTGTGCCGTTCAGGTGGCAGCGAGTCTGGCCAACCTGAAACCAGCCCAGCCTTGAAGTGCTCAATAAATTTATTTTCCCTCGTTCACGCCCCCTCCCCAACCCCACCCGCCCCCTCTCAATTGCCCCTTCTCCTGGGTGCCTCGAGAGGCATGGTCCCTCCCCCACCTCTTTCGAGGCATCACCTCTCCGCCAATCGATCTTGGGAAACCCAGTGCTTGTCGACAACCTCAGCATCCCGACACGGACAGTTGCATCCCCCAGACCTCGTATCCTTGGGTGGTTCAGGAACATGGGTCAGCTCCGTCAAATCGTCGGGTCGGAGGCGACGGACTTGCAGTTGCTGCTTTTAGCGGAAATGGACCGGCTCCGGTCACTGGCAACTTGGCGGCGTTGGTGCCAAAATCCACAACCACATCTTGATTAAAATGTCCCATGGAAGAATGGAAGAACAGCCACGCATCCATTCTAGAGAGGAGATCCATGGATGTCATGAGGCAGCGGTAGTGACGTGACAGTTTCAATTGATAGTCAACCACCAATGAGGGAAAAGAAAGGCGGAGTTTACAGGAGAGGGAGAGCAGAGAAAGAAAGAAGAAAGAAAGAAAGAAGGAAAAAGAAAAAGAAGAAGAAAAAAGGAAAAAAGAAAGGAAACATGGGGAAGAAGCGCAACTTTCTAGCCTTTGGTGTTCCGGGTAGTGTTAGATTGAAGATGCAGTAGCCCCTTCCCAAAACTTACAAGAGGAGTACCTCCACATCGCCGCTGTCCCTGCATTTTTGTGGCCGCGCCGTTGAATGCAAGAAATCGCCCAGGACCAACAGTAGGGGAAAGTTAAACTCAGATTGAAGTATGAAGCAAATGAAGGGGCTCAGCGAGGGGAATCCTGTGTGTTAGCCGCTCGTGAATAACTCGTTTGGAGCCAAGGTTGATGTGGACCTGTGGCTTTTGCATTTCATTCTTGATCAGTTTTGCGCTTCTTTGGAAACCGCTAAAGAATTCAACGCTTAATGTAGCATCCGGCGTCAAACCGCGAGTGTTTTCGTGCTAGATGTGAGCACTTGACTCGAGGTCGACAATCCACTCTATTACCCTGACTGATAGATTTTTTTGGCGTTGTCTCGGTATCCCAATGCCAACGATCACCTAGCATATACCTCGGTAGTGCGCTGTTGGTGCTTATGCGTCAACTTTAGCCCGCATAACATTTCATCTCAAGAGAGAGGCGCAATGGTGCCAGGCATGATGTTTCGCGCGCGGCGGCGGCGTTGAGGCCGAGGTCTCCCGACTAAGGGGCCGGCTCTGCCAGAGTTTTGGGTGGATGGCCATGGGTGCTGCGGCCGGGCAATCTATCGGGCGAGTAGAAGAGCTTAAGAAGGATAGGTAGAATGTCGACAGATGCATTCCAGAGAACAGCATGTCTGGATCTGCGGCATGGCTCGATCCGTTCTGAGACGAAGTCTTGCTCTGACAGGCCCTAGTGTAGTTCCATGTGTCATCCACCAGTATTGTATAGCCTAGCCTTGCCCCAGTGACACGCAGTAGCTCAACGCCGTGCCCAGGTCTCAAACGCCGGCAGACGACCTCGAGGCAGACCGCGTCTTGCCCTGATCAAGGAAAAGCACTCACATGCTTTGCGGGGACCACTCGCCTTGATACAAACTAGCAACAAACACAAACGTAACAGGGATGTTCATGACTGGGGGACCACCGACGCCTAGCAAAGCAAGTTGTGGGTGCGGTAAACGATAACGTCGACAAGCAGACAGAAAACGACGCATTACCCCCGATGCCCTGTCAAGCCTGTTCACATCCGCCAGTGGCAGGAAGACAAAAAAAGGGCCCTGCTTCGAGAGAATCATCCAAGCTCGACGCCGGTAGATGATCCAGCCCGTCAGTACCCTGTGCGACCGACACTGCAAGCGCGCGCGCGCTCGCATTTACAATAGACGCACTATTACACTTGCTGTTTGACCTCGTGACTTTATAATTCATGCATTTGGCCGAGTCTTCACCTATGTTTTGTTGGCGTCCTCCAACTCATCCGTTCTTTGCCTGCCAAGCTCTCCCTGCACCCGTTGCAGCGGTGAGGAAGATGATCCTCGCGCGATCCGTCTGCGCAGCTGTGAAGGGCGTGCAACGAAGTGCCTCTCCGTACTGTTACATTGAAGAATCGTCTCGACGCAAGCCGTATTATTGATGGATTCAATTGCCCTGAGAGCCCATGATGGTGACGCCAAACAGCTGGTCCGGCTCACCCATCTGCAAGTCAGCGATCATTAGTGTGGATAGGGTCGGCCCCTGCGAAACACTAAGGCCAAAGAGGATAGGATGAGAACAGAGCGAGGTATCTGGACCAGGAAGGTCGGGCCCCCTTTGACCATGGAGAAGGCAAGATGTTTGAGAGCCAAGGTCTTGTCCAATCACAACGTCCAGCATTGACCAAGACATGAAACATGGTGGGCAGCCTTGGGCCAATCATCAGCCACCAACCCATCATCGTTTGAACCAGACTTCTGTTGGTTGTTTTCCAGCTCAATCCAAACCTTCACGGGCGTGGTGTCTCCTCAAAGGATTGCGATTGCGATTGATGGACAAAAGTAACTCATAAAGGTAAAACGTGATGTTGGATGATTTCCCAGTACCGAGGCAGGTGTATCTGTTACCCCATGACTGCCTGCTGCTCCCGCGCTCTTGAGCCTCGGGCCTTGCTAGAATATAGCCCAGGTTTGGCGCATTTTGTGCGTGATGACTGCGTGATGGCTCGTCTAACATGCCCTTGAGGTCAGCGTCGAGGAGTCTCGTGCCCGAGACCCATGCTCATCTTCCCTGTTAACGTTGCGTTTGCAAAGGAACAAGTCCGCTTCCCATGTCGCGTCTTTGGCCCTTTCTCTGGAAAAAGTTTCCCATGCTACGTTTTGAGTCCGGATACCCGTACACCCGCGCGACTTTTCCATCAACCCCGGACGACGAACCCGCCACCAAACGCGCTCGCCGGGTTGCAGGTTCCGAACGGTTTTGAAAGCTTCGGCGACGCTTTCCGTTGCAGGTTCTCGAAACATGCCCTGGAACCTGGTTCTCTCCGGATAGACTTCTTTGCGACTTCTTTCGGGAATCTTTTTTTCTCCTAAGGAAAAATTCATTTCCAAACGTTAAGGGATAACTCTCCGAGTTTTTTTTTTTTGGGCTGGGTTGGGTTAGGGTTGAATCAGTCCAATAGATTGGTCGTGTCGTTTTCATTGATTTGCACTCCTTTCGGCGGGTTTCGGTCTACACTGCACTGCAGGAAGGGAACGCTTTCTTCCCTGTCCTATGGGTTAACACACACCTTCACGTCTATTCCAACAGCTTTCCATTCCTAGATGCATACATATTCATGCATGGCTATAGGGTGGCACACGTCTCGGGAGAAAGAGGGGCGAGTGGTGATCGATGGGCGCTTCTCAAGAAAGTCTTGTGTCCGCGACTCGAGCCAAACGGGTGGCGCATTATGACTAGATAACTGTTAAGTTGCTGAATGCTGAATTCTCTAGTAGCTAGCCGCATGTGCGCTAAACCATCACCTCATACATTGACAGACTATTCTACGAAGTAGATAATACTGTTTGATTGTAACATTGGGAGGAAAATCAACAGACATATGTTGTATCTGTAGAAGGATGGGGACGACTTGGAAGGGCAGAGTATCCACAGCTGGAAGCAGTTGCCCTCTCTTGCACGCTAGGCAAAATTCTCACCACTTTTTTTTTTTTTCGCTTATGGAAGGCGATGATATCAAGCTGACTGACCAGGTGCTTGCTTGCCTCTTTAATGCACGAGACCACGAATATCTAAGAGAAATACCGGATCAGGTTGAAGGGGAGAAGAAGAGTTCATTTCGCTGCCCGAGTGTGGCCCTGGAAAAAAGACTTTATCATATCTGTGAAAGATATCAAATTGATTCAGCTCATTGCCCTCCCCAGCTCATAATTCATCACTCAGCCATCATGCCCAGCTCACAACCCACACAACGCATCGAGTCTCAGGACGCCATGATGGAGGATGCCCCGCCTAGCGCCCAGGTTAATGACGTGGATGCGGAAGAGGAGGCCGAAGAAGAGGCCGTCCGCGTCAGGATTGTAAGATGTGAACTCCTTGCATCCCCGTCTTCAACGCGGTGGAGCGGAACAAGCAGTCGCTAACATGAGAGCGCCCTAGTTACCTGGGTCCGTCGAGAACGCTGCCTCATTCGAGATCCTTGAGGAAGGCCACACCATTGGTAACGCCCTTCGATGGATCATCATGAAGAAGTAAGTGGCACAGTTGGGTTTGAAGGGTAAAGGCCAAACCTCTTGATGCATGCTGACTATCTGCGCCGCAAAGCCCTGACGTCGAGTTTTGCGCTTACACTATTCCTCATCCTTCTGAACCCAAAATGAACGTTCGCATCCAGACCTATGGTACGTGTGTTCCTTCGTCTATCCCTGTTCCTACGAGTCTATCCTGGCCTGTTGCCCTTCCCTCCATCTTGCCTGTCACATCTTGGCCCCTCTCCTTCTCTCATTCACACATAAGAACCGTTGCCTCTTTCAAACGGCATGCGCTTATACCCATCTTTAACACTTCTCCATAGAGGGCACCGCCGTGGATGCGCTACAGAAAGGACTGCGGGAACTTGCGGACATCGCAGATGTGATCTCCTCCGAGTATAGCGAAAAGCTAGAGGCCTTCAAGTCCTCGTAGGGCGGCGGCCGAGGAGGCCTCTTGCTTAGTATGCCGGATCTGGGGCGCCATGGGATGCGACTCGCGCATCGTACAAGAAAAGGAGGCAAGGCATAGACGAAAGGCGTTTTAGGATTTATGATTTTTATTGCAAAGCTGTCTAATAGCATATGTACACGTCGGCCCATTGGCCAACTCTAGTTACGACCCTAAGAAATTCACAAGTTAGCTGTCTATGAATCCAAGTAGAAGAGGACGTGTAGCCAAGGCGAGGCGTGCACGGCGTGATGAAGAGTAAAATGCATACCTCCAAGAACCCTCCATGAAATTCGTTGGTAGCCTCTTGTCGCCGCGGAAGTTCTCCTCCTTGAAGTAGGACATGACGTGCGTCGTCTGCTTCCAGAAGTTCATCATTTCCTGATTTGCCACATTTGTTAGTCAAATCTCTCCACTCGGGACTCTGAGCCGGCCACGATCCCCTGCCCGAAGTAATACAAAGGGTCGGCCTTCGCCTGACGAAAAGAATCGTACCTGGTATTCCGCGTTGTTCTTCATGATGAGGACGTCAACAACGGCGAGCTTGTTCACAAACCTGTGCTTTTCAAACTCTTGTCGGACTCGCGTTCGAAGGGCCGAGATGGGTAGTGGGATGTTGTACATGGTCTGGATCTCGGGTGCCTTGAGAAGGATCTACTGTCAGCTTCGAATCTACACACTCCAATTGAGATATAGTACGGGTAATCAACGACGACAGCTATCTCGTATTCGCGCATCGCAAGGAATTGGACGTACAGCTCGCAGCCAGCTTCGGTAGGAAGAAAGGACTCGTCGCTTGGCATCGGACCAACCGGCCGCTATCACCCCTATTAGCACGGGAAATCTCATACAAAATAGTTTATCCTTACACTGCCGCGTTAGAACCGCGAATTGAGTGGGTGTAATTGCCATGATGGGCAGACAATGCTTGCGTTTTACTCAACGAGAGGCAGTGTCTGATCTCTGCACGAACTCGACGAGGCTCAATTGGAGTTGAATCGTCAGTCCAATGAGAATCACGTGACACATACATGCTGGAACCAACCGCGAATTTCGATTAGTAAGGAGGCCAGGACTGCTTGTCAAGGCTTCCAAATCTTATTTTTGAAGCTGTTTTGCCCCACTATTGCCTCTGACCAGGCTGAACACTCACACTGCATCCTCCCTTTTCCGCGAGCACCGCGACACAGGACGAGTCCCTTGAGCCACGATCTTCGTTTCCCAATCGACTGAAGTATTCCGAAAAATTACCTTCTAAAGAATGCCACCGATACGCACGTCCACAAAGCGAAAGGCTCCGCCCGACGGGTTTAGCGACATCGAAGATGACTTACTTGTCTTCGCCAACAAGATGAAGGATGCGCAGAACAAGCCGCCACCCCCGGGGCCGAAGCACCAAGCGCAATGGGAGATCTTTCAAATCTCTCATCAGAGGAGCCGCTATGTGTACGATCTTTACTACGACAAGGAAGCCATCGACAAGAAACTGTACGACTGGCTCCTCAAGAATGGGTATGCCGATGCCATGCTCATAGCAAAGTGGAAGAAGCAAGGATATGAAAAGGTTTGTTGGCTATGGCCCCTATCCTACCTATCAGCCTCACTGTCTATCTAGAATCGATCGATGACTAACGTCAAGGAATTTCATAGCTTTGCTGTCTGCGATGTGTCCAAACGAAGGAGACCAATTTCAACTCGACCTGTATTTGCCGAGTCCCGAGAGCTCAGCTCAAGGATGATCAGGAGATCCAGTGCGTGAGCTGTGGATGCCGAGGGTGCGCTTCGAGTGATTAATGGACAGGGTGGGGGTTTTCATTTATATCTGTCTTGGATCTTACTTTCGTCCGATGCTTTATCTTTACGAAGCAGGACCACGGCGTTTGGCAACATGGAAGCATAGCGAAGATTGCGTTACAACCTGGAATTTCACCACAAGAATGTCATGGCAGGGAATGAAAGAAGGGGTTAAGGCGAGGCGGGCAAAAGGAGGATTTCCGTCACCCAACGGCGTTCGACCCTATCTGATCTATGAGACGGCGGGTAAGGAAGGGTGTACGATTCAAGTCTTCGAAAATCCCGAACGACCACCGCGCCCAAACCGGATATTTGTTGGTACGAACTGCAACGCAGACATGGCGCCTGTCAGCCCTTCCATCTCCTCATCTCGATCCTCTTCCTCGGAAGACGAGGTTTCGTCTTCTTTGCCGGGGCTCTTATCCGCCGCTTGCTTGCCAGCGAGGGCGGTCTCGTTCTGGCCTTTCCTGTCCCTTTCGGCCGCCTCCAAAAGACTAGCTCGTCTTCGAGAGTCCCTGGGCTGAAAGTTGATGGACGACCGACGCCGGCCATGTCCGCTTTCTAGGAGGAGAGATCTCCTTCCATCAATACCTTCTTTAGTTAGGGCGAAGAAGAAGTTTTTGGGATACCCGTGCTTATCGATAAGATGAAGCCTTCGTTTCTGAGGAGTTCTACATCTTCTTTCACAACCCTCGACGAAGCATGAATACTACATGGCCATGGAATATTAGTGGCAATGCTGATGAGGCTTATTGAACCAAAAGGGGAGCCTTTGGTATGATAGTGTGAGAAGACGACTTGCTGTATGTTCGCCTCGATCGCGCTTTACGGCCACGAACGAGTCGTGGCACTCTTCAATATGTACGTTGAGCAAGTGCTCAGAGGGCATGTTCTTGTCGCATTCCAGACACCTATTCAGATGTGCCTTGTTGTAATGCGCTTCATAATCCTCGTAGGTTTGGAAGGACAGGGCCTCCTTGTGAGGAGGCATGGAGCATTTCATAGCTGCCACTAACTCGTCGTCCGAGGCAGCGCTATCGAGGTTCACGAGTTTGGCGGCCGGGGCCGCGCGCGGGTCCACTTCTGGTAGCTCTTGGGCATCCACGCCTGTGCCGTCTTCAGGCTCTCGTAAGCGCTTCATGCTCCTTTTTCTTTGATTATATACGTATATATATAAATATGGATAGAGATTGAAACATTGGGCTTCTTCAACAGTGATAAGGTGCCACTTCAGTTTGTCTAGCGCCAGGGGAGGAGGGTGGGACTGGAGAGATAGAACAACGTATGAGAATTATATACTTGCTGCCAGAAGAAAGAAATGGTCTGTTGAGCCTGCCCGCGAGTCAATATGTGACGGTCTGGTGGTGTGAGTAGGCTCCGAGACGTTGTTTCTGGAGTATTGGCGAATAGTTTAGCGCTTAGCCCGCCCCAAATGGACTGGGAAGGGGCACTGGAGTGCTCAAGGGGGAGAGGACTGTCCGAAAATGTCTTGCCTCGTTCGTTTTAGAGTCTGTGGTCGCAATTCTGCAGGTGCCTGAGAGGGAGAGAGGGGAGAAAAATGGTTGCAAAAGGGACTCTTAAGTGGCAGAGACGTTTATTACCCCCGTTCCTGAGATGGTGTGTTGGGTATCGACGGCGCCTAGGAGTCGAGGAAACAACAGGGGTCATTGATGGGAAAAGCGTGCAGTAATTCGAGAATAACCGAACCCAAGTCAGGACGAAGTCAGAGCGGGGCCCATTTTTCAGTATCAATCGGGGGACGGAAATGTCAGTTGGCGGTATGCCGGACTTCCACTCCAAGATCATTGATGCACATGTACGCGGGGTTCAGCAACAAGGGACGCAACGGATGAGTAAGGGCCAACGATTCCATGGGACGGAGCTGATATTGAAGACATCCATGGATCTCTCGATCTCTCTCCACTGGACGGAAATTTATTTTTCTCTCTTTTTTCGTTTACGTCCCCTCACGGCACAGCGCCCACATTGAAGTGACCATTGTGGCTCACCAACCTGCCTGACGCGGTGCTCGACTATTATTAGACCTGGGGTATGAGTTATCAACGGATGTGGCGACACAAGAGGGGGTCCATGAAGAGTTAGTCCTTAAGCTTAGGCATTCGTGCCCATTGAGCTGGTCCATGCAGGTTCTGAGCAGTGCGGTGGTGCGGTCTGATTGCATTTGGGCCCTGGGACTGAACATGGGGCATTTAACCGAGTTTCCCCGGGAGTAGCAAGGACGGACCAAACGTCCAGTTAGTAGTTGGATTTGGTCTTCTCCCACCAAAACTTTGGGGGAGACGCAAAGTACCCGCTTAGTTTATGACTTGGGTGTCTCACGGCACGTGTTGAGCCTTCATCATTCCTTATTCATTTTCAACCTTCATCGACAAGCCTAGTAAACACGCTCTCAGGCCAGCCTTTTTGCTGTCTAACAAAGACAACCTAGCCTCATTCCACAGGGTGTTACTTTTCGCCCTATTCCTTTTTCTTCCTCATCGCTCCCGGTCTCCCGTATCTTCGAAGCGCCGAGTTCATCTGGACGACTTCGCGACCACAGCTCCGTCGTGTGCTGTGCTTGTGTCGTCGCCATAAACCCCTTGCTTTCTCCAATGCCAGCTTGTTGCGATGCGCCAGTGTTCCCGGGTCGAGTTGAGCATATAGACGACGACGACTCACAGCCTGTATAGCGCGGGGCTCAGGCTCTTCATTAATTTTCGTGCTCTCCCAGGGATTATTCCCTGCGCTCTTGCCCTCGGCGAGCGTCGCATGGTCTTCTCCTTAACAGCCAAGCTACTCTTCTAATTCTCCGTTTTCCGTTTTCGTTCTTCTGCTTCTACTTCTTCTTTTTACTCTTTCTTTCCACCACTTCCTCTCTAGCAGCATGAGGCAAGGGTGTGCAACAGTTTGTCAAGCTCAAATACAGCACTTTCCGTGACCCCTCCCTCTTCCGCCTCTATTTTCTCCGACTCCGAACTGGCGGTTCTGAAGCGCCCACCTCCTAATTCCATTCGCGGCGGCCCCCAACTTGTGCCCGTCTTGTTGCTATCTTACGTCATGGCTTCTGAAGCAGCCGCCGACCGGGTAGCAGAAGTCGCGGGAGTCTGGAAGTATGTTTGTCTTCCTAGCGAAGGGGAAGGAGAGAGAGAGAGAGAGAGAGAGAGAGATGGCGACCAAAGAGGAGAGAAGGGGATTGGGGATTCTGGATTTAGATCGCGCATGCTAACCTTTCTTGTGCAGGCACGCTCAGAAGATTTTCAAGGCTATCCAAAAGGAGGCCAATAATCTCAAGCGCGGCCCGCCGAGTGAGATTAGCGACGCAAAATGGAAGTCCTTGGAGGATGCCATGAGCCAGTAAGTTTTTCCGTGCGGGGGTCCTGGGGCGGGGAGCAGAGGGGAAGCCACTCGGGTTTGGCCGTGGTTGGCACTCTTGCCCCGTGCTCAAGATCTGTGCCTGGCAGAAACCTTGTCCTTGTCTTTTCTCTTGCATGCTAAGCAAATCAACCTTTTCCTTGGTTTTGTATAGGTATCGCCTTGCTTGCGTTGGTATTTTGTTCCAAGATCTGGAATTCGCGCAGCAGAACCAGGTGGAAAAGGCTCTCTGGACCAGCCACATCCTCATCAACAACATCTACCGTAATGTCAGCAAACGTCTCCCCTCTGATCAAAAGGTCAAGATTCGGAGTGTCGAGAGCCGCTACACCAGATTCATCACCACGTCTCAGCTCTTTTACAAGGGCTACATTCAACGTTTATCCATGAGATACAATGTTGAACCCCTCCACCGCATCGCCGCTGCTGTCAAGGCTCAATGCGGCCCTGGCCAGGATTCTATCTCGTCCATCACCCCGAAACCCAGGCCATGATCATGCTTTCTGTTCAGGAGACATTGACCTACCTCGGCGACCTATCGAGGTATCGCGCCCAGCTAAAGCCCAACAGCCGCGACAACGAGGCCGCCATCACGTATTACAGCCTTGCCCATGATGTAGTTCCGGATCGAGGTTTCGCTCTCCATCAAATCGGCGTCACCTACCTAGAGACCGACAAGCACCTTGAAGTAGTCTATTACTTCTTCATGTCTCTAGCTCGCCAGACACCCCACCCCAACGCGGAAAAGAACCTGGAGGCCAAGCTCAAGACTATCCAAGCCGGAAAATCAGCCATTTCAGGATCACAATCTACGCAGCAAATCCTGGAGGGGCGTGTCGTGCAGCTTCTAGCTAAATACATGACTAACACGTCCTTTCCTGGGCGCGATGAGCTAGAGCAGACTGTCCTGGCTCGGCTTGAGCAGTTCTTGCACTCTGAACATTCCTCTGATTCCGTTGTCAGGATGGCCATGGTCAACATGAGCGCGTACTACTACGCGCAGAAGCATCAAGGTGAGTGCGATGCCTTGTCTAATTTCCAAAGAGAGTGCTGTAATAACATCTGACAATATCGTAGCCCAATCACTCGCCTCCGCCTACACCTTGTCTTTCAACATGCAGTTCCTTCAAGCCATATCCCGGCTTATGCAGGGCTACCTTCGGGAAGCCCAAGGAGTGATGCCTGGCGAGATGGAGGCATCGGCCTCTCGCCTTAGCCAGCTCCACGCAATGTCTCCCGGCGTTGATACCGCGATCCGTGTGCTTCGCCTGTACTGTTGCTGGCTCTCATCTCGTAATGAAGACCTAGCGCAGGCCCCTGAAGCGATTCAATTCATCGTCCAATCTGCCTGGAAGGACTTTGCACAAATGGCAACCTCTCTCATAACCTACTCAGTTCCCGACATGGAAGAGTTTTGCAAAAGCACCAGCTACCTTTCCCCCACTGCACCCTACCTCATGAAAGAGGACGAGGAGGCAGTCTGCTGTTTATCGATCGGAGATCTGAGCTCCGATATATACGCGCGCCTCTTCCATCGAGCTAGCACCAAGGCTCGGAAGCCCACAATGCTTGAGTCTGGTATTGAGGGCGCCCAACCTCTGGAAGAATTCATCTGCCGACTTGGGGACGTCATCGAGTCCATCGGGCGCTTTTCAGGTAACCCGGCCGTCCCTCTCTACATCCAAACAAGAAGTGATGGTAGCTGGTCCCTCGCGTATGGCTACGAAGCTACTGCCGAATCTGCGCCTCAGACCTCTGTGGAAACCGGCAAGGCCGAGGAGCCTTTGCCTTCGCCGGCACCGGCATACGAGGAAGTTGTTGACGTTGCTCCCACCACGGTCGAGGTATACCAGCCCCCAACCGTCATTTGACGCTGGGCATCTCGCCGCTATGCAGGAGCCGCATCACTCGCTTCCTCTTAGCCCCAGATCGCCTGTTGGCTCGGTGGCCGCGAGCGCCCAAGGAGGGACGTATTCTCCCCTGTCTTGGGGATGGTTTCATGAGCCTACGCCCACGGGTGCGTGGGCCGGACTGACGCGTGAGGTGTTTGAGAGCCTGCCGGTTGGGTCAAGTGGCGTGAGCCAACGCCCGGCTAGCTCTGCTGGCGGCCCTGGGGACCAGCGCGAGATGCTCCTGCAAATGCTTCGCTCCGCCTCGCAAGGCACTGGTAAAGAGAGCCCGTCGTCTCTTCCTGCCCACTCTCCGCGAACTCATATGTTTGATGGCCAACATGTGGGATCGCCCGACTACAGACTCGCTCACTCCGGGTCAGGATATCACATTGGGCATTCCATAGATGGGATGGCCAATGGATTTCCTCCTGCCGCAGCCGGTGTCCCTTCTGATGCGACTGGGTTGGAGCCGACCCACGCCTACGGGCTGCATAGGGCAAGCCAACAGCAACAGCAACAGCAACAACAGCAGCAACAGCAATTGCGGCGCTCTTCACAGGCGAACCGCACCCCACTTTCGCAGCAGGTCCAGCAGCAGATGGCGGCAATGCAAAGCCTTGACGCGCAGAGCAGCGGTAGACCTCGGTCGAGCCGAGGAAACGGCGGGCGTGGCTCGCGGAACCATGCGGACGGTGGCGGCCGCGATGGGTCATATGGTTCTGACCTGAGGAAGAAGACCGTGAACCGCATGCAACGTGGGATGAACGGACCTTGAATGTAGACTCTTTGAATCATCGGTGATGTTCTCTAGTCTAACGCCCGCTTCTTCCTCGAAAGCGCCTCCTCGTTATCCTATCCAGCAACGAAGACGAATGCGATCTGAGCCCCCAAGCCGCCTCGAAATTTTGTGTTTATGAGTAGCTGGATGGATCCGTCAATACAAGCGCCGCGGCACGTCTTTGCGGTATCTCTTGAGTATGGGATTAGCTACAGTCCTGGTCAGCCAGTGGCAATTTTGCTTCCGTTCCTACGGAATCGCCCCTAACAAGGGGCAAAATTCCTCCCTGGTTGCTAGCGTCGAGCGGCTACCGTATCACGGCACCCGGCAGTCGACTGCTGTGAAACCGTCCCTACAGGTTAGTCGCAACGAACCTTGAGAGAGAGGCATGCGACTGCTTTATAAAGGACGGTGCCGGTGCTGTTGATAGCCTTCCCGAGTGCGGAGTTTACCGTATATGAGACTCTTCTAGTGCCATCATCCGCGCAAGCTCTTTTTACGGCCTGTCCATCTCCCAGGTCTCTAGGTGCCACTTGGCCTGGTTTTTGAAATCTCTCGATATTCGGTCTTTTTTTCTGCCTATCCTCCGCCCGCTATTTTCTTTCTTCATCTTCCTTTTTTATCTTGTCTCTTTTCGCTTCAGCTTCCCTGTTCGACCTTTTTCCTGTTAATCAGTGTTCCCGATCTCACAAAAGGTCTAATGGGAGGATGGTTTCAGAGAAGCCATCGTTGCCAGTTCCTTCTTTCCATTCTTTTTTGCCTCTTTCCCCCACCTGCTTCTCATATTTCCCCTGTAAGTTCACCTTGGCGAGCTCCTTCGTTCTTTGCCAGTTGAGGGTGCATATTTTTGAGACGGAGGGAGGGGGATCGATGGGTACTTTATCTTTTGTGTTTCCCCAGGCAGGTGGCGGCAGTCCCTCCCTAGGCCGCTGTCAACGCGCTTGTACATTCTCTTCCTATCTTTCCTGTGGTTTATAAAATAAGATAGCCGAGATATCTCGAGGGCCTAGGGAGGGACCTGGGAGTTTGCCGCCCAACACACCTCATTTTGGGATGCGGGCCTAATCAATCTGTACCTGACATCACTTAAAAATCTTCACTTTGCACGAGTACGATTGTTGCCAGCTCTTTTTTTCTTCTGGTGCGTGCTGTTGTTGAAACTTTTTATTCGCATTCTATTCGTGATATATCTCCCTTTTGGCCGGCCATCGCATGAGAGTGACAAAAATGGAAACCCCTCCAGAAAAGAGAACAAAAACCAAAACCAAAAATGAGCCCTGAGTTACATGGAAAATACCTTGATATCAATCCGTCTTTTTGTATTCATACCAAAACAGTTCTTCTGGAAACGCCAAGCATATGACGCGCTTCGCCTCGACGATGGTCTAGTTGATGACGGCACACATCGAGACTCGCATTCTCCTCTCTACTTCTTGGACAAAGTATTTCAAAGGTGCGGGTGAGGATCTATTGGGAAGTATAGGCTTGCTTGGGGGTGGGGAAGCTGCGAGTACACGTTAGTCGCAATGGCTAAGCAGGGGGATCGGTTTGGACGGGGTCAACTTACGAAGGGCCAAGCTCCTGGATGCTGAGGCGGGCGAGCCACTGGCCCATGTCGACGGCGGTCTCGAGAGGCTTGCCCTCGACGAGACCGGCGAGGAAGCCACCGGCAAAGGCATCACCGGCACCGTTGGTGTCGACGATCTTGTCCTTCTCGATGGCGTGGACGGGGATCTCGCGGATAGTGTCCTCACCCTGGACGGCGATGAGGGTGGGGTCGGTGCCCTGGGTGACGATGGCGACACGCTTGCGCTGGGAGTTCTCCTTGGGGAGGTTGGCGAGGTGCTTGGCGACGTCCTTGGGCTCCTTGGAGGAGGCCGTGGGCCTCGGCATAGGCGGCGACCTCGGTCTCGTTGCCGATGATGTAGTCCCAGTAGGGGGCGGAGGCGTCGACGACGTCCTTGAAGAACTGGGGAATGAAGGGAGCGGAGAGGTTGACGATGAAAGCCTTGTTCTCAGCGGCCGCGAGCTTACCGAGCTCCATGATGGCGGGAGGGCAGACTGTGCAAATACGTTTTGGGGACGAAGTGTCCCCTCAAGTGTTAGTGTATATAAGATACATTGAAAAAGCCGTGGGAGGCTCCATCTCCATAGCTAGTACACTAAAAAGGAAAAGAGATGCTTACCGGTGAAGTGGAAACCACCGACGTAGAAGATATCGGCGTTCTGGGCGAGAGCCCAGATCTCGGGCTTCTTCAAGTGGTCGAGGTCATAGTTGTTGGCAGCGTCGAGGGCGGTGCAGAGAGACCGGTTGTGGCCGGTGATGATGGCGCCGCACCTTCCGGTAGGGGCCTTGGGGTCGACGCGGTACTCGACCCTCAGGCCGACGGCCTGAACGGCATCACGGAGGATAGCGGCGTACTTATCGTCGCCGACGCAGCCGAGGTAGACGACGCTGTTGGGGGAGGATGTACTGGGCTCCGCGGGCGGAGTTCTGGGCAGCGCCGCCGGCGAGGAGCTTGGCGTCGTAGTTGTTCAGGAGGTCCTCGTAGATGGGGAGGTGCTTATCCTCGGCGAGGATGGCATCGTTGGCCTTGAGGCCGTACTTCTCAAGAAGAGCATCGTCGCCGAAGGCCTGGATATCTGTTTGAAGGGACGCGGGGTGTTAGCTTACAGCACGATGACTTTAGATGTCTCGACCTCGTCTTGAAAGTGAAGTAGAAAAAAAGGCCTCCAAAAGAGAAAAGTATGAAAATGAAGAGGAGAGAAACGAGAAAACCCCAAAACCCCCTGATGATGTCGGATCTGGCTTGGGGAAATGAAGCAAAGTCTTGGTGTTTAAAAAAAAAAAAAAAAAAAAAGATACGTACCGAGAAGAGGGTTCTCGAGGCAGAGAAGAGCGTACTCCTTGGTAGCCATTGTTTTCGTGGTGAATAACTGGGTGTGAAGGGGAAAAGAAGAAACTGAGTATGATGTTGAAAAGCTGCTTGGAGAAATCTTCACAGATGCGGCCGATGTCGTTGATGTTGTGGTCGTCGATGGCGGGGTTCTGGTAAATAGTGGGCGATGATTATGAGGAATGTTGGGGGATGGCGGGGTACTGCCAAAACCGTGGTTGCTTTTGCGTGGGGTCGCTCCGAGCAGGCTAATAAAACATCTGGAGCTCGCCTTCATGCTGACTGGCTTACTGACAGCAGCACGAGCGGCATTTGCGAGCCCGCCTGCTACGCAAGCCAGAACTGGCTTACGGAGTGTGTGCGACATTTTGTGGCCTCGAGCTACTTGTATGTGGTCATAACCTCATCGCAGGCGAGGAGGGTGAGAGAGAAGGAGAGAGAGGTGATCAGAGAGGGGAGAGCTTGGGTTGAAGTGCGGTTTAGGCCCTGGTAGTACTTTCGTCCCTTTCTCTTCCCCTATTTCTTTTTCCTTTTCAACGATCTAGCTCCCTGTTCCTCGGTCCCTTTTTCTTCTTCTCGCGATGGTGGGGACTGACCGGCGGACGAGTTGGTAAGCTGCAGCGCGAGGTGGCTGATGAGACTGAGCAGAAGAAAAGTTGGCTTGAACGCTACATGTACCAATTGATGTGTGTGAAATCGAGGTTCGAACGTTGGCTCGGGATCTAGTGCCTTTTTCCTTTCCTTTTAACCTTGGGGAGATGCGGAATGCTTTAGACGTCACCCTCGTCTTTTATAATTCTATGACGAGGGGGCTAGGCACTGATCGTATGATCGACTGCCATGGGCATCTATTCGCTTGCCTCCGTGCCGGGGCAGTGGTCACGGGGATTCAATTAGCAGCAGGACGCACCACGGATCCGACTCAAAGCGCCTGGCGCAGGACGAGGTGGCTCGTCGGTGGTTATCCGATTCTTGGGATTCTTGGGAAAATAAGGAGCTTCATTTTCCGCCATCATCTGCCTTTTCGAGCGCAATGGTAGCTTCAGCCCGCCAACCCGCCAAGCAAGGTGGCTTTCAATCAAGTTTCGTAACTGCGTTAAACCGCCTAGAGAAGAGCTAATCAATATTCGGTCCCTTTCCTGAGCCCTAGCCTAGCCTAAGGGAATTGCATTGAGCATTGGGCGTTCGTTGCTTCTCTGAAAGCTTCAATACATGTAGGACCCAAGGTGAGCTTTTAAATTTAAGAATTCAATTGACCATGAGAAAATTTGCACCAACTCTAGTCCACTGTCAAGGCACCACAGGCACTTGGCAGTCTATCCCAAGTTCAAGGTTTCTCAAGGTACATTCATGCAGCAAACAGAATTCAGGAACTGAGCAGCAAACAGCATTCAGGAACTGAGTGAACCTCGACTATTCGAACCAAAGGTGCAATCGCTACCTCCGGGTTCACGAGCAAAAGGGGAAGCACTTGACTTGGAACTTGAACTTGAGGCAATCCCGAATGGCATTCAATAACACCGAGGCTACTTTTGTACTTTCAAAAGGTCCGTCAAGAATTCTAATATACCAGCCGTCACAACATAACTTTTGGGTTGTGTGTCTAAGCACCGCTCTTGGCTGGGAATCATGAAGTGCCCTTATACTTTCATCATCCGAGTTAATACCAACTATCTGCCCTTGGAAAGTACCGTTGAAAGATGCTAGCCTGTAAACACCGTCCCTATGACCCAGGAAAAGCACACCAGCCTTAATCCTTCGTCTTCTGGGTACCACGAAGCAGACCCGTCCTCCTGGCGGCGATGAGACCAGCCTTTTGACCCTTGGAGGCGAATCGAGAAATTGTCGAGGCCTTACCGATATGTTGATGGTTACCCTGTATATATTGTCAGCATCCACGGAAGTAAAATATCCTGGGGCTGGGATGAAACGTACACCACCGTGAGGATGGTCGACGGGGTTCATGGCAACACCACGAGTCCTGGGCCAGTTGTTGCGCTTGACGGCATACTTATGCTTCGCACGAGAAGCCTCTGTAAAGAAAAAGATGGAAACGTTAGCAAATTTCGTCCGTCTCATTAGTTGTATTCCCTCCATCTTATTCTTTTGGGACATCCGAGAAAGGAAGTGGAGGATTTGTTGCCTCGTTCCATAGTTCCCCTTGTCCTCCCACCACTCCTTTCTCGGATGATCTCCCCCAAAAGTCTCTTCTCGGAATTCTCGGTCGATACGTACTCATGAGGGGCTTGTCGGTACGGCCACCACCAGCGACGATACCAATCATACCACGGGCACCGCTGTGGACGACCTTCTTGGAACCGGAGGGGAGCTTGATGCGGGTCTTGCCCTCATCGGGGTTGTGGCCGATGATGGTGATGTAGTTGCCGGAGGTCCTCGCGAGCTTGCCCCTGTCGCCAATCTTCTCCTCGACGTTCGTGACGACGGTACCCTCGGGCATGTGGCCAAGGGGAAGGACGTTTCCGACGGTGAGCGGCGTTCTTTCCGGCGTAGATGAATTGACCAGTGTACATGCCCTCGTTGACGATAAAGGTCTCGGTGTGGAGCTTGAACTTATAAGGATCACGGAAGACGACCTTGGCAAGGGAGCACCACGACCGGGGTCGTGGATGATCTCCTTTACGATACCGCGGACGTATCCATGTCGCTCGGAGAAATCGAGGGATCGGAACTGGGCGACACCGTTTCGGAGGCGGGTGTTGGCAGCTAAAAGGTGAGTTGATGTGAGTATGCGGCTCAAACGAAGATTTGAGAAAAGAAAAAAATCTCGTTTCTCAAGATCGGGATCTCATGTCGTCCTGTGTGGGTGAAAGGGATCTCCTTACTGAAAATGCTGCCGCGACCCTTTCGCTGGTTGCGAATAACTCTACCCATCTCGTCTACTTATCGATTCAGACTCGGAAGATGGGATGTATAATTATTTAGGGATCCAGAATACTGCTGCTGTGAAGGGGTGAAAGTCGGATTAGCAAAAGCCTCCAACTGAATAGAGGCGAATGACGGGAAAGGTTGGGATTCTTTCCATACATACCGGTCGCAGTTTCTGAGCAGATATCTTTCCTATCACCTGGGAATGGTGGTGGGAGGGCTAGGAAATTTGGCGTTTGGATCTGATGTATGGACGCTTGCCATCCCGGTCGGGGCCTTGCGCAGAAAATTTGTGTGTGGAAACCCTTGTCACGTGAGTTATGAGAGGGAGGCCCATTTTTTGGAGGTGGAAACCCAAGTTTTTTCCCAAGATGATGTCCTCGGTGGGTGGATTGCGCTGATTGGTTGATGGCCGCAAGGGGAATAGTCTCTGGCTTGTCCACCCCACCACGCATGCGCCCCTGCGACTCACCCAATTTTCTAGACACGCCTGACATAATAAGACTCGTGCTCAGACCATCCCTCGTCAACATCGAAAAACGACACCAGAAGCTCTCTCCATTGGGATCATCCCGTCGACGCGATAGTAGGATGGCTCTCGCACGACGCGTCTCATTGATTGCAGAACGTGCAACGAGGCTACCCATTTCAAGCCTTGTCAGCAATACTCTTTAGCCTACCATTTTGCTATCACCGGAATACCCCTGACCCATCTGCAGATCTCCTGACACCAAATCCCGCTCGCGCCAGAAGCGACGGGCTGTCAGACGAGAGAGACAAAATGCAGGTTTTGTCATGAGTGGGTTTGGCGGTTGGCTGAAGCTCGACACGGCCGCTCCTTTGCGTGGCTCAACAGCTCGTTACGTCAGGAGTATACGCGCCTGCTGCACATTCATCCCCAGGTTCAGAAAAGCCGGCTCGGTTTTATCCCTATGGATTTTTGCACGACGTCGAAATTATATATTGATTCCTCTTAAGCTTCTGGGGCGGGGAAGGCCCTTTTATCGTCTATTGCGAGAGAAAGAAGGCGTTCTATCGTCAATAGAATACTCCAGACCAGTGGGTTGGATCGACACTAGAGAGAGTAGAATCTCAGGTTTCCGCAAGTTCTCTGCTAATTCTCTCTCTGTTTTGGGGTATCCGCTCTCCGTTGGTCAGAGGCTCCTCGCCCCTCACTCTGCTATGCATTGCCTGACGAACTTGGCAGACTGGTCAAGGACCACTCCCATCCACTTGGTCCCCGTTCGTGGCTCCTGGATCGTCGCTGAGCCAAAGTCACCAAGGGAGATGGTTGGAGGCGAATAAAGTGAAGGATCAGGCAGAGCAACCATTGCTGAAATGCAGATGTTGCAGTGCCACTGGGCACTTGGCCAGGGGTCATGTGACTTTGAGATATTTGGAAGAACTCCGAAGGACGACTGTTGGGGGTTTTATTGTGGCCTAGGCGGAGGATCGCCAATTTTTGGCAGAGTCATGTCCGCATCTGGGACATGGTTTGGATTGGTGTCGTGATGCAACCAACTTTTTTGGTAGGAGATGGAGCTGTCCTCCTGGGATGCGGGGATGGATCGCCGCCGTGTGGTAAGACGGGGTGCGCGAGGGGTTGGTGACGTTTGACCTGCTCCAGCTTCGACAAGTGCGGAGCGATGGCGGCATCACGGAGCCGCGCGGATAGCCTCAGTGCTTTGGAACAATAACGGGCATGTGCAAAATTGGGGTTGCGTCGGCACGCTCTTATTTTATTTTATTTTTCTAGCTTGGCCCGCCCGGGCGTTTTTAGGCTCGGCATGATCTGACACATCCCAGAATTTCAGCGTGGGGATGGACAGCAACATACTGGTCGCTCTCCATCCCCGAGAGCTTGAAGGCGTGGCGACCAAGCCAAGTGCGTCACGCTTTGGCGAGTTTCGGTAACAGACTTGGGGATGCTTGATCCTACCAAGGACGCTCTTGACCCCTCCCAGGTGCTTGACAAGATTTAAGACGGACGTTGCGCAAAGCCGGCAGCATAGCATTGATTATCTAGCTGCCACGTAGAGAATACAAATACATGTCGGAGCAAGGCTGGGCCTATCAGGCTCCTGGAGTAGTTTTGCGGCTCAAAAGTCATGTCGAGGTGTGTGGTCTAGCGGTAATGAGAGAGAGTGTGCGGGCCAAATTTGTCCCCAGTCCCCTTTCCCCTCAACTTTCTTGTCCTCTGCAACAACGCGATCCACCTTGACACGCCTACCTTGCAACCTACCACTGCAATACCTCGACAACAGGCCAAAAGAGGGCTTTCCGACTCGATAAATACCATTCAAGATGGACAGCGATGATCTTTCCGATCTATCGTCGCTCTCCTCCCTTTCCCCACCGCCTCCCAGCGATTCGGAATCGGAGCAGGAGACGAAGAAGACGGGAATCCTCAAGTTCTTCACCAAATCCAAGGGTAAAGCTGCCCGCGAGAAAGAACCATCTCCTCCACCCCGAAAACGAGAGCCTTCTCCCGCCCACGAATTCGTCTTTGCCGATAATCCTGATATTGCTGTGAGTTGAGCGTCTTGTTTTCTTTTCCTTGGTCTTTTTTTGTTGGTTTCCGATTCGCCTCTCTCAATTTGCGCGTGTTGCTCGTTGCGCTCCACGCGAGATGCCGCGTCCGACGTCATTATACACTGTGCTGATGCACCACCCAGTTCATTGTGATGTTTAGGAATAGATTCGATGAGGCCTTTCCACGATCGCTCGCGTCCTTTGGGCCCCAAGAGCTCGAGTACGACATTACGGAACCCGTTCCGGGGAGTCGCGCCGAAGCGTTCCTGTGCGCAGTCCTTGGACTTTTGCTCAATCGCAAGCAGGATGTCAAGTATGTCGCCGCTCTACGTTTTCGCGCGAGCCTCGAGCTATCTTGATGCCTCTGGCGATTTCCTATGCTAATTATGACGTTTGCAACAAATTTGTAGAGCTGGCCATTATAATCGAGCTCTCGAGGACGCGATCAGCTCCCACAAAAACCAGTGGCCGGCGCAATGGGAGGAGAAGAGCCCCTCTCTGGCGGCGGCACCTTTGCCTCGATGACACCAACAGAACGCGTATGCCTCCTTCCCCGTGTCCACCCCCGCGCTTGACCCTTCTCTTGTGCGTTCCGGCGCTAACATGTCCTCTTTTTTATGTGTAGCTCACGCTCCTTCGCGCTCTAATCCTCTGGGCGATGGCATCCTCCGAAAGCCTCCGGACCATTCTTGCCAAGGCATACAAGCAGAACCGACATGAGGATGATCTCAACCAACCCATGTCTGTGCAGCCGTGGGGCGCCGATAGCGATAAGCGCCGGTACTATCTTATCGAGGGTCGTGACCACACTTCGTTTCGTGTATACAGGGAGAGCAACCCGGCTGGGTTCAAGAGGACGTGGTGGAGCGTCGCTGACGACATTGACAATCTCACGGCCCTTGCCAACAAACTCGAGAATGACGATGGCGGCCCCAAGGCTAAGAGGCTAAGCCAGGGTATCCACCAAGCTATCCCCCGGCTTATGGAAAGTGAAGAGGTAAGGCCCCATCTATGTGTAGCCTTGTGGAAACGGAACCAATCCAGTCCAGTCCCACTTGCTAACCGCGGACACTAGAAACGTCGCCGTCGTGAATACCGACAACGAACGAAGGAGCGCTTTAGGCGCCCTGAAGTGGGCTTTTCCCTGTACGAAGGCCGAACTCGCGGGAAGCGCATCAAGTATACATTCTCGGATGAAGAGGACGATATCTACAGCGACCAGAATGTCCGGCGGTCTTCGCGCAACACTGCCACCGCTGCGCCTGTCGCGGAGAGTGTTTCAGTTACAACCCAGAGCGGCCGCCAGGTGCGGCCAACACGCCTCAACCCCAATGTTGGCAGTGCGGGAGGTAGCGTCCAAGGCGATACCTCTGATGGCGACTTGGTCGGTGCGAACGGCCGGCCTCGCCGTGGTGCAGCGGCCAACGGATGGGCGAATACGCGTTCCGACGCTCCGGGGGTGGTGAGGATGAGGATGAGGAAGCTAGTGATCCAGAGCTGAGAGGAGATGAGGGGATGATGAACACGTGCCTGAAGAATCTAACGACGAGGAGGATGAGTTCAATGATGAAGAGCTCCTGGAGGAGGACCTCGACGTGGATGCGTCCAAGAGCCTGGTCGTCAAGCTTTCTGTGGGCAAGTCTAAACTGATGGGGTCACGCGTGAGGGACTTCCCACACCAGCCAATGAGCCGGCTACGGCTCTACCAACCCAAGAAGGCGCCGAGGTTGTTATGAGCGATGCTCCGGGTGCCCCCGTGGCCGAGGACACAGCCAAGACCGAGAGGCTCCTAACCCCAGAGCCCACAGTCAAGGGTGACTCGGAGCCAGCTGGGTCTGTCCCAAACTCGTCTGGGCTCGTATCCACGCCGTTGGCTCTTCGGGGAGCCCCGAGAAGGCTCAGGCCGGCCCGTGACTTGTGTGAACAGTCGAGTTGGAACGATGACGACGGCTAAACCGGAAGGAAAAGAGTCCGAGGGAGACAAAAATAAGAAGCAAAGGTCAGTCAATTTTGAGGAATGACCGAGGTTTCTTCCTACTGGGAAGGCACCAATGCGGAGAAAACAACTTCCCCTCGCTCGTCTCGTATGTATGTCGGGGACGGTACATGTTTCGTTTTCTTTTGGTTTGGCGTTGATGGAAAAACTGTAGATGGCGATTTGGCCTCATAGATATCGCTCTTTGTTAGTCGGTTTCGCCAGGTTCGACCTCGGGGTAGGGGTGGTAGGGGTGGTAGGCGGTTGGACTTGGGATAGCTGGCTTTAGACCTGTGGCCTTCCTATGCCCATGCGAGCTAACGAATAATTCGCTTGCTTTTGGCATTTATATAGTTGTTGGGCTTCTGGCGCATCATGCTCGAGAGAGAGCTTAGTACACGCAATGAGTTTCATAGGGAATATATAGGAGTTTCTTGTGTGGATGGATGTTTGCACAGGAGGACCGCCGAGCCGTAGCACAAGGATTGGGCTATTGGTGATCTCTCGAGTTCTACATGCAGATTGCTAGCACAAAACGTAATATAAGACATTGTGATGTTGTCTTTTGATTATCTATTCCGAAGTGTGAAAACGCCTCAACCATTGAAGGGATAATTTACATCATGACGCAGGACACCCCAAGACGCTCCTTACGCAGTCTTGAGGCCGCTTATCCTCGGCGCCGGGGGATCTTCCAGTTATTGACTCCGTACCACCAGCGTCTTACCCTCGCCCCGATGCTGTTTCCGTGCACCCGCGCGTTTCGATTCCACGCCTGCCATCCGCATAAAGTAACGTTCCAAATGAAGCCTTGTAGGAGGGGAACGCGATCTACAAATGGCCGGGTTAGCTAAGAAGGCGGTCGACGAGAATACTGCTGGGCTTGCGCGGGTAATCAAAAAGAGTGCGGATAGTCAGCCCCTCTCGAGGCCGGCCGCTTGGGGGCGTGGCAAACCGTACCTGATCCTTTACGGTGATGAAGGCGACTTCCCACCACGTCTGCGCTTTAGATATGCTGCGGAGGTAGCTCTGCTCGAACCTCAGGTCGGGAATGGGGGAACTGCTTGGGGGCTTCCGGACGACGTAGGGGCTGTCTTCGTCGTCGTCGTCAGAATCGATGACGAGGGAGACGGGTTCGCGCTTGGAGGCGGCGGTGGACGGGTTGATGTCGCGGCGGGGATCGGGGTTCCGGTTGATGTGGGCGACCTGGATGATCTCGGCGGCTTGGGTGGCGAAGTCGTCCATTTTCTGGCGGTGGTGTCGGCCCTGCCCGGTTGGATTGGGGTCTGCTTGTGGGGGTGGGGAACGAGTCTGCTCTGGGCAAAGCTGAAGGTGAGGAGGATGGATGTAGGTGCGTTCGAATTGATCTTGACGATGACGATGCGATGCTTCTGGGCTAGATTAACCGGGGAAAATCCACTGTGTGGTGGTAGTGGCCAATCATGGCGAGAAGACTACGTCTGAGACACGCAGGTAGCAGTTGTACCTGACTCCCACCAGCGGCTTCCAAGTTCATTGAACCTCTATGGATGGAGTTCCTTAAGTCACGTGCACCATAGGCCACTTTGGGGGTCGATGCCTAAGTTTGGCAACAGGGTTGGCGATGATCAATGAACTCCGGGGTGTTGTTTGGGCCGGCCCAGGCAGGCGCAAGTGGTTCAGCGCCCAGTCTTGTCCATCGCTGCCTGCCGCCGCTGGTCGCCACCACCGACACTGACCTCCTGTGTCATTCTGCTGTTGTTCTTGTTCCATTTTTTGGCTGGTGTTCCTTTTCCAAGGCGGCGGAAGGGAGACCCACGCTACTAGGAATTATTTTTCCAAGAAAACTCGCCCAATCCCTCTCACAGGCCGTCGCCTCCCAAAACCCTCTGCCCTTTTTCTTTTTTTCTTTTCCCGTTTCCGCCTTCCCCTAATTCCTCCTCCCTCCTCTCGTCAACCTCCCTCTTCCTAGACGCATAGGAAGCTCGGTTCGTCGGTCAAGAATAGCTCTACAAGAGCGAGCGAGAGTTGATTTTTCACCGTCACCATGAGCGACGCTCAGGCAAGCGACGCTGAAAAGAACGTAAGTGTGATGGCCTTTTTTGTTTGTTGTTTTTTTTTTTTTTCGCAAGTCTGCTGTGGACTGGATCGAAGGGAGTCCGCCCCTCTGCCGTTTTCTTCAGCCCAGGGCCGTGGCGGGCGAGGGGAAGCCCTCGCTGCCATTCCGCACAATTGTTGGATGGGTTTTTCTTCCATCCCTGACATCATAGGCGATGAGTAGATGGGAATGGGGATGAAGAAGAGCTAGTGGTTAACAATTGTGTCTTTGCGCAGATCGAAATATGGAAGGTCAAGAAGTTGATTAAACGCCTTGAAGCGGCTCGTGGCAATGGCACATCCATGATTTCGCTCATTATCCGTACGTTGAAATTTCCATCCATCGTATTTTTCCTCATTTCCTCCCTTTTGTTTCCTACTCCCTTTATACAGGGCTGTGCGTGCATTTTCCCGTTTGTCGGGGAGGGGCTGCTCTCTAAGACGGCGTACCCCGCCAAAACCCCGCGATGTGGGATGGCAGGGTTTATTCCAAGATCGCGTGTGCTAACACACTTGAACCATAGCCCCCAAGGATCAGGTCTCCCGGGCGGCCAAGATGTTGGCTGAAGAATATGTACGTTCTGACCTTTTCCCCTGTCCCTTGATTTATTTTTCTAGATGAGAGGTGCTTGGAGGGGCTTGGGGGTTTTTAGCCCCCTTCCGGGAAGCCTCTCGCTCGCCTTTACCCGTTAAGCTGATTCTAATTTCCAACGTCGATGGTAAACAGGGTACTGCCTCGAACATCAAGTCGAGAGTCAACCGACAGTCGGTTCTCTCCGCCATTACTTCGACGCAGCAGCGCCTCAAGTTGTACAACAAGGTCCCCCAATGGCTTGGTCATTTACTGCGGTGAAATTCTCACCGCCGAAGGCAAGGAGCGCAAGGTCAACATTGACTTCGAACCCTTCAAGCCCATCAACACCTCGCTGTACCTGTGCGACAACAAGTTCCATACCGAGGCCCTGGCCGAGCTCCTCGAATCGGACCAGAAGTTCGGGTTCATCATCATGGACGGCAACGGCGCTCTCTTTGGTACGCTGAGCGGCAACACCCGCGAGGTTGTGCACAAGTTCTCGGTCGATCTTCCCAAGAAGCACGGTCGTGGTGGACAGTCTGCCCTTCGTTTCGCCCGTCTTCGTGAGGAGAAGCGTCACAACTACGTGCGCAAGGTGGCGGAATTGGCGGTACAGAACTTCATCACGGCGGACAAGGTCAACGTTGCGGGCATTATCCTTGCTGGCTCGGCTGACTTCAAGAACGACTTGAACGCCTCGGACATGTTTGATAACCGTCTCCAGTCCAAGGTCATCAAGGTGGTGGACGTGTCGTACGGTGGCGAGAACGGCTTCAACCAGGCCATTGAGCTTTCGTCGGAGACTCTTGGTAACGTCAAGTTTATCCAGGAGAAGAAGCTCATTGGCAAGTACTTTGAAGAGATTTCGCAAGATACGGGCCGCATCTGCTTCGGTATCGACGACACGCTCAAGGCTCTTGAGCTCGGCGCGGTGGAGACGTTGATCGTGTTCGAGTCGCTCGAGCTCACCCGCTGGACGCTCAAGGACAGCAACGGCGGCGAGATCATCCTGCACACCAACAAGGAACAGGAGCAGACGAACCGCGAGCGTTTCATGGACAAGGAGACGGGACAAGAGATGGAAATCGTGTCACAGGAGGCATTCCTGGAGTGGATTGCGGAGCATTACCGCGATTTCGGCACGACGCTCGAGTTCGTGTCGGACAGGTCGACGGAGGGTAACCAGTTCGTCAAGGGCTTTGGTGGTGTCGGGGGTATCTTGCGATACAAGGTCAACTTTGAACAATTGGCCGATCTCGACGATGATGATGACGACTATTACGATGATTGACCAGTGGATTCCCTCGTGAAGGACGAGGGATTGGCTCAAGCTCGAAGAATTGAAAGCGAGGCAGCGAGGCCCTATGAACATTCGACCCCGAAAACAACGACGACGACGGCGACAAGCGATTCGGCCCAGGCCCAGGCGGTCGCGCACCGCCAAGCCGTAGGGTTCGGAGGGTTTGGCGACGCGCCGCCGTGGCGCAGCCACCAGGTGAACCGGCCCAGCCCGCTTCGCAGCGTGATGACGACGACTTGAGCCATGTTAAGGACAGGCCAGGGTGAGTTTCTTGCCATCTTCGTGTTTTTTCGCGTCACGCCCGAGGCTGACATTTTGGCGACCAGACAGCGCAGGAGCTGTGATGCACTAGGATGTGCTGTGCTAGTCTAGCGAGAGATTGATATTCTACAAAAAAAAACAGATGTGTTGATGGCGGTGGTTGGAACAGGTGGGCTTTCTTTGGCCAGGCCAAATGCAAAATTTGTGTTCCTACTGCGATCAATAGAACATTATCGCTTCCGTTTATGGTCGTAGCTCTCTTTTTCCGTGCAGTGCGTGCTTGACAATTCCGCCTTAGAACTTGAACCTCTTGACTCATGACTCTGGATACCATTGCATCTAATAATGCTCGAACGAGTTTGCTGGGTTTGGGCCATGTCAAGTGAAGTGGGACTAGAATTCAACATGCCACCCAGTCGAAGTTCTCCGAGGATCCACCAGCCCGGTTGTGCGTATGGAAGAGAGAGACTGCCTCTCAAAGAGCACTACCGAGGTTGGCGTGATGCATTTCCTGGACATGGAATGGGGATTTATACCGACTGGTGTCTAACTCTCTTGCCTCTTACTTTTTCGGCTTCTCAGACAGAGTTGATGTGGGGTTGACAAGGACCTATTGCCAAGGGCCGTGTTGCCAGTGCAGACAGAGACAGACCCCTGCTTCCGGCTTTCGGAGGGGAGCTCAAAACCTCTGCCAGTAGCGCCATAATTTTTGATGACGATCTTGAAGCTCCGATGTACCTGTCTTGAGCAATCCCATTGAATTCTTAGCAAGTATCCCCTCCCACAAGCCCACACCCAGCACCCCACACTCTTCTTATCAGATCAAAAGTTCTGCGCTATTCGCATATGGAACAGGGTTACCTCTAAAAATAAATAAAAAGAACCTGTTGCGCCCGGCCTCGCTGGACTACATACGAACCAGCTTTTCTGCCGGTACCTCGGTAGCTCCGAGCAAGGGGTATTGTTTTTCTCCATATTCCTTTCTTCTTCCATCTTCATTCCTCGTTTGAAGTCTGAACCATTCTATTTTCCTTTTCCTTTTTCAAGCGCAAGCTATTTCCCCGCAACCATGGCGGGCTCCATCCAGCAGTTTATCACGACGGCCAAGGCGCGTCCGCCCAAGCTGATCCGCGACTACCTGTCGCCGACAAACTCCCACCTCCTCAGCCTCCTGCTCGCCGACGTTCTGCCGCCGTCGTGCTACCCGTACCCGCTCTCGTCGGCGTCGCCCAACCCCACCAATTCCACGGGGCCGTCGCCGCACCTCGCCGGCTCGTCGAGCCTCCCACCGCTGCCGCAGTCGCCGCCCTGGGGCAAGCCGTTGCCGCTGGGCCACCACCTGGTGTATTTCCCGCTACAGGCGCGGCCGACGGAGCTAGCATGGGACGGGGCGGACAACGACCACGCGCCGGGGAGCCGTACGTGAAGCGCATGTGGGCCGGGGGCAAGATGACGTTTCGGCAAGGGTGGGAGGACGTGCTGCGGGTGGACGGGCGGCCGGTGGTGGGGTTCGAGGAGATTGGGGACGCGCGCGTCGTGGAGAGGGGGGCAAGGGGAATGGCATGGTGGTGATGGATCTAAAGAGGGGGTATGGCGTGGAAGGGGAGGGGGCGTGGTGATTGAGGAGGTGAGAAGGTTGGTGTTTTTGCAGGGTGATGGTGCCAAGAAGGCGCCTGCGAGAGGTGAGTTTCTTGGTTGTCTCTTTCTTTGTTTCTTGTTGTTTGTGTCGAGCTCTCCGCTAACGTCTCTCTCTCTCTCTCTTTTCTCGCGTCCGCAGCCAAGGAGAAGCCCGACTACTCGGTCTCTCTGACGCCGTCGTCCTCGCTCCTCTTTGGCTTCTCGGCGCTCACGTACAACGCGCACCGCATCCACATCGACCCAGAGTACGCCCGGTCCGAGGGCCACCGCGCCATGCTCTTCCACGGGCCGTTTAGCGTCGTCGTGCTGCTGACGGTGCTCAACTCCCAGCTGGCCCCCGGCGAGAGCGTCGACGCCTACGACTACCGCAACTTTAGGCCCCTCTACGTCGACGAGAAGCTGACCGTCTGCGTCAGGAGGATCGAGGGCGGGCCGGGCCGGGGTCCCCGGGGAGCTGGGACATTTGGATCGAGGGTGCGGATGGGGGATTTCGGTCCGGGGCACGGTCACGACGTCGTTCCGGGAGGCGGTGGAGGCGAAGCTGTAGAAGAGAGTTGGGCGTACTCTGTTTTGAGGTGCGTGAGAGAGAGAGAGAGAGGAAAGCTAAAATACGAGTAGGATATGTGAATTGATAAGATTGGTCTGACGCCTTTTGTCTGCTTCTTTTTTGAGGGCCGCTCGTGAGGCTCTTCGCCCCTAAGAAATCTCTCTTAGTTTCCACTTTTCTCGCTCTAAGGCTCGAGAAGAGCACTGCTGTCACATGAGAAAAAGGTCGTGATCAAGGCTAGAGGCCCCAAACTCTCCGCATCGTCCTTTCGTCGACTGCCCATCTCCCCGGCCTTGGGGCATGTCCAAGGCCGGACTTGGACACAGGAGAATTGAGTTCTTAGTGCGTATCTCTTGGATCTTAGTGTCGAGTTTTTGGATCATGAGCGTCTAAAGCCTGGGTAGATGTCTGGAAATCACCCCAAAGCCCCCACCACACTGAGAAAAGGAAAGCAGAAGTAGCAGATAAGTGAGGATAGTCACGATGTTAAAGAGGAGCCCACCCTATGAAGCGATGCTCTCTTTTGACCTGTTCCTTCTCTTCACATCAAAAGAAAGAACCTCTACACTTTCTTCTCCCTCTTTCTATTGTTATTCTTCTTCTTCTACTCTCCCCAAACACAACCATAGTCTGCTTCATCTACACCTTCACTCTCATCCCTGGTCTTTCAAGATACAGCTGATGGCAGAAAGACTGAACAGAACACCCTTTCAACATCCTCCACACATCCTTCCTTTATATCCTCCTTTTTCCCAATTATCCTTTCTCACCATGGTTCCACCCGCCTTACACCCACCAACCCCCGAGCCACACCCTCCTCCTCTTCCTCCTCGTCACCGCCCACCACCCTTGACGCTGGCTGACACCAATACACCCTTCACCAAACCTGTGGAACCACCCCTGATCTTGACCCTCGGGCTCGGTGGATCTTGCGCCGTTGACTTCAACCGGCTCAACTCCGCACCCGAGGGATACTGGCCCCTCCGCGCGGCCTTTGCCCTGCCCTGCGAGGATTTCTCCCAGATGAACATGAACGTCCCCCAGGCGTACAACACCGTCGAGACCGTCGCCTTTGCTTCGGTCTCACCCCTCGCCGCGCGGCCGCCTACTTTGAGAAATACTCGCCCGTGGATTTCGTGACGAAAACGCGCCGCCCGCCCGCCTCCATCGCCGAGTGCTTGATCATGTTCGCCAAGGTGCGCGATGAGATGCTTGCCGTGGCCGAGTTGCCGCTGCCTGCTACGCCGTGGCTCGAGCCTGATGTGCCTGGCGCGCAGGCGAGGAAGAAAAAGAAAGAGGAAGAGGTTAGCAATGCGATGGCAGCCAGACATCAAGGCAAAGACCAGGGGAGGGGGCTGGAGGCCACCAAGAACCAGGGCAACAAGGCCACGCAGAACGACAAAAACGGCCAGGACAAGAAAAACGTTTGGAACAACTGGAACAAGAAGAACAACACAAGCAACATGAACGGTAATGCTAGGAACAGCCAAACTGCTCAGAACCACGACCGCTCCAAGGCAAACGGCACCGCCGACGTCGCGAACCCCAACAACACCAATGCCAAGAGCAAGACCGACGCCGAAGCTTACCCAAGTCCCGACCAAATCCTCTCCAGGCGCCTAGAGCTCCTCGGCATCGCCGGCCCCGCCCGCTACAGCATTACCCTCAAGCTCGCCCGCAGCGCCGGCACCAAGACCCTGCGCGACGTCCTCATCTACTTCAGCGCCTTTCGGTGGGAGTACCTGACCAGCATCTCGCTGCGCGCCGGCCGCGTCATCGCGCACGCCCGCAACTACGGCGGCAAGGAGCTCATCCAGCACGTAGACAGCATCGGCAACGCCGCCGGTATCACCGGCAGCGATTGGCCGTGGATCGTCGGAGACTGGAAGCAGGAGATGGGGTCCAGGCTGAGAAATGTCGATAGACTCGTGGGTCCGACCTTGCCCAAGGAGCGCGCCTTTAGCCCGGCGCTCCTCGAGGTCATGAAGCGGACAAAGTATCGCTCCCCGCCGAGGGCGCCGCTCAAGAGGAAGAGACTACGGCTCCCGGCACCGGTACTGCCACCGACCCACTTGACCAGCCAGGCCGCAACGCCAATCTCGCCAAGTTTGAGTCCAGCTACGTAGCTCGCATCTTTAGCCCGCGCCAGCCGCCTGCCAACCTGCCGCCTCCCCGCCACCACCTCTGGCCCTTCCGCCCCCGCCGGCCGTGGTACAGCGACCACTCCTCCCCACGGCGGCTCCTTTCCAGCCCGCAGCCTCAGCCGTCGCCCAGCCGGGAAGCAAGCGGTCGGAGCAGCGATCAAGGCGCGGCAAGCCGACCGGGCCCCGCGGCGCTCCTGCTCAGCGCTCTGGGGGTTTAGCGTCTCAAGCGTCCCGATCACCTCGGCCGTCGCGAGGACAGAATGGCGGGGGCGCGGACGCGGGAATTCACGAGGAAATGGACGCGGAAATGCACGAGGAAGTGGACGCGGAAACGCACGAGGGGGTGTGCGAGGAGGTGCACGTGGAGGTGAACGCGGAGGTGCGCGCGGGAAGACACAGCAGCAGCAACGACGACGTTAGCGAGGGAAAACTAACACGGATGGAGGCCAAACGCCCAGAAACACCTGCCCTCCCTCCCCATGAACCCCCATTTTCTTTTTCTTTTCTTCTTTTTCTACTTCAGTCTGTCTTTTCCTTCTTTTCCACTCCTCTCAATGCTTTCACGGGGAAGCCCAGAACAGAGAGGCGAGCCACGCCCGCCTCGCCCACTTGTTTATAAACTGAGCCCATGTCGGGGCTATACCGGCACAGCTTATATCGGCGAGATCCATACGCCAAAGACGGGTTGCTGGGCCTGCCAGTAACCCCAATCAGTTGTACATACGATGAAGGAAGACGCCAGGTTTGAAATTCCCTCAGGGCGTCACGAAGTTATGAGTTTATGCAATGTCCTAGTTCGGTTCCGGTTTTTACCATGTTATAGGACAAAGGTGTTTGATAGGTCTCGAGAGGACAAACACTTGATATTTGATTTCTGGGTTCTGCTTTTATCGAAACCACAAGCTATGACGCAAGGATGGACCAAGATACCCCCTCCCTTTCCCCTTAGCGCTAGTTTGAAAAAGAAAAACAAATGCATTCCTTTTCTGCTCGAGGTTCCCTTCATGTGTTGAATGTCTCGCAGTTGCCACATGTGTGCTTTCGAGTTTGACATATGCATCGGAGCTGTTGCCGTTGTGTCCCCTACAATGTCAAGTTTACATTTTTCGATCCGAGATTTGGCAGCTACAGAAACCCTCCAGACCTAAAACGCCGAGATTGTTGATAGACGATAAAGAAAAAAAGGAGAAACGGAAAAAGAGAAAAGCTGGACTAGGAAAAACACGAGGGGGACTGCATCTTCATCGTAGCCAGCCGTGTCACCCCGTGAGTTTTCTTGTTGTCGCTGCAGTTGCTATTGCTCTTGGACAAAGAAACGACACCAGCGCCTCAATGACTTTTGCTCACCCATCAAGAGGCAAACTCTCCAACCGATCAATCAAGACCTGCACATCCATGTGAAACGCAGGCGGCGCATTCTTTTCGCCTTCCGTCTTCCCCTGCAGCGTCTTCGCAATCGCAATCATGGGCTCGACGTAGCGTTGGCCCACGGCGGCTGCCATGCCCTCTGGAACCAGGCCCCTGAAATCCTTGCCAGCGAGCAAAAAGTAGGCAAAGTTGGCGACCTGGAGGTGGAATGGGTGGTTCTCCGCCCAGAACTCTACAAGCTCGTCGGTCCCGGCGCTCGCGAGCTCCGAGACGTTGGGAAAGAGGTTGTACTGGAGGGACTCGATGCATTCGGAAGAGGAGAAGACGCCGTCCACCTTGGCCTTGGCGGCGTGGATGAGCTCTTCGCGGAGCCACGTAACTGCACAAGCCTGAAGTGACGAGAAGACACAGTTTTCGAGAAGGTCGTCGAGGATCTTGAGGCGGTCGTCCTCGTCGGGATCGGCATGGAGGATCTGACCAGCTAGAGTGGTCGCCGCATGCCGGATGGGAAGGGAGCGGTGGAAAACAGCGCAGAGGGTGAGGTAGTGGTGGAACGTCATAAATGGAGGCCGTTCGACCCTCGGAGAGACTATGCGTTCGTTCTCGTACAGCCACGAGCCGAGGACGACAAGAGACTCGACCACGCCAGGCGCCTCGATAATCTTGGCTTGGGCGTCTTCGTCACCGAGGTAGCGATGCACCATCTTGTGCAAATCCGGGAACACGTACATGTCGGGCTTGATGAAGGCGCTATCGAATACCTCGGAAGCGAATACCCAGTACGCCGTCAGACACCACATGCCGGTAGTAGGCAGCTTGATTAGATCGGGGTTCTCGGAGTCGGGCTCGACCGACAGGGGTCGGCTTGAATCTGCGCCGCACAAAGCTCGGCAATCTTGTCCGGTTTGTAGTTTGCGAGTCCGAGATCTCCGGCGAGGGCCTAGTGAGGAACGTGATAGGACATTAGTTAATGCTGTTCTGACACGTGGTAGAAAATGCTCTTGCTTTCCCCTTCATTCCTTTTCCTTTTTTTCTTTTTCTTTTTACGTATTTTGTACGAGAGATGGGGTGAGGGGACATTCTTACCGCCAACTGCCCAAGCAGGGCATCCCTAGCTAGCAGGTCGGGGTCATCGCGAAAGGACTGCATAAGGGTCTTGCGTCCAGGCACGATCTTGGTCGGATTATAGAACTCGACAAGACGAGAGGCCCACCCAATCTCGTTTGCGTTGACAAAGGTTTCAAAGACACAAACGATAAAAGTCTGCAAAAGACGAGCCATGAGATCCTCCTCGACGGGGTCTTCGGCCTCAGCCTCGGGATCTGGGGCATTCGTAGACGGGTCGGTAACCTCAAAGGGGTTGTAAGTGTGGTGCTAGACTTGCGCGAGGGCAAGGGCGGTCGAGAGGATCCGGATACGGAGCGTACGAAGCTGACGAGGGCGGCGGTCCGCTCGCGCGTGGGGACGTAGCATCGGTTCACGGTCTGGAGCGTGGTATGGAGAAAACGGGACGGATAGCGGACCTTGAGGCGTTTGTGGAGAATGCCGAGCATGCCCAGCAAGGTGATGAACTTGGACGAGGAGCTCGGGATATCGGGCGAGGCTTCGTCTTGGCCGTTACGGATGCCCTCTTCATTGTCCTCATTGTCCTCCTCGTCCTGGATGGTCATCTTTTCGAGCACCTCGAGCACCTTGAGGATGACTTCGCGGGGGTTTCCGAGGCGGGCGACAGTCTCGAGACAATCTGCGCTGCCCGGGACGTCTATGAGCATGTCGACGAGGTCCCACCCAATCGACTTGGTGAGTTCGGCATCCTGCAGGATGTCGAAGAGCGCAGGCAAGAGCTCGGGGGACTTGTGCTGGTCGAGAAGAGCGAGGTAGGTAAAGGTGTCGGTCGCGGGCGGGCGGGCTTCTTGAAGACGGCGGGCAACCTCATCGGCAGATAGTGCTTCCCCCATTGTCGTCTCGGAGCCAAGATGGGATGGCACTTTGGGCTGGATGTCGAGTATTGAGGTAGGAAGGAGATGGGAGGACCGGTTGTGAAGTGCTGGTTGGTTTGTAGGTTTGGAGGGAGGAAAGAAAAGGAAGAGCAGGGATGCCAAGGGCTGGCACCTTTGATCAAGAAGTCAAAAAGAGGGACAAGTGGGACAAGCAAGAAGGACAAAGAAATGAAGCGAAAGTGAGGGGAGATTAGATGCTCCTAACGACCGATAAGCTTTCAAAACGTATCTCGTGCACGCACTTGTATTCCAAAATGATAAACAAGTCAAAGATGATCACAGTCCTTTCTCTGCTCAGGAACGTGATGCTGTGGGTTCAAGGTTGCGCACCTGGGAGGATGGCGAGTGGGCTAGGCTGTTTGGCTGTGTAGTGCGCTGGGTGTGCGGCGTGCTGTGTCGGAGGTGGGAGTGGATGAGGATGAGCTGCGTCATAGGCTGACAAGGGTGGACACGCTTGTGCCAGATTGGGATTGAGTGGTCGCTTTGTATCCCGAACCCATCAAACAAATCCCGGCCTCTGCCCGTCAATGGTCAATTTCTGCAGAGAAGCACAAAACAAAAGAGGATTCCCAGTGCTTGGTCGTATTAGGGTGCGGCTCCAGATCGGTGCTTGAGTGCTTGGACCAGAGGTCTCTCTTACGGAATAGTGGCTCTGGCGGGACCTGGTCGTGCGCATTTCCCCCTCGATATCAAGATTTAAAGTTGGTTGAGGAGACAGTATTGATACTCTCGAAAAACAAGCCTCACGGCCCCGGACTAGCCAAGTCACCTCGCTTCACTAGCCTCGTGGACGGCCGACAAGGGCAGATAGTGTTAAAGTGTTAAAGGCTGGGCTCGCTCTTTTCGCAAGCAAGTACAGGTCAAGGGATTTGGTTTCTGCCCTTATTTCCTCCATCTTGATGGGTGAAGCAGCATTGAATATGAGACATTTTGACCAGCGCTTCTTTTGACGAGGGAGACATTATTCAACAAACATTCAAGTACCAGACACGACCCTCGGCACACATTAGCGGGGACCTGGTTGATCCTACTTCCCTTGGACACCTTCCGTCATTTGTTCCCCGCTGGTTGACGAGTAAAGTGGGGAGGGGCAGTTTCTTCAAGCGCCGGCCGGTTGAGCTCGGGGCTGTGCTGCACTGCGCTTGCGCTGGTCCTTTCCGTATCGATACTCGGGACTGTTCAATGTGTCTCATAGATTGATATGTTGCGCTGTGCTGCGTTGCTTGCTGGGTGCTGCTGGGTGCTGCTGGGTGCTGCTGGGTGCTGCTGGGTGCTGTGCTCGTGCGCGTGCGCGTGTGCGCGATTCAATGTTTTAGTGTGGGGTCGGCCCTCTTTCATGAGCCGGCGGTCTTTGACTGGCCAAGTGCCTGGCTCGGCTATCCACAGTAGAGGAGAAACGAAAAAGAAGAAAAAGGAAGAAAAGAAAGATCCGAAGTTGGAGACGTACGGTGATGGAACGTAGGTGGGGTGGGTGATCAAATTCACTTGGAAGCAGAACGAGGACTGGACAGATGCAAAGCGATCCGAACCTGGTTGAATGAGTCGATCGTGAGATGGGAAAGAACTCATTGCTGCAGGGGAGCCTGGCCCGGGGCCTGGCATCAATCACCGCTCTGCTGACGCCTTCTTACTGGTCACTGGGGAGGATTGGGCTCGATCAACAAGACTCCATCCCCGCCCGCCTTTCCCTGTTGTTTTTTTTTTCTTTTCTTTTTCTTTCTTCTTTTCTTTTTCCCCTTAGTGTTGGGGAGACTCTGGGCGGCACAGGCTCTATCGACCGAATCGTAGCGGGACCTAGAGATGGATCACCGTTGATGTACGAAGCAGGTGAGCAAGACCACGCCCACGCGCAGTAGATGGCCAAGAGCCAAGAGCTAAGAGGCCAGGACCGGGAACAGGGCGGGGTGGCGTCCCCGCTGGCTGCTTGCGCTTGCCTGACCACGCTGGCAGTTGGTCCACGAACTTGGGCATTGGCAAGTGCTGGCCCCATCAAACACTGGCGTGAAACCGTTGTCCAGCGTTTCGAAAGGCCTCAACGGGGCATTTTAGGAACGGGTCTCGTGGAGACAATGTATGCGGATGTATGCACTTGCTTTCGCTCAGTTTGCTAGCCAATAGACATTCCGAAAGCCTTGACGTAGTCTCGTTAATCACACTCGCAACTTGTCCCCGTCCCCACCTTGCCCACGCGCTCACCTCGAAGAACCGTCTTTTGGAAAGGGATTCATTGGTATTGGAAGGGTGCCAGGGCGTGTGATGAGATCAACTGGTCTGCTCTATTGGTTACAGGCCAATTATTGTAATCTTGGTGCTTGGTCTGCTTCGTCTCCAGGGCACGGGCGGTCTATTGATGGACCGTCCATTTTCCATCTCGTCCACCAGCAAACGCTCCGAGCTAAAGGGAATAGAGCCAGTCATAATCTGGACTGATCTGGACAGCGCAGGGTTGAAGGTGTTGAAGGTGTTGAAGGTGTCGAACGGGTTGAACGGGTTGAATTAATCGCCAGGCCAAGGCTTACAGTGCATAAAGTGGCCTAAACCGCCCTGAGATTAGCGTCAAAACTCGTCAAGCACAGCGCCTGAGAGCACCGCACAGGGACCACATAGTGACTTGACCCAATTTGTTCCTCGGTGCAGTGTTCAATGTTCCCCTTCCCCGTCGATTATTAGTAGGAGAATTAATTTCTAGTATTTCCAGGGTCCAGCCCCCACTATTCCTTTTGGAAGCCGCGCCCAAGGCTTCAATCCAGATCCGTTTATCCCAACAACCTCAAAAGCAGGTGTCACCGACTCACCGATCACAGCAACCCCCAGACCTAAAGCCTTGGATATCTCGATCCAGCCCGACCTTGACTGGTCTCTGCCCTCTTTATCCCTTCCTCTCCCAATCTCTCACCCATCTCTACCCCCTTCTCTTTCCCCCTTCCTTCCTATCCTCCCCAAGTTGGACAAACAGATTTAGGATTTCCTTTTGATGTGCAAAACCCTGGATGATCCTTGCTCTGGCCATTTCCCACCCTTATCTACTTGCCCACTTTCAGACCACCAGAGGTCTGGATCCACTCACCATTAGTTTTCACTCTTGAACCCCTAAGACGGACTTCGCCCATTGTACCGGTCTGGTCTTGAAGGATCCTGTTGCAAGTTTCATTCCCTCTTTTATACCAGGAGGGAGGGGTTACCAACTGATTAGAAACCTCCACCCCCAGACCAAACCTTCATTACCGCCATAATCCTTCTCGGCCGTGGTCTGGGCTCAAGTGGTAGGCAGCAACGACAACGACCTTGGGGGAAATCTGATTTCCACTTCTAGGTTTGTCCTACCATCACAAGCCGACTTCGGTACGGCATCTCTGACCTGACCCATATCTTCGCGGAGTCGGCCCAGGGTCGGTTTCCTCTTTCTTGGCCATCTCCCACCTCCTCTCAAATGGCCACCGCCATGCAGCGTGTGGAACCATCGTCACTTCCGGGTGACCTCTGGAGTGCTCCAGGGCCATCCTCCACCCGGACGGTTCCCGACACCAAGGAGATAAGTGTGCCCATGGAAGCAACCACAAATCTTTCTACCCTTCCGCCTGAACTACGCCGATCCATTCTGCTTTGCCTTATCGACCTTTGTCTGGATGCCCCTCGCTCAACGCATTACACGTCACCAGGCCTTGCGCCCTACGCTTCCGTTTGCCAGGAGTGGCAAGACGTGATAGAACGCACCACCTTCTCCGAGATCTACCTTTGCCTGGATAGGCTCGACGATTTCGAGAGGTACGTTGTCGGTGTAAGGCGCTTTCGACTCCGGACCATTCTTTTGCATGTGCGGGCTCCCTCTTATCCTTGCGAGCCCTGCGTCCAAAAGGAAACGTTTGACGACAAGCTGCGCATCAACCGCGTCTTCACCAACACCCTCACTCGCCTGTTTGAACTCATGCACACCTGGTCGCGTGACGAGGTGACCCCTCGGGGCCTTCGTCTGGACTTGACCGTCTCCAGCCCCAGCGACCTCCGAAACGTCAATTTGCAGCTGTGGCAAAAGCGCCGGTGGAACAATCTGGATATCGGAGAACGGAGATTCGCCGATTCCGCCGTCGATTTCGTAGGTTCGGACGACTATCGTCCCATTGTCAACATCCTAAAGCCTGTCTACGTCATCACGTCCTTCGTGTCCGAGGGTCTTTATAGACGTGCCGTCATGCCAACGGCGTATTCCGAAATCATTGCCTCGTTGCCCAGTATCCGCGAGGCCCATCTCAACATCATGAAGGACAGGCAGCCCCAAGTACGCAAGCGCTGCTTCACTCGTAAGTCTATGCCACCGCCGTAGTTTTGATCTGGGAGACAGAGAGAGAGAGAGAGAGAGAGAGAGAGAGAGAGAGAGAGAGCAGGGGCAGGAGAGTAAGGGAGATGGTTCTTCATCAGGCTTTCTTTCCCTCACCCTCGTGTCTTTTCTTTGGTCTTTCTTTTAACCCCTTGCTCTCTGCATATGTGTCGAGGTGTCGTTTCGCGTGACTATTCCTGTGCTGACCATTACGAACCTTTCCGGGGTCTTTTGGGTGCCTGTAGATTTTGGTGATTTAATGGTGCGATGGCCACCATCGCTCGAAAAGCTCGTGATTAGGGGAACACACTGTCGAGTTGGAGACTCATTCCCCACGCCGGCATCGTAGAGGGCGACTCGGGGGACCACATCTCGCGCTGCCTCCGCGACTTCTCTGCCGGCCTCCGGTCTCTCTACATGGCCAATCTTGTCAGCATCAGGGCCTACCTTGATCCCCTTTGGCCCGAGAACGAGGACGATCGCGGCATCATCCCTGCCAAGCCTCCCGGCCTCCCAAGATGTCGCGTCCTTGAGACTGTCGACTTGACATACTCGTCTCTCCTGTACAAAATCGATTGGTACAGTGAGAACCCAGACTTCAACTATCACTGCAAAGTGAATGAGTTTCGTCAGAGCCTGGCCCTTGCCGCCGCCCGTTTCGCCATCCACATGCCGGCCCTCCAGTCATTTACCCTGACCCAGCGTCCCATGATGTGGGCCGGCCGCCATCGCCTACAATACACTGTCGAGGAGAAGAAGGCCGTGTTACTCATTTCAAGCTCTTTTGACTTTGAGCCGGCCCGCTTCGTCATTGACGCGTGGACTGTGGTTGCCAAGAAGTGCGCGAACAAGCCGCTTGTGGTCAGGACGGAGAGGTTGGTGTCCTGCAAGCCTGACGGAAACCAGCCCATGATCCCGCCGGCTACGTTTTAACGTGCTTAGCTCTCTATTGTGGGGTGTAAGGGAGTGTGAGGGGCAGGGGTTGGGATAACTTTCATCCTTGTGGCGTTTGGCATGGCATACCATCATCATGGTCTCTTTTTTCTTTTCTTTTTCCTTCTCATACCTTTTTTTTCCCTCTTTTCTTTCATATTCTTCCCCTTCTCCCCTTTTTTCCGTGCTGGATATCTTGAGATGTGTTGAGCATGGGGGAACGAGACGAGATGACGGACCTATTTTGAACCAGGCAGGCATACCACTTCTCTCTCTCTCTCTCTCCTTTCTTTATTTTCTCTCTTTTCTTTTCTCCCTTGCTCCCTCATTTTCTTCTAGCCTATGTTTCCAGAGCATGATAAACACTTCAGGGCGTATACATAGAAGGGCCAATATTGGCCAAGGAGGCCTTTGGCATCGCACAAGTTTAAAGCTCTATTGCTAGTGCATAGAGAACGAAGATACGAAGAATGCATCAGGTATCAAGGTCAGATAGGGCCTTGGGAGGAGGCGATAATGCGTTGGCCAGATACAGCCAGGACGGAAGGCTACGCTGGCTACGCGGGGAACATTCAATTGCATCATAAATGAAAGACGATAGTGCCTCAAGAATGCCAGTGTGTAATGTGTTCGGTAGAAGAGCTGTTGCGCCCGAGCAAACAGAGGCCATCATGTTCTCTTTTTTTCTGCGCACGTAGTGCTCGTCTCTCTTTGAGTCTTTAGGTGGTAAAGCATAGAAGATTGTATGCTTGTCCATGCATTGTCTTGTTCATCTATTCTCGATATTCCGCAAGATTGGGTTTTATTTTTCATGTTCCGAACTTGGAATCGGGTCGTATATATTCTAGAGGCTCGCTTCTAGATAGTGTGTGGCATACAACCGTGACACGCATACATGGAGGGAAGCAAAAGCCTTTGAACGCCAACAGGATACTTGCAAACATTGGAGAAAACATGACGGGAGAAGATGAAAACGGGCAGGGCTCAACTAAAATCGGTACAATGGAAGAAAAGAATGAGAGGGAGAAGGGGTGGGAACGGGCCGTGGCTGATCCCAGGCTACGCTACCGGCTCCGGCTGCGGTTCGGGCTCATGCTCGGCCCTGGCCTCGGCCTCGGGGGTAGCTTCCACGGTCGGGGTAGGGTCGGTGGCGGCCTCGACGACGGCCTCGTCAATCTCCTTTTTCTTGGCGGCGTCGAGGGGTTTCCAGTTCATGCGCTTGCGGGTCCGCCAGAGCCAGCTCCAGTGTTCCCAAGGGTCGTCGACGAGGGCCATCATGTCCTCGATGTCCTCGCCGGCCTCTTCGCGGAGCTGCATGACCTCTTCTTCGATGGCGCGGCGGGCGTAGCGGGCGGCGGTCCAGGCCTCGCCGACGCCGTTCCACTCGAGGGCGGCGTAGGCGTAGGCCTCGCCCATGAGGACGTGCATGCGCTCCTGCTCGAGGAGGCTGATGAGGAGCTCGGCGAGCTGCGGGGTGGCGGGGAGGAAGGGGTGCGGTCGGCGAGGGCGCGGCGGGCGAGGGTGATTTCGCGGAGGCGGGCGTCGGAGGAGGCGGTTTGGGCGTCGGAGACGGAGCAGACGGGGCAGCTGCAGGCGAAGCCCCAGGAACGTTTGAGGGCGGCGCGGCGCTTTTTGTAGGGGCGGAGGCCGCTGGGGGAGGGGGAAAGAGACAAGGTTAGATTGGAGGAGACTTTCTTTTGTTTTTCTGGGTTGGGACTTACTTGATGTATGAGACGGTGAGCTCTTCGCCGGGGTATATGGTTCGGAGCGCGGTGGCGTATTGGGTAAAGGTTTTGTAGTCCCACTGATAGCTTACGTTGGGTCGGCAGTCGTGGTTCATACGAGCAGCTGTTTATCAATGTCAGCACCGCAGGTTGTCTTCTTTCTCTCCCCGTTTTCCAAGATAAGCTGGAAGGGAAAGGTCAGGGTAACTTACTGTCTGGGAACAAGGCATAGAGCCCATTCGTGTTATCGTCGTCCACCTTGACCTCGAAAGCGTTGGTCACGAGCACCTTTTCCAACGCATGCACCACATCCTGCCTAGAGCCGTGCGTGGACATGTTTAGGACCCTGTCCCGCATGGCCGTAGGCAAGAGCTCGATGCCAAACGCCTGCAGGCGCATCACGTCCGTCCGCTCGAGGCTGTACACGGCGTTGTAGTCGACGAGCAGGCTCGCCGTCTCCGAGATGATGTTTTCCCCTTGAAAATCGTTTCCGTCGCCACGACGCCAAACTCCTTGCCCGGGATGGGCACGACCTTGGCCTTGGGGTTGAAGGTGTTGAGCCCGACCCACCCACCGGCCTTGGACACGGCCAGGTCCGGGTCGCGGAAGCCGGCGTACTTGAGCAGGTGGCGCGCGCGCTCGGCCTCGGTGAGCACGATGAGGCCGCGGTGCGGGCGCCGACGGCGGCGCTGTGGTATACGCAGAACTCGGTCGAGTCCGGGTCCGTGGCGTTTTGCAGCACGCATGGGCCGACGCGGTCCCATGCGACGGGGGCGTCCCGGTTCTTGAACTTGCGCGGGCGGGGCGGGGTCCTCGGCCCCGCCGTGTAGCGCGGGTCGAGGTCCTCGCTGGGGCAGGAGAGGAGGTGCGCCGCGTCTGAGTTGAGGATGGGCGGGTAGCAGTAGGCGCCGAGGTCTATGGACCTAGGGGAGCCCGTGGCCTCTGCGGCGGCCACGGCCGCAGACCAGGCGGCGAGGAGGGCGAGGTCAAGCTTCATAGGTATAGAGTGGGAGAGTAAGAGGGACGGCTGTGTTGACCCACTTGGCTAGCCTCCAATCCGACGAAGCTGCGCACAAGGCTCTCTCAGGGACTGGGCAGCGCAGGGGAAAGGAATAGAATTGGAACCAAGGGGAGGATTGGGAAGAAGAAGAAGAAGAAGAAGAAGAGAGGAATAAGCTAGGAGACTGCCTGAGCACGAATCGCAAAGTTGTTGCTTGGGACGGGACGACCCTTTGCTACGTTGATACTATTGGATACTATGACTTGCATTCGCGGGAAAGCGATATAGGGAGATCCTAAAGCTGAAGAACGGGGACAGGTTTGCAAGGGAGACGGAAAAAGAGGGAATAGAAAAGAAAGAAAGAAAGCAAGAACCGGGAGCTCAAAGCTGTCGCGAGGCTATTCTAGCAAAATGTGGAGAGACAACGATCGCGAAGAGAGAGAGAGGGGCCTCGCGTAGTCTTGTCGCTTCCACTCGTTGGTGTCCCAAAGGGGACAGTTCTACAACTTACACGGGGCGGGAGTACCAGGAAAGGAAACCCCAGCGTATTCTTTCTCACTTTCTGGCCATTGGTCTTCTTTGGGATACCGCAGCCGCAGCAGTCATCGGGAAAAATCAGGGCAACGCATGCTCCAAGGGAGAAAATGTCTGGGCGTATTGCAAGACGAACCATGCTGAAGTGACCAAGCAACTTCAAACGAAAAAAGGACCAGGGTGCTCTTGCATCACGCAAGGGCCCCCTCCGCATGGTCGAACCAATAAGAATCGGCTCAAAGGGGTAAAAAGAAGGGGGATATGCTTCTGAGGCCAAGCCCTTTCGTTTTGAAAGGATCCATGGATCTATGGATGGATGCCGGTCACCCCTAGGCTAGAGAAGCCTTGTAAATGCAGTCAAGAGGGGAATTGGGGTGTTAAGGTAGCGGGAGTAGCTTTGCCGCCGCTAAAAAGAGCCTCTCCCCGCTTCTCCTCCGCCGTCCTGCTTATCAGTTGCGGGTGGATGCATCCATGGGTGAGAGATGCAGAGGCATCTTGGAAGCCAATTCCGGGCTTCGCGGCAAATCGCAGCAAGCTCTCACCGTGCCCGTGTCCCGCTGCATCATCTCTCCCAAGGCCAGACACATGTGGCTCCAGCCAAGCTGGCTCCGCGTGGGCGGGAAAGAGGAGAGAGGGGAACGCGTAACCGTTAATATCGCGGCCAGATATGAAAAAGCTTGGGGTAAGCGGCACGGAGGGATGGAACTCTCTGCCCCAAATTCCCGCCCGATGCCGAAGACTGGTACGCAACACATGGCCTCGCTCGATGCCGTCTTCTTTTCTCCTCTCTCTATCTCTCTCTCTCTATCTCTCTCTGCTTTCTGCCCTTTTATTTCCTTTTTAATGCATTTTCTTTCCCTCCCTCTCGAGCCTCTCTTTTGCCCTTTTCATTTCAAGTTGTCCGAAATAATGATAAGAGGCCCTTGGCGTGTCCCGTCCCAAATGGGGAAGCCATGCAAGCTGATGCAGAAGGACGATGTGACACACTGGACGGCCCAAGTTTGAACTAGATTCGAGGATATAAAACTAGACATTAACCTGTAGGTTATAGTGGGATATAGGAAGGCGGTGGCGGCGGGGACGATTCGATCTTCCTGGATAAATATATGATTTTCGCGTCTCAGAATCTGGGGGATGCTAAGACTAAGAGCGGGTGACCCGTTAACTAAACGTGGACGGAAGCCTCACCAATGCAGTGGAATCCCCTCAAACTTATTCCTTGGGGCACCAGCAGACCAGGTACAGTAGATCAACCCAGCAGTAATGAAGAGATCCATTGGATCGTTCGGACCTGGGTGCCCAGATATCCACTTATGTCTCCATCATGTTTGTCCCGAAAAGCTTCTTTTTCGCTCGCCACAGCGGACAGACCACTGCCGAACCTGTGGTTGGTGTCGCCTTCAAATTTGGTGTCTCCGGACTGGGCCTGAGAAACGAACACGGGGCTTTTCCACATTCTTTGACAGGTCCAGGGCTCCTGTAACAATGGCCTGGCCATTGATGCAATGGATCGATCGATGGATCCATGGTGGATGGATCCATTTGAACTCCTCTCTCCCCATCCGTCCCAGCCACCACCCACCCGTCCCCCTCACCTCCACGCGAGCCACTAACATGTTGTAGCTTCGTCTGATCTTTTTACCCGACGACCTTATCGGCAACGCAACAGCCCTCGGTATTCGCCCCTCCACTCCATTACTTCTACACCTAGGCCTAGCCCTTATGCGGCCATGCTACAGTCTTATTGCGCATGCACCCATCAACCAGGGGCTAAGGAAAGCCCGTGGCTTCAATATGGATGCAAATAAGTGATACGAAATACCCGGAATTGCTACATTGATGGGGAGGGGACATACTAACACAACCTCTATCCACCTCCCACCATCTGCACTTCCTCTGGTCAAAGCAAGACAAGGCAGTACCGAGTCCCCTCCATTAGGAAAAAAACCCTTGATTCAAGAAAACTGTACCAATGGATGCGGGTGCCACAGCTTACCCCTCATATCCGCTATACTCAGTCGCCTCATATTTCATCATATTTCATCTTGTCAGAATCCCCAGCCGAGCTTGGACAAAGACCGTATTGCCGAGTCGCGCCTCATGATGATATTTCTGTCCCTGACCCTTGGGACACCGTGCCATTCACTTATACCCTGCCCGGACGGCACAGGGGTCACGGCCGGGGCTGGCTGGAAACTAAGCCGCACCTTGCACCCCACGAATCGCTCATATTTTCAAAGCATAACTTCTATCGGCCGGAGTCTACTGCCCAGAGTTTGACTGGTATAACATGAGGTATCATATGGTTCTGTCTTGGTATTAGCTAACTTACCTTCAGGTTTGGATGGGGAAGCAAGGTGTTCGCACGAGCGGCGATGCCAAAACACACCCAGAGCGAATACAAGTGAGCTGCTATTGCAAAAGGGTAGAAGCCTAATATTATTGTCTAGAAGGCGTCTCCATCGCTGGGTGTAACTATATTCTTCCTTGAACTGGGCCCATCTGGACCCATCTGAATCGCTGTTTTGTCAAGAAGCAAAGGGGCAATATAGCTTAGCCTCGGGCTGTAGCCGCCTTTACGACTCTGCGTTTGAAGTCGGCCTCTTCTTTGGGATAGATGTAGAATACACTCTTGCCATCAGTCGACTTGCCGGGCTTGGGGGTGGAAGAAACAAAGTTGCGTACAACCTTGAGGACTCGTCGGGTAGCCCCGCACGTGAGCCTGATATCACGGGCATCGTGCAGAGACTCGAGCTTGTCCATAGACGAGGTGGACGGGGACATCACATCTCGTGGCCTGCGACCCGACCCACTCCCGCCCTTTCTACCCCGCCGGAGCTCCCCTTAGCCTTTCCCTTCCCTTTCCCTTGCCCTTGCCTTTACCCTTGCCTCTTCCTTTTCCTGGCCGGTTCTTCGAAGACCTGCTACCCCCGCTAGACGACCCCTGGTCATCGCTATCCTCGAACCCAGAGGGCGGACCCGAGGGGAGTCATCTCCATTGAGCTCCCGGGGAAATTTGAATTTCTTGTCCTCCTCGGCTTTCTTCCTGTCCTCTTCGGCCTTGGCCTTTTCTGCGTCGCCGGCCTCTCGAATGAGGCTGATTTTGTCAAGCAGGATTTGGCCTTCTTCTCGAGTGAGATACTTGACGAGTTGCTATGCAAGGAAGCCAATAGTAAGCAATAATGTTCATAAAAACCAATCCGCTTGTTAGCTACGCCTACCTTTTCGCCTTCGATATGACCCTCAACGATGGTGTCCATGAGCGAGTGTTTGAAAACTTGGAGCTGGGCCTTGCCTACGCTGCAGTCGTTGTCATCAATGACTTCCGCGAGCTTAGCCAGGCCCGCTTTCATCTCTTTGGCTTCCTCAGAGGGCAATTTGCCTAATGGGCCGGCAGCGGCGAGGACAGCCGTGAAGAGTGCGGCGAGCAACTGGAAACGCATCCTGGCGGTAAACGAGCGGTGCTAGTATGAGTGATAAAACTTTTGGATAGTAGCTGATTGAGAGAATGGCAAGGTCAGTCGAGCTAAGTTCTACTGAATCTCCGAGTGTCTTGAGGATGGTTGTGAGACAAAAGGACTGAGTATCAAGAGCCTGTGGACTAGCACAGGAGGGATATGCTAGAGCCCCGTCATCTCACGAGTGAGGCCGCCGACTATATTCGGAAGCGATAACCCATCAGCCCCGCCGATTAAGGTAGGTTCAGAGGAGGCACTTTCCGTGCCGGCCTTCTATGGAAGGAACGAAGTCGGCGGACATGCCAATCTTGCCTACAGCAAAAGCTTCGTCATAGGGGAGCACTAATCCCGTCCATGATCGCCTTGGGACAGAATCAGCGAATTGCACCTGCTTCGTCCCTGGGGCTTCTTTCAGACTTGAGCGCCTCCGTAATCTCAGCCTCAATGGCAGCTGCGACCGCGAGTCTTCCCTCAATCCTGATCATAGACTCATTATGGTAGGCCCTTGGCACGCTATATCGCTTGACCGGTACTCCGAGGTCGAGGCATCGCTGATAAAGCATATCACTTTGCGAGGCAGGCACAAGCTCGTCCCTTCCTGCCGCCAGGATGAAGATAGAGGGTGGCAACTTCTTCTTAGCTTTGCTAATTTCCGCCAAGAGTCCCAGGTTCTTCCAGTTATCCAGATGGTTACGGAGGAAAGGCCAAAGGTGCTTGTATGGCACCCACTTCTCCGGATAGAGAGTTGCCAACATGGCGCGGATGGAGTGGAAGGGGTTTCCAGGATCAAAGCATGAAGGCGAAGCTGCCTTGGGAGATTGGGAGATACGGCTAGGTTGGTCGCGAACCCACATCCGATACTCTGCCCCCAAAGAATGAAAACGGGAGGGGCGCCGTGGTTCTTGCTACTCTGATTAACAATCCATTGGGCCGCAGCTTCCGTATCTCTGTTGATTCCCTCTTCCGAGGGACGTCCCTTGGATTTCCAGTAGCCTCGGTAATTGAGGCATACCATAGTGATGGCGTATGGCCTTTGCGTATCCCGTTCCTTCAAGTTATGAAGAACATGGGACAGATCCGGGAGGCGAGGCGGCATCGATGAAGCGTTTCCTAGTAAGTGTAAGTGACTAGGGGATTCGCCAGGCAATGAGGGATTGATGGATCAATAGCTACCCTGGAAATAGAGTACGTAGACAGGCACGGGGGCCTCCTCGACCCTACTTGTACTATCGGAGCCACCCGCGATGGTGGATTGGCCTGGCCCTTGGCCTGTAACTACATCAGCCACACAGAGAACTAGCTTAGTCTTGTCGGCCGACACGATCCTCTCTTCTCTCCATTCAATGCCCCGGCACAATTTCCGGTAATCGTCAATCTTCTCACGACGTGCGCCAGGAGGCATCCCGGGCATGTATATGATCTTGTTCTGGAACACAACCATCATCATACACTTCCAGACCCAAAGCCCCCAAGAAGGCCGCAAAATATGGCCGGTGGCAGAAGAAACGGTTGGAGAGAGATTTGCCGCGTGTGTCTCCGAGGAAGTAGACATACTCGCGATGCGACCTGTTGGGGCCTAGCCCGCCCGAGAGTCAAAAACGAGTTGGCCCTCATTGCTGTTGCTGTCCCCAGTCGCCGATTGTGGTTGCGAGTGCAGCCATAAATGGCAGTCTACAACCAAAGGCAGAGAGAAGTGGTTCAGATGTAGGTAATAAACAATTGGCCAATTTGTAGGAACTAGTGGGCCGAAACAGACTGTCTGTCCCTTGAAGTATCACGCTTGATCCCCTCTATCACGATTCTGCCCACAAAATAGTTCACCGCCCACAGACCCCTGTCCCCCGAGTTGATTGTCCTGCCATCAAGTGTAAATACTTCACGCCACCCACATGCTTTGATTCGCCCAGGTCGTATGAGGCCAACTACTGCCAACGCATTATCGTGATGCGCTTCCTCCAGGCCTTTCCGACCCAGTCGATTTTTTTCTTTCCTAACACATGCGTACCTTGAGAGAACCTTGGGTACACAGGGTTCAAGCCTAAAGATAAAAGCGGCAAGTGTTCTTTGCATTGATGCAGTCGGGTACGGGTGCTGGTGCCGAGCTGCAGCGTTGCCAGCAGACAAAAAAAAAAAAGCTCCATCTATGTGAAGAAGGGGAAAAAAAGGAGTAGCGAGCGCCCAGCAACCGGCTTTGAATTGTTCAATCTTGTATGGAGTTGATCGGATTCAAGGCCCATGTCGTTTGGTGGGGTACTTGTAAGGCAGCACAGCAAGTCATTTGTACTTGCGGCCCGTGCTGTCTGTCACCCTTCACCCCTCCATGATGATCAAGAACTGACGTGTAAATATGACTTGCTCGCCATCCACCTCACCTCTAGCCAAGTTCCCCTTCAATACCTTTTTCTAGCCGTTTTCTAAAGTTCAACCGTTCTCCTTCTCTGAGTAAGCCCCGATCGATCCGACAGGTTTATTGATCTTGTCTATGAGACTTCTTTCTTCGTGACGAGCCCAGATCCAAGCTTCCATCAACCCCGCCCTCTGCCCTTCTTTTTTTCTCTTCTGCCTTCTTGCTTTCCCCCACCACACCTGCTGCCTAAGACGATTCTGAGCTAGCGATGACGAACACCGATCCAGCAACCCCGGTGAAAGCCACCGCACCGAAGCACATTGAGCTCGAGGAGAATCCGCCCGTGCACCATCCCGGCGGCGAGCCGAGCCCCGGCCTGAGGAATGACAAGGGCTGGGATGGCAAGCTTCGCGTAAACCGGCCGTCTCTGGCAAACCCAGAGGCGCTCTCCGACCCGGAATACTCTGATGACGAGAACGTTTTGGCCGGCGAGGTTATCGACGCCGACGAGAGTATGCTCCCCTTTTTACTTTGGTCTCCCTCTCTATCCCTTGACTCTATTTCTCGAGTTTCCGAGCGGCATCATGTCGTGCAAGTGTGGCGCGCGCGCTATCTTGTAGCACTCCGGCAGGAGCCTGTTGGCTAACCACGTGGAACCTACTTTAGATCTCCTCGACAGCGAGCCTCTCGACACCGAAGAAATCATCGTCTCGCATTCCCGCATCTCTTCCATCCCCAACCTCAAACTCGAGCGGTTCAAGCAGGTCGCCCGCCTTTGCTTTCGCCAAAACTGCATCCAGGAAATCGAAGGGCTCGAAGGCCTCGCCGCTACCCTCAAGGAACTCGACTTGTACGACAACCTCATTACGCGCATTCGCGGCATCGACGAGCTCGTCAACTTGACGACCCTCGACCTGAGCTTCAACAAGATCCGCCATATCAAGCACATCTCCCACCTCAAGGACCTCCGCGAGCTGTTCCTCGTCGCCAATAAGATCTCGACGATAGAGGGCCTCGACGAACTCCAGAACGTGACCATGCTCGAACTCGGCTCCAACCGCATCCGCGAAATCAAGAACCTTGAATCCCTCACCGCCCTAGAGGAGCTTTGGCTTGCCAAAAATAAGATCACACAGCTCACTGGGTTGGGTGGCCTTCCTAACCTCCGGCTTCTCAGCATTCAGTCCAACCGGATCAGGGACCTATCGCCCCTCGCCGACGTACCCAGCCTCGAGGAACTCTACATTTCTCACAACGCCCTCGAGTCTCTCAAGGGCCTAGAAACCAACTCGAAGCTGCGAATCATCGACATCTCCAACAATCAAATTACTAGCCTAGAAGGTCTCGAAACCTTGGCCGATCTCGAAGAGCTCTGGGCCAGCTATAACCAAGTTGCAGATATCGGTGCGGTCGAAAAGGTCTTGAAGGATAAGCAGAAGCTATCGACGGTTTATTTCGAGGGGAACCCCGTTCAGCTTCGCGCTCCCGCGCTGTACAGAAACAAAGTCAGGCTGGCTCTCCCCCAGGTCATACAAATCGATGCCAGTAAGCTTTTACTCCCTAATTCCTATGTCGCTTACTTTCGTCGAGTGTCTATTGCTAACATTTGCTTGCCCTTTCACTAGCCTACGTCAAAGTATAGCGAATTCTGGCAAGGTCGCCAGGACTCTCACCCCAACTCGATACCCTGATATCATACCAACCACATGGCATAATTCCGCTTCGTCATCGCCAGGCTTTCTTTTTTTTTCCCTTCCTTCTTATTCTATCCTCTTCTTGAACCCTACCTTTATGTCCGCCCCACTCTTCTTTGGGCGACCAGAGTTATGCAAACGAAATGGGTATTGTCCCCACATCATGAAATTATTATTTTTACTATTTTTACGAGCTTTAGGGAGGGAAGGGACATGCGTAAACGCAGGGACATACGTCACAAGAGATTTTTTTCTTCTTCTTTCCAAAATTGCTTGAGCCAGAATTGTGTTTGGTTCATATGTTGTGGTTTAACATTAGGGTACCACAATCGGCGTAAAGGGTAGGTTGTGTTTATTTTCTTTTCCAATAGTAAGGTACAGTGAGGCATGATGCATGAGTCTTGAGGGCGAGGTGAGGAGAAGGTAGTTGAGGGGGTAGTGATGGGGAGAGGCGGAGAAGGAGTGGAAGAGGAATTGGTCAGAATTGCCAAGGAACAACGCTCCCCTCCATGGGTGGGTGGGTTTATCTTAATCCAATGTAATTTAGCCCACAATGGCGTAATGGTTTTCGTTCAATACAAGTCATGAAAGTATCGTGGCCTAGCAACGCCTCTTAACCGAAGATCCAGAGGGCGTCGGTGGAGAAGTACTAAAGAAGTTGAAGGTGATAGAGTCAGCAACACGGACACATATTTCGCACAAGGCGCCAGCTAGTCTACGGATCACAAGTGAGGGTCTAGTAACTTACGTTGGAGGGCTGGTTGAAGCGGAGGTTCCTGTCGAGACCGCTAATGGCCTCGAGGTCCTCGCTAGCGAGGTCAAAGTTGGTGGACTCGAGGTTGGCGGTCATGAGAGCGGGACGGGTGGTCTTGGGAATGATGGCAAGGCCGCGCTGGGTGGCCCATCGGAGGAGGATCTGAGAGGGGTCTTGCCGTGCTTCTCAGCAATGGACTTGATGGTCTCCTGCTCGAGGAGGGGGTGAGGCCCTGGGCGGCCTTCATGGAGAACTCCTCAAAGGAGAGGGAGCCGAAGGACGAGTAGGCAGTAACGGCGACGCCCTCGGCCTTGGCAAGGTTGAGGAGCTCCTGCTGGACGAGGTAAGGGTGGTGCTCGATCTGGAGGGTGGCAGGCCTGATCTTGGCATAGCGGAGGAGATCGTAGAGGAGCTGGCCCTGGAAGTTGGAGACACCGATGCTCTTGGCGAGGCCCTTCTCGACGAGGCCCTCCATGGCGGTCCAGGTCTCCTGGATGCTAGCCTTGGAGTTCTTGATCTGGCTCTTGCCGTCGACGTGCCAGCCGGGGGTAGCGGACGCTGGGGTCAACGTACTCGAGGGCGACGGGGAAGTGGATGAGGTAGAGGTCGAAGTAGTCAACACCCCAGTCGGCGAGCTGCTTCTTGACGATAGGCTCGACCCTCTCGCCGTCGTGGAAGGTGTTCCAGAGCTTGGAAACGATGAAGAGCTCCTCACGCTTCACGAGGCCGTCGGCGATGGCGCGGGCGACGCCCTGTCCGCACTCAGTCTCGTTGCCGTAGTCTAGAATTGATATTAGACATAATCCCCTCAATAATTAAACGTGTGTATTATGATGGTGCATCTCGAGTTTCTCCTTTTTTCCCCCAAAAAGTAGGGAATTCCCTTTGACAAAGAAGACAAATGCCCATGGCTTCTTCAATGGTATAGATTATGCAGTGTGTAGTTCGAGGAGCGCGCAGAAGGTTTTGGCACACCAGCCTTGGACCATTCATATGCCTGGACCGTCCCCGAATTGGGAAATGGCCGGGGTGAGACATGGTGCAGGGAAGCCGGGAAGGGCGTCCGTCGCAGGAGTGCGTGGAGGAAGGTGCAGGCCAAAAAAGTAATGAAGTGTGTTTGGGGAGGCAAGAATGGAGGGTTTGGCCAATCAGGAGGGAAAAGTGGGCTGGGTTCATGCAAATCGACATGGCGGGGTAAATTTGGAGGGGTACATCTGGGAGCTTTTTGGCCGGCCCACCCTCGATTTTGCCTTTTGCCTGTTGCGACTTGCTGATCTCGTCCAACAATCCTGCTCTCGTGGGCCTAGCCCGGCCTTGTGTTCCCTCAACCTCCAACGTACTCGGTATAGGCTCGCAAAGCTCACGGGAGCGCGATGGTAGCCATTGGCCCACAGGTAGCCGTTGGTCAACCAACATACGTTGCTGATCCCCGGGGTATTACACGAGCATCAAAAGAAGTTGCTAGGGACCGGAGCTTCCAGAGAGAGTCTCATTTTTGGCGAAACTCGCGTGGGAGAGTATGGAAAGGGAGGTTGCGGGAAGGGGACCGGTACGGATGGAGAAACCAGACGGAGATGGGAGACTGGGAGAAGGAGGGAAACGAGGCGTAAACTCACCGCAAGCGCCGTCGAAGAGGCGGTAGCCGGCCTTGATGGCGTTGTAGACGGTATCGGCGGCGATATCAGTGCCGACCTTCCAGAGACCGAAGCCCACCTGGGGCATGTCGGCACCGCTGCTGAGCTTGATGCTGGGAACGTTGGCCATTTTGGCGGGGTATGCGTGAACGCTTAAAGGACGTCGTTGGTAAGGGACAGAAGGGTAGCTTCGAAGCTTAGCTCGGGGAAGGGCACAAAGTGGCCGAGTGTATAGAGGCAAGAGGGAGGAGGATGGTATGGGGAGTCGAGGGAGAAGCGAGGAACAGACTCGAGAGCGAACTAAGGAGGACGCAGCCATTAATGTAGGGGAGCAGAAGCCGGAGACGTGGTGAGCCTAGGAGATACGCTTCATGTATTTATAAGAGGGGTTTTAAGGTAGAACCGGGAAAGCTATCACATCCCACCTGTGCTGCAACTTTTTCGATACAACTTGTCTTGTCTTTCCTCCCCCTACCTACCCGAGAATGACACCCCTCCCTTCTTTGACCCTCCGTGTAGGACGTGGGATGGTTGGCGGGGCAGGCTAAGGAGAGGAACAAGTGCGAGTGGTGGGGAAGGGGCGGAAAAGGGGAGGGGAGGGGGTGCTAGGATGTAGGATGGCGGAGGTCGAACGGGAGACGGCTGGAATAGGACGACCGGCCACGGCTTTCATCTTGAACGTGGGCGTATATGCAATAAGAAAAGCACGAGAACCGATGATTTTCGCGGGCCTTGGACGCACGTTTGTCGTTTGTCGCCTCTATGAGACTTCATCTGCACGCTCAGCCTCTGCTTTTCTGCAGGAGGACGAACGGTTTGAAACCAAGCAGAATAGCCTTTGGCTTGGCCTCCGTAGCCCGCTGGTTCCCGCTGTGACTTTTCTTGCCAGTGTGGCCGCTCGCTTGTGTCGGTTTTGTGCTTCTAAACGCTCCAGACTGTTCCCTGATGTGCATAGGTACTATACCTGAGGTGTGATTGCATAACGCGCGACGGATTCTGCTGCTGAGGTCAAAAGGCTACCCGGGTAAAACTCCTAGTGTTGGAAGCTTTTTCAAGTCAGTTGAGAGGGCGACAAAAGGAGGGGCTCGGGGTTATTCTCGAACATCGGCTCCTCTCCTTTCTCTATGGGGACGAAGTACTCCACGGGCAGCGCCGCTTTAGCAAAAAGCCTCAAGTCTCCAAGTCCTCCCTCACCTCTTCGTCTTTTTTTCTCTTCTTCCTAGGTTCTTGTTTTTTGCCTCTTTTTTATTTTCTCGTTTTTCTTCCGTTGTTGGCCCCCTTCTAGCGGGGCTTCAAGAGGGTGTTGACGTAGCCAACACCACCAGCTCAACTCAGACTAGCTTTTTTAGCTCGGGGGTGCGTCTTTGGGGAGGAGTGGCGGACGTGCCACTCGAAGTGGTCCCTTTTTCCTGGGACGAGGGATGAATTAAGGACATTAACCCAAGATTAGAAGAGGGGCCATCGTCGAGTGACGACGAAAGGGAAACCTGTTCCTATAGCAAGCGACGAGTGTGACAACCATGCTTGCTGGCGGGTTCTTCTTGGTGACTATGTTTTCTCCGATGCCTTAAGTCTGCGGCTCCGACATGGCGGGAAATTTTAGGTCACTATCAATTTTTATCTTCCTCGACCCTCCATCCAGATATGGTGTCTCTTTTGTACCATTCGCAGCTATAACCAGGGACTATTATTGAACGGTTGTTTGGGGAGGAGGTCAGCAGGTAACAAGGTCGCAGCGCCCAGCGGTCGGCAACGGCGGGCGCCGGAAAGAGAAAGTGGGAGGGGCGGACAGGCGCAAACCCCATTTAGGATCAAAGAAGTGACAACCCCCAAGAAGCTCCAATAAGAGAGGGAAGGAAGGGACATTGAAGAGAAGGAAGAGGGAAAAAAGGAAAAGGAAAAAGGTACGCGAGAAGACGAGAAGGAGCGTGCATGAGCTGGTATCGGAGTATTGGACGAGGGGCACATTATCTCGTCAAGGCTCCGTATTTCGATATTCTCCCCACTTTGTCTACATGTACAAGTATGTGCTCTGCACGACTTGGTGCGCTCGTTCTAACAACGGGCGTACGGACAAATGGTTATTAGTATGGCTAATGACAAGATGTCAAATGGCTGGAGGAATATTTTGGCTTTTGTTCAATCTCCCCTCTCCCTCGCTTATCCCGTGTGGACCCTGGCGGTTGCGTATATCCGCGTTGTACCCCAGTGCTCCCGTCCAACATCAATAAGGGGGAGGGTTCCTTAGCCAGCGTTGCTCTCGGCACTGGAATTCGGTGAAGGCGTAGCCCTGCCTGTTCATGCCCACATCCATCTTGGATCTATGGATCCCATGCGTGTTCCTCGTGAACGGATGCCGCAGATTTCTTTCAGTTCTTTCAGGGGACGGCGGACTTTTCCTCAAAATTTTCTCCGGTCCCTCCTCTGCGATCTCAGGAATACCGAATAGCTGAGGGCCCCCAATACGGAAGCACCTAATTCTAAGCTAAGTTCAACCTTGTGTCGGTGTATTCCATCGGCTACTTCCCTCTGCTTCGCGAATCTGGTACAAGACACACCGGCTACTCGTGCACACACTAATTTCTCGGTGAACAGAACATAGCCACGGTGATCCGTAAAGCCTTTGGCCCGGCCGATGCCCGTCCTGCACCGAATCGGCACCAATGCCAAGGAATACAAATAAGGGAAATGGCAGCTATAACAACCGTCCATGTTCTCCCCTCTTCTGTCGGGCGAGACTACCAAAAGAATCTCCATTGTCCGTGGAAGAGGGCAAGCGACCTGGGTAGACAGGCATCAAATCAGTTTTACCAAGATGAGCGAGAAGAAAAAGGCCAAGTGATATCTTGCCCCCATCTGGCTTACACGGCGACGTCGCCAGCGCCTAGCCAGGAACATCGACGACCTTGGCGAGCCCTAGTTGCCACTTATGCAATCGCCCTCAACACACCCCCTTTATCCCGAAATGTCCTGCTAGGATATCGGGGAGGTCACGCTACCCGTATGGGGCCTCCAGGTTATGAGGGCAGAGGCTGGCGCAAGATGGGGCCAGAGCATCAAGGTCCAACCCACTTTTAGCGGCGTAGCTAAATAGGAATTCGAGAAAACCTTGCCCATGCGCTACTGCATTTAGCCTAATTACAGACATTGAACATTGGAAAGCGGCTAATTCGCCAGTGGAAATTCTGCTCCCTAGACTTACACCATAACCCGCAATGATGGCTTAGCGTGCTCGAACACAAGGAAGAAAAAAAAAGAAGAAAAGAAAAGAAAAAAAAAAGGACCAGCTTGGTATGTGGGAAGCATCGACAAGTGCTGAGCCTGATAGCACTCCAGTGTAAAGACTAACCCATCCAGACTGCGTTCGCTATCGTGCTACGATCCAGGGCTATCCCCCACTTCTCCGCCCATCGCACCGGCCGGCAGCAGATTCCCCTTCAACCGGTCCTCATTCCGTCGCGCTTTCTTTCACCCCCATTATTGCCAGATGTCTACTGGAGGGGAAGCAGTGCTCCTCGGCTCTCCCACCAAAATATGTGCCAGGCCAGCACATGCGAAACCAGCGCATAATACCCAGTAGCGTCGTTCAGCAACAGCAGGTGCTAACCCGTATCTAGGGCTTAGCTCCATCTTCCGGCTTGACAGCATTGGACCCTAAGCCAGAGAGAAGAGCCTGTGACCCCTCCAAGTGACAATAGAGAACGAACGTCTTCCGACTTGCCACGACGGCATACCCCCTCCAAGTGAAAATACTTTGTCTGCTCGGATTGACTAACGGGGTGGGTTCCGATGGACGTTCTCTTGTTTCCGAGTTCCGATTGTTACTAGGCCACTTCAATTATATCCCATACTCTTTTTCTTTCTTATTTCTTCTCTCTCCCTATTCCGCCTTGTGTTTTTTGGCTGGCGTCGAGCTTGGGCAAGCTTCTCGTCCCAGTCCATCCTCAACAGCCCCGCGTTCCTCTCCCCTCCCCCAACCCCTCACTCAAACTCTTTGACCGATAATGCGGGTTAAACCTGTGGTGGCGATCCCAGATGGCCGGAGCGGATGAGTTGCAGAATGGTGTGAGGGTACGTCTGGAACCCGGCCCGCAGATCCTGTGACCATGAACTTGGAATCCCGGCCTCGAATAGTTGAGGGGGACTCGAATACGCTCTGTTCTCAGCTGTGCGTCTCCCTCTTATGCATACGCGGAAGCATCACGATTAAGGATGGCAGGTCTATTATGACCAGGCATAGCATACCAAACCACCCGCCCCTCACCATTTGTTGCCCCGCTCGTCAATGGATGAACAAGGAAGAGCCACTTGTAGACGTGGGCAGACTGGCATTACTATGCGTCTCGTGATTCAAAGCACTCCACAACTGTGCCTCCCGTGCCGTGCTCACCGACCTCCCTAAATCATTTTGCCTCGACCCCCAGAATAAGTATGCGACAGCCAGTTCTATTGGAGGTCCCTCTCCATCGATGTGTACCCGTCTATGCCATTGTTCATCCCCCTCCAAGCCTTGCGCATTACTGTGGTTGGCTCTCAAGGCGTCCGCCCTGCTGGGTCCCATCAACTGCCGGTTGTGGGACGGAGGAGCTCGGTAGTCGAGCACCGGTGCCCCCTGTGCCCTTTTTCTGGGACTGGGGTTTTACTCCTTCAATGGCCGCGTCAAGAGGGGGCTGGCGGGAAGTCTCATTGCTGCATTTTGGTAACATCGCCTCTGCTAAACCGGGGCGAACAAAGCGAAGGCAGAGCGGCTCACCGAGGGGCAAGAGGAAGTGTACGGGAGAACGGGAGTACAGGATTCTGCTTTTCGATGAGTAAGTCGTGCGTGCTCCTTCCCGTCTTTGCTGCTGGCGGGGAAAAACGCCATGACTCTCGCGGCAGACACTTACAAGGATGAAGCCTGGATCCCGGAGCTGAAGTAGCCTTTTGAGTTCTCCTCGCCGTCTTTGCCAATCGGCCTTGTGCTATGTACAACTATGTCGCATATCCGTCGCCCAACCCACCGCTGGCCAAGGTTTCGCAGACGAGAAGCCAGAACCTCGAGTGAAGCGCCGAACGGCCGCTCCCCAATGGTGACGTAGACATGTGCCCCGGATCCTTGACCACCATTCCCAGAAAGGGTATATTCGCGGAAGGAGGAAGGACATAGACTATATCTATCTATCGACCTGTGGTATGTCAAAGTCGGTGAAGGTTACCAGACGTGCATTTCGAATCCGTACTAGACGCTGGGCGCTGCTGGGCGCTGCTGGGCGCTGCTGGGCGGTCTCCCTCACCCACACGCCCCCTTGCCCCCGCTACCCCCACCCAGCTAGCGGTTCCGGTACGTGTGATGAGGGCCGGGTCTATAAATGGGTGTATCTGAAAAGCTGCGACGCTGCTGCGCGTGCTTGTGCACCATGTATCAGTTCGGCACCGAAACGGTCCTAGTCTTACTTGTCAAGACTGGCCGAGGGGTTTGCCCCTCGGAGACCAAGGAAAGCGAGAGAGAGGCGAACCGTGGTAGTGGGCGGGTATGATCTGATTTGAGCGGAGAGGGGGGACAGGAGAGTTTCGACAGTGAAATAATCCTCATGGTCCATAGGGGTCCGTTTGTTGTGCACGTTGGAACCCTTCTATATGGGGATGGGCCTTTGCCCGTCATCTGTTGGTTGCAATGACAAAATGCATTAACGTACGGTGTCTATATCTCCAAGGTGTTCAACAAAATCTCTGCTCCAATGATACCCACACGGCCGTTATCTACATCATCTAAATGATCATACGAAAAGAAACAAAGAGAGGGATACACGCGTCCCCTCCCATACCTTAAAAAAGCCTGCCACGCCTTTGGTACTCTTACAAGGCCTCCACGCTTTCATCCCCATCGCGAATCAGCTCCTCGACCGACTCCTCGAACCGATCGTCTACGGACTCGTCCTCATCACAGCCCGCGCCCTCAGCCTCCTCTTTAGTGACATCGGCGTACGAAGGTGACACGATCGAGTCATCCTTATCCTCCTCCGTGACGACGTCCTGCTTCTCGCTCTCGACCGCTGCGTCTCGCTCGCTCTCAGCGGCAGGCTCTTCTTTCGCAGCCTCGGCGTACGAGGGAGTCTCGAGAGGGGCATCGGCGCCATCGACCCAGACATTGGCGAGCTCGCGCTCGATCTCGGCATGTCGGCTCTTCAATTCTTCTACCTTGGCGAGGCGCTCCCGAATTTCCTGGATCTCGCGCTCAACCTGCATCTTCTCACGCTCAGTGCCGATGCGCTCAAACTCCCACTCATCGCCATTGTCGCCCATGCCTACGACGAGGTTGAACGTGTGGTACTTCTTGAGGGAGGCGCGCGTGGAGACGGTGATGAGAGCTGCGGGGTGGAAAGGTTTGGGTCAGTGGGCAGCTCAGATGATCCATGAATACAAATTGGGGGAATAAAAAGACGGGCGGGAGTGACCCGACTAGGTTGGCTGTGCACTTACTTATGCCCTTCTCTTTGCAGGTTTCGTAAAGAAGACCCTCCACATCACTGGAAACCGCGCTAGTACCCTCATCGATCACGGCGTAGCGAGGCTCATGGTACAAGAGGCGCGCGAAACCCATGCGCTGCTTCTCACCGCCACTGAGCACGTCCTTCCACTCCTTTCGAGTATCCCAGCCGCCCTCGCGGTCGGGGAGATAGCCAAGGCGGGCTTCCTCGAGAACTTGCTTGAGATCCTCCTCAGTCTTTCGCTTCCCGCGCATGTCGTACTCGTTGTCCGGGTAGATGACCTGGTCGCGGAGGGTGCCGACGCTGAGGTAGGGGCGCTGAGGAAGGAACATGATACCGTCCTGCCCGTTATCCTTGGGACGGCTGACGAGTCCGCGGTACACAGGCCAGAGCCCCGCAAGAACTCTAGCGATGGCAGACTTGCCCACGCCGTTGGGCCCGGAGACGAGGAGATGTTCGCCACTGCGCACGACCATTGATAGAGACTCGATCAACTCGTCTCCTCCTTGGGGCCAAAGGCCAGGGGCGACAATGGGAACACCCTCAAACCGTACGCCGTCGAAGCCCTTTTGGACCGTTCCCTGAACATCGGAGAGGGAGTAAAGCTCGCTGTTTCCGCCCCTAAGGTAGTAGGCGTCGGCGTGGACGCGATGAAGGGTGGAGATGAGAGTATAAACACGGCTAGTATAACCAGCGAGTTCGGAGAGGTCTTTGATGGAGTACATCATCCTGCCACCCGCATCGGCAAGGGACAGCATCAGGCGCTTGTTGGTGATAAACTCCTTCATTCGGCCCCGCTCCTTTCCTCCCTTGTCGGCGCCGGAGGCCAACTCCAAGGCGCCTCCGAGACCACCCCAGGCGGGGAGGAAGACGGGCAAGGAGGATAAAAGATACCCATAGGCGCTCCAACTATACTTGAGGATAAAGTCTTCCAGGATATTGTACCGGATCTTGAGCATGTAGATGCCTTCCATAAACTGCTTTAGCGACTTGAACTCCTTGTTCAAGAATCCCTTTTCCATTTCCGCGCCACCATAGAAGGCAACCTCTTCAGCATTAGCTATCAGGCGTGCGTGGAGGCTCCTGAACTCTCCTTCTTTCTTGCCCTCAACGGCCTTCAACTTGCCAAAAGGTGGCGAGAGGCGCCGGAGGATGCTGGCTGTTAGGAAATAGTTGGTCGTCAAGCCGGTCAAAGCTAGGGGCCTAGCGATCGATACAGTTGATAGTTAAAGACACATAGATCGACAAACGGCTTCCCAAGTGAGGAGTAGAGGTTGGCAGCGGACGCGCAAAACAGGGTGAGGTCCTGGGTGATAAACTGATCGGCGCCGTGACCGACGCCGCCATCGAGGTTATGAAGCTTGTAGTAGTTGAGGTTGTTGTTCAAATAGAGGTCGTGAACATAACGGGTGAGACGGGTCCTGAAAGCGATGGAAACCTTGGACTCAAGGTACTTGATCATGGCATTGGTATAAGATGCAAAGCTGCCGAGACCGCACCACTATCGTATCTTCATGTTAGAGTGATATTCGTGAGATGGTAGACAGTGGGGTAGTTGACCATGAGAAACACGAACCTTGAGGATCCCCCAGATGAACTGACGACCATTGCCGGCGACGAGATCCCTGACAATCTCGCCATCTAGCCTAGCTACTACGAGAGAGAGGTATGTGCGGAGCATCAAGAACACGCCGTGGCTGACCAAGAGACCTGCTTCCTTGCTCGTCCAGCGAGGTATCATGATGCTCATGAGGCTCAAGAACTGATGGAGGAACGCCAAGTTGAGGCCGGGCTTGGTCTGGGTGGAAGGGACGGAGCTATCGCGTAGACCCGCCACTCGCGGGGGTTCAAAAGAGGCGTCGGTGGGCTTCGAAGGTGAGGGAATTGGTAGTGTGAATGACAACCTTGGAGGTGCCATTTTTGTATGGTACGTAAATAGTTCGCGAGCCGTCCTTATTGAAAAGGAAGGAATTGGTGCGCACGAGCTTCTTGCCTTGCTCACTCTCTAGTCGACGCCTCTTCCACCTACGCCTCGTGCCCTCACCCGCGAGGATGATGGAGACGGCCAGCGAGAGAGCCGCAAGAAGCCGGGTGGTCCGGGACGTACTCTTTAGGCGGGACCGGATGCGCGTTGTCCATTTCTCGAGGAAAACGGCGATGGCCTCCTCAGCGGCGGTATGCCGGAGGGTAGACTGTACCGTCATCGCTGCTCGGTAGGGCGGAGCGCAGAGAGGTGATTCAATTAGGGCGTGGCTCTATTGTATCGGTTGAACGCGGGTGAAGTTTAAATCGCGGAGTCTTGCATGTTCGTTGGCGAATGCGCAGACACGAAGAGCTGTTCGAGACCCGTGGGAGAATGGCTAGGGATGTTGATGATAGAATCCACCTCGGATATGATAGAATGGGCTATATAGTCCTCAATGGGCAAGCCTGCTTCTAATGTTATTTTTTTCTCTCTCGAAAATTGCGTGGTGGAAGCTGTTGTGGTCCGGGACTGTGAGGGGGTTCGAACCAGCCTGAGTTACATCATACATGTGATAGTTTCTTGCACCGACCAAGACCGAGGCAGTTCATTTCTAGCGGTGCTTTCCCACTCTTGGACGACATCATGGTTCCCCAGACTTGGATAGTGGAGAGGTTGTGCTTAGTCACCCACACGGCAGTGGAGCATTCTGGGTGGGCTCATCTAATAACTTGAAGCTTTGGTTGACGTGAATGCCATGTGACTGGACTTCCCCAGCATCACTGCATGGGTAGTGGCCCCAGCGAACGATTGAACCTCACTCCCTCGATGGCCACGAGCTTTGATCTCGAACCGGGGTAAATTATCTTGTGCGAGAACCACATGTCGATTTCTGAATGGATTATTGAGGATGAATATATTAGAATCTGGCAATGGTGCCCTGTGGCTCTGGAGGCGGTGGTATCAACAGTCGCGCTGCCCACTCTCTCCAACAAAATCCTGACGTTCGACGCCACAAAAACACCTCGAAGTAGAAATCTCCCCGCGGTGGCTTGTGCGAGTCGATTGAATTACCTGGAGTGACTAGCCATGTCTTGCTCACTCCTTTCACGTCTTTCACATGCGCAAAGGTGAGCAGGGGCTGGAAATTGAGACATTTGAGATGGAAGGCAATCAAGGTCCATTCACCCACCTCGATTGGCCCCCACCTCCCACACACCAAGCTCCTGAAGCTGCGGCAGCTCTGTCGAAGGTGATTGTTTCTTCTTTGATTTGCCTGCACACACGCACAAAATCATTCCTAGGGAGACAGGCACCCATCAACGCTGGGCAAGACAAGGTGGCGCACCCTAAAAGCCTCAAACTCCTCCGATCCTAGCTACAATGCTCCGGAAATCTGGGTCAAGTTGGCCATGGCCTAGTCTGGCCGCTGGGCCCGTCCATCCCGCACGCTGACCTTGCCGATCGCCTCATAAGGCCACCTGCAAGGCCACCGGGTAGGCTGTCATGCCAGCTCTCAAGGCAAACCCGTGGCAATGTGGAACAGAGCCTGAAGAAGAGGAATGTTTAAAGTTGAGAGCGTCAGGTTGTTGAAAGTACCTTGCTCATGTCTCCTGTCGACATGGATGAGATCTGGGGCACATCGCCTGCAAGCCAATTCCCCTCACCTTCGCCTCAGTCTCGCTTAGTGGATCAAACTAGCTCGTTATGCTTCACATCCCCTTGGACTCTGGGCTATGAGAGGACGGTGACTGGAAGCCAGCAGGGACAAAGAGCCAGTGACCTGTTGATCGCCGAAACGCATTGGAAGAGATCGGGCTCCTTTGGCTTTGGCGGTTATGGTACCTCGTCCCGAGGACCTGAGTGGCTAGACTTCGGTGGCGGGATGCGTTCCCCGCCCATTCTTGCAACGGGCGGTAACAGAGCCAATCAAGCTCCTAATGGGCATCTCCCCAACACCTTTAAGAACTCAATCACACAACGGGGAGCTCCACACGCTACCCGTCCCTTGATCTTTGAAGCCTTCAATTGAATGATTCTACCCCAACCCACACCGCGACTTCCATCCCTAAAGCGGACCTGTCTAGGATGCTGAATCCACCTCTCTGAAATGCAGCCTGACCTCCTGTGTAGTGATTTTGTAAGGGACGAGTGATCGATCTATTGTATGTATCATAATGTCTAGGCCCTCGCCTTGAGCTGCTGATGGGTGGTGGTTGAGGGTCCTTTTATCCGCAAAACGTAGCCTATTCGGATCAGCTTCGACGGGAACGGGAAGTCTGTCAGATTGTAGTTTTGCCCCTTTCGTTTCTTCTTTCTACCTATCTTTTCCTGTTTTCCTGGTGCTTGAACTGACCACAGAAAGACATTCTCAGTCCCCCATTAGTTGAAATAAACTCACCCATTCACGTGTGCTGCTGCCTCGTAGCCATGGCCTATCTTCCCATCTGATCCAAGGTTGAAGTTTGGTGTGCAAGCCACGCGTGCACTACCCCACAACCGTAACCCGAACCCTTTCTCTTCTTTGAGTCCGGGGAATAGGGAGTTGTTCTCCGCCTTCTTCCATCATCCCGTCCCGCATATCCTGTGCATTGCATTGAGGGGGAGCAAAGCCTCCTATCTCCGCTGTCCGACTCTCATCATACTCACATGCTGACATTGGAGAGAGAGTGCGTGGCGAAACATCACCAACCTAGTTCGGGGCGTGAGGTGGCTGATGATGGGGGACGATTGATCACTGTAGCACGGGGCGCTGTTAAAGTAATGGATCCATCCATGGATGGGTGTATCCGTCCACACCTCCAGCACGTTCAGCTTCCAACCTCACACTAACCGCAGAACCACGGGGGCGAGGGCTGGTCTGTCCAAAGCTATTTTCAGTTGCGAAACGACCATAATGCCAGCCTTCTCCCTGAGGACTCCTGGTTTACGAGTGAGGTACATGTGGTACAGGTTGCCTGAGATCTCGGGAAATACATGACCTTGGACGGCGGGACAAGGATAGGGTGAGAGGACACTCGGAGTGGAGGGTATCAACGAACGACGGGTGTGCACTATTCTAGGCTAACCGAATCACGGTCTGCGGTCCGTTGGAATGCAGTTGTCTAAAATGCGCTCGATCGCGCCCACCCCTTTGTGACCTTGATACGCAAGCTATTCCAAAGTAGCTGTTGGTGACTTGTTACCTTCAAGCATTCATTGACGGGCAGGTGCGCTTTCCCTGTTGTGCCAGCCAGCCGCTCATGCTCAAGAAGCTTGGACCAATGTAACATTTGCTCATCAGCGACCCCCGTCGCCCCTCGGCTCGAAACGTGGGAAATGAGGGCCCCGGTTGAGTAATTTGGGACTTGATTCTGCTGCTTTCATCCACAGCGCTGAAAGACCGAGTCCTCCCAACAATCACCTCTTCCGCCGCGAGGTCCAAGGATCTCATGGTACGGCTGCAAAGTACACTAGTGTACAAGTTTGGAGTGGGTCACCTAGTGCATCTGTGCTTCAGACCGTCGGGACGAATTCATCAAGGCCGATTATTATCCATCCTCTCTCAAGATGGCAATGATTACCAAGGCACGGGTTAAACACGAGCCCTCGTGCTCATACCGATAGCGATAATGCCGCTCTGGGGTTGCGGGATCTTCTAGGAGCTTTGGGAAAGGGAAAGAGAGCTTGATGAGGGAGAGGGAGAGAGAAAGATCCGAAGGAGGGAAAGCATGCCCATGCCGAGCCTGCCTTGGCGCGAAAGACACTTCCCTGTCTCCACAGCGCGTACAGTGTGTGCTCCCCAAATCCTCAGGTTTTCGCACAGATGGTAACATGGTGTCCGGACCTTTACTTGAGCTAATCTCATGGAGAACCTGGGATTGTCTAGGGCGACAGGGGACTGGGGTTGATCAGTGCACTCGTTCCCGGACCAGGAAGGCAAGTTCAAGTATCCATGGATGCATGGGGGCCAGATTATGGGCGTCCGGGAGCAGAGCTCTTGACAATGATACCAAGCTGGCCTTTTGGATTTTTGTGCTGATGCACACATTGATCAAATCGACAAGAGGATGTGTCATCGCTATTCCGCGCGGCATGGTACAAATATGACTTCGGCCTCATCATCGTGCTCAAGTTGTGCTAGCCACTGGAACAATGCCATCTCAAGCTGATGAAACGGGTTACTCTCCTAGGTCATGGACACACCAGTGCCAGTGTATAAATTGCGGTGGGGGTGACACCGAACGGGGACAGTGTATCCGGAATGCGCGCCTGTGGGGAGAAGGGGGTATCCATCAATATGACCGGACAAAGGGCAGACCATGGAGCTCATCTTCATCCCTGTGCCTTGAAGTAGTAGTGTACCTGGTAATAGTCCGCTGCCCGCAAGCGTGGGGAGCGAGAAATTCACAGTGGAAGAGCATGGGCTGGAAGATGGGGAAGCGGACCAGTTGGGCCCACTAGGGAAACGACAAAGCAGTCTATCCACCGTCAATTGCTGAGTGCTCACCAACGGTTCGTAACATTGAATCAAGCCAAACAAACCTTCAAGTCCAGTGCTGTGAGAAGGGGAGTGAGGTGACGATCGTCGGGGGCCAAGGGTATGCCACAACTCTATGGGGTTCGACCCTCTAACCCGCCACAGAAAGGAGGGATGCCCTCGTTTGCTTGCTTCCGCTTGATACGAGCAAGAGACTACCTAGTGTAGGGCCATTGGACCTGTCAGCACTTGAGAAATTGCTAAATGTCGTCAATCTCAATCTCGCCGGCAATATTGTCAATGAACGAACATTGACTGAACCAACATGTACATCTGGATTTATTTAGGCCAGTGCCTCGGGCGGTGGGGAGCTAATTTTAGGGGACTGCGACAGCGTGCGTCTGGTGCTTCAAGATGTGTTGTGGGTGCTCCGGTCATTGTGTGTGATTGAATTGATTGATGGGCCTAGTGCTGTGAACTCGGTCAAGCCATTACGGTCAATTCATTTGACAGGGACCATCTCCAGGAAGCCCGAGCCTTTCAACCCCTGCCGGAGCCAGTGCAAGTAATTCATCGCTCGTACATGGCCAGATAGATTGATTCATTGATAGATCAATTAGATGGATAGTTGAATAGATCCAGTGTTGAAAACGGGTAAACCACAGTAAAACTAGTATTGACAATTGAAGCGCAGTATTGCTCAGCGCCTTCATCCCAGCACTTGCCCTTCGGTCCGCTCTCGCTCAAGCGCCGAGCCCCAAACCGCCCTCCATTTGGTGCGTGGGAGCATAGGCCAGACCAGACCCCTTGCCGACCGTACCCCCAAGAAGGATAGTCATCTCGCTTCCTCAGCCTCTGATACGTCCACCTCAATAACCTCTCCCGCCCGTCACTTCCCTCAGTCCTCTCTCCCTCCGAATCTGCCAATCCGTCCAAACCTTTCTCTCCGTCCTCCCCATCACCCTCCCGAGACATTTCTCCTCCTTCCTCGTGCCCCGTTCTACACTACTTCCGACTCGACAGTTCCTCACGAAACCCCGAGTTTTGCGCCGTCATTCTTTTTGGAAAGTGCGGGGACCGCGTCCTTTTTCTTCTTCCTTTTTACTCCTCCTCCGACTCTGGTCAGCCCTGCTCGTGCTTTGCGCGGGTCTGTTTCTCCTCAGTACTCCCTCCCTACAGTTCCGTGGTGTGCACTGGAGCCCGACACACCAACCATCAATCCGTCCTCGCCTTGCCTCACCTTGCGCACGCGTCGGAAAACTGGGTACGCCAGTCTCGTCCTCCACGCAGAACCATCAACCGGCCATTGACGACTCGCCCCTCTTTAATTGTGCATTCTCAATCGACGTTGCGCAGGCTAATTTTTGCGAAAGCTCACTCTTTCCCTTTTTTCGTTGGGTGGTTTTTGACCGTCGCGACTTCGGACTAAGTAAGCTTTGGAGACGTCGGCGTTTAGGGGCTGGACCATCGAGGCACCTTGCCTGAATTACCAAAAGTGAGTAGAGCCTTCCCCTTCTTGCTCGTGCCGCTCCTTAGCCCCTTCCCCCTACGGCTTGTCCCCCTTTCGCTTTCCCTTTCGCCTCCCTTTCCTCCTTCCCTTCGAGATTTTACGACCGCCCATTGTCCCCGAGTCTCTTTGTCTCCCAATTACGTCTTGGTCCTCGCCCTATTATCTGTTCCCCAGTTTCCACATTCTTGTGAGAACTTTTGGACATTGGGCACGCATTTCGCGCGCGCCGTCATTTGCGTACCTTCCTAGCGCGCCTGAGCGCACCCGAGCTGCGTTGCATTGCCTTGCCTGAACTCTTCGGATTGGTCGCAGCACAACAAACACCGCTCATTTCTCACCCTTCTCTCTCTCGTGCCTAACCTCGCGCGCTCCAAACCATCCGCCAATGTCATAGACTTTAGTCAAATTTCTTGCCGTACTAATTTTTCCCGCGCTCAGTTCCTCTGTTCAGTCAACGGACAAGGCTGTGATCGCTCGCAATCGGCGCCGTACAGCGATATGCCCCAGGAGATAGAGCTCCTTGCAACAGAACAATCCGCGCATCAATCAACCGAGAAAGGCAGGGCTTTACTTCCCGTGCCGGAGAGAACGTCGTCTCAGAAGCACCAATCTTCGCCTACGGCATCCGGACTCAGTGGTGTGACGGCCAGCGATTCACGCCAGAGCCTCGGAGACCTGTCTAAAGAATCCGCAAGCATGAAAACTAGGCAACGAAACGGCAGTGCTTCCAGCCGCCGGTCTGGAGGTGATACGGAACCTACCACTACCCCCATCAACTCACAACCCACTTCGCCTGCCTCGGCACCCCAAAAGAAGAAGAAGAGTGGTGGCCTGCTTTCTCTTCTAGGCTGCTGCGGCGTTCCCGACACTGGAAATAACGGAGAGGGGTCTGAGGAAAACGTACATAGACTCGATAAGCTACCAAACAGGCCAGCTTCTTCGCGGCTGACCGCCCACACTCCTCCCGACCAGCAGCCCACCGTTAACGTGAACAAGCGGTTAAGCGAGAAGGCGGCCGCTGCCGAGGCGGCGAGCAAGGAGGCCGCCCCCAAGGACAAGCGCGCCTCAAATTCAAGCACGCATGACCAGTCGACCGTTGCGGGTGAGCGAACTGAGCGAGATTCTAAGCAGTCGACTATTCCGCCCCCTTCGGTCCATGTCCAACCTCCCACCAACGGCTCAACAGTAGAAGAGCCCATCGCACAGGAGGGGACGGTGAGTGACGTGAGGGATGAGGAAGGTGACATCAAGATGGCCGACGCCGAGACGTCAGAACAGCAGCCCCCAATCACCCAATCTCAGCAAGACGAGCAGCTAGCTCAGAAGCCTTCTGAGCAAGAAAATTCCCGTGGCGAGTCTGCCGTTCAAATACCACCCGTTCCTACGGTACCCGACTCGTCGGGCGACGCAGCAACAACTCATACACACGATGTTTCTGACGCGTCGGATTTTGCTCCCGAACCTCAGCAGATCTCCCTATTACCGCCCATTCGACCTGAGCACAAGGGAAGGAAGTGCCTCGTTCTCGACCTCGACGAGACTCTGGTCCACAGCTCTTTCAAGGTATCGTTGACAAGAAAGACCCCACCACGCTCTGCATTACCAAGCAACTCCCCAAAGACGCTGAGAATGTAGATCGCTAACTCATGTTCTTGCAGATTCTCCACCAAGCCGATTTCACCATCCCTGTAGAGATTGAGGGAAACTACCACAATGTCTATGTCATCAAGCGACCCGGTGTTGATGAGTTCATGAAGAGGGTAGGAGAGCTTTATGAGGTTGTCGTCTTCACAGCCTCAGTCTCTAAGGTAGGCCACAGCGCAGAACAAGCAAGAGAGGATGCCTCGAATTCGTTTCTGTTGACTGACCTTCTGATGCAGTACGGCGACCCTCTCCTGGACCAACTCGATATCCACAACGTTGTGCATCATAGGCTGTTCCGCGAATCCTGCTACAACCACCAAGGCAACTATGTCAAGGACTTGTCGCAGGTTGGACGACCCCTGAAGGACACTATCATCATCGACAATTCGCCCACCTCGTATATTTTCCACCCCCAGCATGCCCTCCCAATAAGTAGTTGGTTCTCAGACGCGCATGACAACGAGCTCCTCGACCTAATCCCTGTTCTGGAAGATCTGGCCGGCTCCACGGTTCGGGATGTGAGCCTCGTCCTCGACGTCACTCTTTAGAAGCAAACATATCGACAAAAATGGACAGCATTATGTTTCTCGTTTTACTCTTACGGCATATCTTTGATACCATCGGCTGGGTATCTCCTCGCGACCAACGGAGAGAATCCCCTATTATCACTGGCTTCCCGTCCCCAATCATAGCGAGAGGCGTTTGGTTGAAAGCTTTGAATCTGAAATGTAGGCACGGGGATTGTCTTAATGTCTATATAGTTTTTTTTTCTCTCTTCGGTGAGTCGCTGCGAGGCAGCGACTGTGCGTCAACATCACACAGGCAGCTAGTCAGTGGGCTAGACAATTGTCCTAGATTTAATTCTGGCGCACTAGCTGGAGCCGCCCTAGGGATGATACTGGACCGGCCCTGACTGGGTTGTGGTGGTTTAGCACTGCTTTGTACCACGGAGACAACCTAGGTTGAGCTGAAAGAAGTCTGATTTTGGCGTCCTGGTGTATTCAAACTTGATCATTGGAGGAGCTTAGTAGCCGAACCCTCAGCAACATGGCGAGAACTGGGACGGGAACGGGCCTCCGAACGGAGATGTAGGACATGCGATGTCGGATTCCATGTCTCGTTACACTGGTATTTGTACCTCTCGTCCTCTCTCTCTCTCTCCCCTCTCTCTTCAGCCACGGGGAGGTTCCTTGACGGAAATCCGGCGCGGGTGTTGGGTGAAGCAGAGAAAAAGTTGGATCGTGGTGCCCGGTGCATGTTGAATCAGCAGCATGGTCTAGAACCTAGACGATCGTTTTCTCATATACCTCTGGCATTTCTTGTTTATCTCCGCGGTTATTACCACTTACCTTTCCTTTGTCTCGATCCAGCCCAGTTTTATTTCCATCTTCTGTCTGTAACTTGTTTTCTTTGGTCATTCCATATTAACACCGCCATCTCTCCATAACCCATCTTTACTCACAAATTTCACTTGACTTTTCTTACCTGTTGCCTTCCACTACATTTCTCACTTCTCCTTTGTTCAATTTCCATACATAATACCCTGTATCCCTCCTTGCGCAGAACTATGCGTCTCCTTTCTTTTCTTGCGAGTGGGAGAGATGGGGCCGGGGATGAGGTGGACGAGGCGGACAAGGCGCGAACAGGCAGGTTGAACAAAGCGTACACTTAAGCTTACAGTTTTTTTCTTGTGTCGTTTTATTTATTTTTGAAGAGAGGCTCTCGGAAGGATACAAATCGGCTTCATCTGTTCAATATTCCGATCTCATAGCAAAAACGACTTGTCATAGCAGGTGCGAAGAAAATGAGCGAGTTAGACCAAAAGAAATCAAGTTGTACTTGAAACCCATCTTTGCACTGGCAATCTCGATGGTTGAGTGAACAATCTGTGGATGTTGATGGCGGTGCACATCCGCTCGATCTAATGAGATATAACTCAGCTGTCTCTCTGGACGAAGGCCTGAGACATCGAATCCAGAACACTCGCACAACCGCCTCTCGCGAGAACTATTTGAATTCTAAGAAACGTGAAGTATTTATTGATCACAACATTTAACGATGGGTTAGACCAGGAGCGAATGTTCAACGCAACGTGATAAATAGCCTCCAAAAGACAATACCAGTCCTCGCGGATCTCGTCTATCCTAGAACTAACATATACTCGAACAATCACCTCATAATACAATATTTCCGAATTAGGAGCTCCCCTTGCTCCTGTTCAACCTCAAGGCAGTGCGCGTCGGCAGATCATCGGCAAATTGAATAAAATTACCTTGCCAAAAGAGGAAATGTAGCCCCTTCCAGAAGGATACTGGGCTAGACGCGGCGAATCCCGTTCTTCCTTCAAGAGCAGAAGCTATTTGGCTGGCCCGAGCTCTGAACCCAACCTGCGTGCGTGATGTACCGTGGCCTCAACTCGGACAATGAGTGCGAGGCCCAGGAGGCGATCCGTAATTTTGCCAGCCATCACCCAGAGTCCCAATTGACACCTCGCAACCCACAGGACACGAACACATCTCGACCACACACTCCAAAGCCCCTTGTGCCTCTCTTCCTCTTCCATTCTTTCGCAACAGCCTTCCATATCAGACCTGAGCATCCTGCAGCGATTCTCAGATCTTGATTTTTTTCTTCTTCTTCTCATTCTGTCGCCTTTGTAATTGTTTATCCTTAATACCCCCTTTTATTTTCTTCATCTCCCTCGGACACAATGGTAAGCAGGCCTCAAGATTATGCGTGACGCGACTCTTCTCTCCCTGAATTGAACACTAGCCCGCAGACATTGGGAATTCCATCTCTTGTTTGATCGCGCGCCGCTATCCCAATCGCATCCGTACATGATCTATAATCCTAGGGATTTGAAAAACAAGCTGACCTTGTGCTCTTTCGACGAACGATAGTCTTCTCCCCGTGCCTCGTCCCCTACCGGCGCCGCCACCGGCTCCAGCGTACGACCTGCCTCGCCCTCAGTCCCCGGCGGTCCTAGGACCGTCATCCGCCGCAGGGCCGCCGCCGATCAGAAGGAGAAGATTGCCAATGCGCGCCCCAGCAGCACTCGCGCCGCCGGCGCCGGTGGCAGCACCAGCACCATGCTGAGTATGACTTCCTTTGCTTCCTAATCCCCCGGCGACTCAAGGGAGGGGCGATCATCTTGCATGGTAGTCGTGAATCAAGACTTGCGAGATGCAAAGCTCCTCGACATGAGAGCGCCCAAACAACGCCCAAACAACGCTGATGCTAACTTTGAATGGCTAAATAGGGCTGTACACCGATGAGTCTCCCGGTCTCAAGGTCGATCCCGTCGTCGTTTTGGTTCTCTCCCTCGTCTTTATCTTCAGCGTTGTAGCCCTTCACAGTAAGTTCCCAAGACCGTGGCTTGATAACGATATGGTTCCCCTCGCAGGAATGGGTACTAATTCGTGACTTCTTTCTCCAGTCATCGCCAAAATGACCCGCAAGTTCTCCAGCTAAACGCCGCGCGGATACCGCACATATTTGGCAACGAACGGGCCGAGAGAACGGAGGGGAATGGTGACCGGGCGTCGGGCTTCTTTTCCGCAAACTTCGATCAAGTCTGACATGACCACGGCTCGAAGCGCACTGCAGCATCTCTCACACCGACAGTCAGAGAGCCATGCCTTATTCTACTTTCGTCTTGAAATCCTTTTAAAAATTGATTTGCCTTCGTCGCCGGGACAAGGAATGGATGGAACACCTAGAGGACATATTTCACCAAACAGAACAATAAAAACAGAGCAAAAGAGAATATGGGGAGGGGAGTGTTGACCCTTGGCAGTTGACGAGGAAGGGTAGGCTGAGGCTGGAGTACCTGGTCTGGGCGAGGCATGATGACTGCTGCTTGCCCTGGGCCGGCTACTTTTCCTGTGCGCTGGGGATGGGCTATGTACATTACAAAACGGTAGTCTGGGTTTACATGCTTTATACACAAAGGCCACCGCGATGAATCTATTTTATTTTTTTCCCAATCCATCTTGCTCGAGAAGTCATGGCTAGAGATCATTTGTCACCCTCTCGCACACGACACGACACGACACCGCACGAGCGGTGCTCAAGATTAAAGCTTGATTGTCGAAGGAGGGAAGAAGGTTAAGAATTTAGGCCTGGGTACTGGCGAGCTAGTTCGCCTACCCCAATCCCCCAAAATGCAGCCCGGTTGGGAGTGGGATGTGTCCGTCGGTTTGTCGATGATGGGATGTGGACGGGGCAGCGTACAGTTTAGTTTGATTTCAACGTAGCGGGACTTAGGTTGTCGACTTCCTCGCGCTACAGCCCATATCAGAGGTACTAATCATCAACCTAGCAGCCCGGGTGGCATCATCAAGCTATCTCTTTCCAGACCATGAGTATGATCATTGTTGTTCATACCCGCTTGGCCAGATTGTTCTCTTTGTGGTACCTTAGCCACAGAAACTAAAACAGCTGGTGAGCAGATAATTGATGGTGAGATTCGCTTGCCTTCATCACCCTATCACACACACCTTTCTCGACGCTGTCAGAGCCGTGTCATCATCAATAAATTATCTACGTTGCTCAACTTGGGGTGCTTTGTGTTCCCATATAAACCAATGAAAAGATGCCTCATTAACTTGCAAAAACCTGGTGCCTTGATTGATTTGTTGCCCCTTTGGGTGACCTGTGGTGGCGCTGAGTGGCAGGGCAAGTTCGAGATCTGGGAGGATTGAGGACGTCATGGGTCGGCCGCAGCACTGGACGCTTGTGCGAGGTTCCAGTCAGGCCCCACCAAAGCTCCGCCATTGAGCAAGAGGGGCAACTGGGGGCCCGCCGTACATCAGCATCGCTCCTGCCCGCACAATCGGCCTCTTTCCCGAGCCCCAAATGTGGATTGCATCGTCTGCGCCCGCGTATTTCGTCGTATTTTTCTGCTCCTTTCCAACCTGATACCCTTTCTCAATCATCTATTGGGCTGACGATTGCCCTCGTTGTTCCCAGTATCTCTTCTAATCCGTGGTTGCTTCTTTGCTCTTGTCTTGTTTGATCTTTTTGGCCTCTTTGTCTTGAACCATATTGATAGATACCCCCAACTACGTCGCGCCTCTCAGCTCTCATTCATATACCCCCAGCTGCAAGAAAATTTGGTCACAGAGGAAGAGAGACGAGCTACCTTCAACGAGAGAGGAGGAAGCCAAGCGAAAAATAGTTACTCGAAGACGAAGAGCGAACCCAGGAACGACACCATGGTCCACAAGCACGAAGGGTCGGCAACGCCAACTCCCGGCCGACCGCCATCGATGTTGAGACAGAGCATCGACGGCCGGGCTGCGCTGGTGGCTGATGGGTTCAGTCCATCCTATTTCGAAGACGAGTCGAGAGAAGCACCCCTCCATATGGGGAGACGCACAACCAACTACAATTTTCGCAGTCCGGCTTCGATGCTGGGGCTAACGTGACTGGTATGGTCCCGTCTTGCTTATCGTCGCCCCGAAAAGTTTGCTAACATGGGCTACTCATCCCCACGTAGACGATGGCCGTGTCAATATAAATATCAATCAAAGAACCAGGAAATTCTCCGACCTCCTCGGCCATACTCTCCGGGCCCAGGTAGCCGCGGACGCTGTCGCTTCCCCCGCCTCACCCTCTATACCGTACATTCCACCAACCCTGGGCGGTGAACCCGGCCAAACACCCCCACCGAGACTCAACGTTGTCGTTCAAATTGTCGGGTCGCGCGGCGACGTCCAACCGTTCGTTGCGCTAGGCAAAGTGCTCAAGGAAACCTACGGCCACCGCGTTCGCATAGCGACCCACCCTACATTCCAGAAGTTTGTCGAGGAGAATGGGCTCGAGTTCTTCAGTGTTGGGGAGACCCGGCCGAGCTCATGGCCTTCATGGTCAAGAACCCGGGACTCATGCCAGGCTTTGACGCTCTCAAGTCTGGCGAAGTAAGCAAGAGGAGGCGCGGGATGCAGGAAATCCTTATGGGATGTTGGCGGTCCTGCATTGAGCCTGGGAACGGCCTCGGTCCTGCTATACAACCGCACAGGAAGGACCTAGAGATGAATTATGACGATACTGCGACTCTACCAGGCGACCCGACAGACAAGCCCTTTATTGCCGATGCCATCATTGCGAATCCTCCGAGCTTCGCGCATATTCACGTGGCCGAGAAGCTCGGCATCCCGCTACACATGATGTTCACGTGAGTCTTGCGTGCCAAAGTTCAATCTTTATGAACTAGAGTCCTCTTGTATACTATGGCGATGCTAACGAAACCCGCTAGCATGCCCTGGTCACCTACCCGAGCGTTTCCCCATCCGCTCGCAAACATTTTGTCGTCAAACACGGACGACGTGATGACCAACTATGTCTCCTATGCCCTCGTCGAGATGATGACGTGGCAGGGCTTGGGAGATGTCATCAACCGATTCCGTAACACGGTGCTGGACCTTGAGCCTTTGTCTTTAATTTGGGCCCCAGGCCTTCTCACAAGGCTACAGATCCCCTACACATACTGCTGGTGAGTAGGCAAAGAAAGATACCCCCCTCCCTGCTCTCCCTACGGACACTCCAGCTCTAGTGTAAGACGTCTTCTAACATGAAGAAAAAAGGTCGCCGGCGCTCATCCCAAAACCGAATGACTGGCAGCGCAACGTTGATATCGCCGGTTTCTTTTTCCTTGACTTAGCCAACTCTTATACTCCGGAACCATCTCTTGTCCAATTCCTAGAAGCTGGTCCGCCGCCAGTTTATATTGGATTCGGCTCTATAGTTGTCGACGACCCGAACGCGCTAACGAAGCTCATATTTGAGGCCATCAGTATTGCGGGAATTCGGGCGCTAGTATCCAAAGGATGGGGAGGCCTGGGCGCAGATGAAGTTGGTGTTCCTGAAGGCGTCTATATGATTGGAAACTGCCCACATGATTGGCTTTTCCAAAAGGTCTCCTGTGTTGTCCACCACGGCGGTGCCGGCACTTCGGCCGCGGGAATCTACGCCGGGAAACCTACCGTCGTTGTCCCCTTTTTCGGCGACCAGCCTTTCTGGGGCGCCATGATTGCTAGGGCAGGCGCCGGGCCGGATCCTGTGCCATATAAAGAAATCTCCGCTCAGAAACTTGCGGATGCTATTGGCCTAGCACTGAAGCCCGAAGCGGCGACCCGGGCAAAGGAGCTGGGGAGGAAGATTCGAGAGGAGAAGGGCGCTGATATTGGGGGTAAAAGTTTCCACGATCGGCTCGACCTCAAGTCCTTGCGCTGCTCCCTGATACCCTCACACGCCGCCGTGTGGAGGGTAAGGCGAACTGAGGTGCTACTCAGCCCGTTGGCCGCGGAAACACTTGTGCGGGAAAACACGATTCGATACTCGGACTTGAAACTCTGGCGGTCGCACGAGTATAACACGGAAGGGCAGCCCTGGGATCCTGTATCCGCGGTCACTTCGTGCCTTGTCATGGACTTGAGCGAGATGGCGCTTGCCGTGGCCGACTTCCCCGTGGCATTTTCCAGTCAAAGAATCCCAAGGACGCAAAACTGCCAAAAGACGCCGCGAGTTCGACCCAAGACGTGCCAGCGACGCTAAGCAACACAACCTTGGCCACCTCGGTCGCTTCGTCTGCGGGAGGATCTGTTGTTGCTGGATATGCCGAGCTCCCTGCTGAGACGATTGGGGACGCGGAACCTGTCGAGCTTCCTGGAAGCATTCCTACACCGCTGACGGAGCGGGTTGTTTCGCCTCTCAGCGCCCATAGTGATTTCCCAGCCTACGCGACGGATATATCTACAAGGGAACAGGGAGGCCGACCTGCTACGGGAGAGTCGGGACAGAGAGGTGATCTTGGTGTTCCTAGTACGCCGGAGCGGAGAGGCACTGGCTCGCTCTCGACATCTATCACGCCGGTAGTGACGGTAACCAGCGATGAGACAGACGAGACGCCAGCAGGGCACACACGATCCCCATTCCGACTTTCATCTAGAAGCCCGGGACACCAACGGAGTACCAGCTGGGGTAGCAACAGGGGTCTAGCCGCAATCCAAGCCCTGCTCCGCAAGAAGAGAACCCGTATCGAGACATAAACATAGAAGATCTTCGCGGTGCTGGAACTAGCGTGCGGAGAATCGTGACCACGGGTGTCAAGTCACCCATGAACTTTTGCCTTGGTCTAGCTAAGGGGTTCCGAAACGTACCTAAATTGTACAATGATGAGACTGTACGGCCGACAGAGAAGGTGACGGGGTTGGCGAGCGGGGTCAAGGTGGCCGGTAAGGAGTTTGGCCTGGGCCTATATGACGGCATCTCGGGCCTAGTCACACAGCCCCTCAAGGGCGCGGAGAAGGAGGGCGGTATAGGCTTCGTCAAGGGGTTCGGCAAAGGCGTGAGCGGTGCCTTAATGAAACCTGCTGCCGGTAAGTGACTACCCAAGCAAACTGAGGACCACCAAAGGTTGCGTCAGGGAGATCGAGAGAAGATGGGGCGCGAGTAGAAAGACAAAAGGAGAGAACATTGTACTAACATGCAGCAATAGCTATCTGGGCAATTCCCGCCTACACGATGCAGGGCGCGTACATGGAGATGAAGAATAGGTTTGCAAAGAGCATGCACAACTACATCATCAGCTCGCGCATGATTCAAGGAGCGAATGATTTCGAAGCAGCCTCGGATGAAGACAAGGCTCTAATTTTCCGAGCGTGGCATAGTTCTAAATACGACCTCAAGGGTTTGTACCAGCTGAAGCTCAAGGAGGCGAAGGAGTCCATGGACTCGGTGGCGAGCGAGGCTAGCTCTAGTCGAACAGCGCCGAGCGCTCATCATCACCATTCCCATGTGGACTTGGCGGCGTTACTGGCGCCTCGGTTCGGCAAGGATTCAATCGGTCACTTTGATGTTAACGGCAAAAGGCTTCTCAAAGGCAAGCAGGCATGGAAGAGGAGCTATATCGAAGCCGATGTGGACCAAAAGCCCCACGATGACGAAGAGTTCGAGAGGGCGATCCAGACGTCGGTGCGCGAGACCTCGCAGGGCAATGCTGAGGAGGATCGATTGATTGAGCGAGCGATTCGCGCCAGCGTGTCTGAGTTCCAGCGGCGGGGTTCACAACTCCCTAATCCGCGGGAGATGATGGATGTCAAGCGACCAGAGGGACCGAGCAGCGCGGGTACCGAGAGTACCGAGGATGTCGATCTCGAAATAACAGATGAAGAGTACCAGGCGCTCATTGAGAAGGCGATTCAGCAGAGTCTGATACTCCATGCCTCTGGACTCACAGGACCGAGACCTGGACACGGAGATAGCGCAAGCGAGGATGGCGATGAGGAGCTCAAGGAGGCGCTCGAGCGCTCCAAGTCTGATGCATCAGCCCAGGCAGAGAGCGTCGATCGGGAGGCTGAGGAGATGAAGAAGGCTATTGAAGAGTCAAAGGCTAACGCTCATTTTGGGTCGCAAAGGCCCCGTTCTCACCGGCAGGAAGTAGGTGAGGGGAAGAAGAAGAAGAAGAAGGAGAAGAGGAAGCCATGATACGGCGGGCGATCGAGGAGTCCAAGGCCACGCACGAAGCTGAAGCTACCCGGGCGGCTACGGCGAAGACGGAGGAGGAAATTGTGCTAGAGTTTGTACGGAAGCAGAGTCTGGCAGAGGAGGAGTTCCGGAAGCAGATGGCGCGCGAGAAGGGTAAAATGCGAGATACGGGGCCTGAGCACGAGGACCAGGGCCAAGGGAACGACCATGAAGATGACGAGGACGAGGATGAGGACCTGAAAAGGGCTCTTGAGATGAGTTTAGGACTGCACGAGGACGAGGAAGGTAGGAGCAAGGGAGGTCCCTCGACCTTGGGATGAGTCGTTGGATAGGATGGAGGTCTAACGAGGTATCTTTTTGCGAATTTACTGTACTTTTCGGTTTTACCAACTCGACCAACAAGTTTCTGGGCACATGATACAAATTCCAAAAACCGCCAATGATGGGATGGGAGTGAGAGGGGCAACAAAGAACAACTACTTCGTATTCAAGCAAGCGATGATCAAGGAAGAGGAAGGGAGGAAAAAAACATCCCATGTCCGTTTATTCTCGTATGAAATCTAGTAAATCAGAATACGCTACCCTAAACGCCGGCTGTGGAACATGTCCTTATCAAAAGGCAAATGTAATGTAATGTATGTACAGTCCTAGTCCAACAAAAGTCCGCATTATAAATTTTATGCGGGAGAAAAACCCGCACCGAAGGAGTCAACGTGGTAAGAAACGAGAACTGGCTCGTTTCGATATGCACCGCACGCATAGACACGCGGACCGCGTCCCAAAAGGCATCATCGATGGGTCGTTCTCAGCGGGGGTCCCTACCGGCCACCCCTCAGCCTCGCCATCAAGCCCGAAACGCCGCCAGAGGGAGCTGCGGATGGCGGGGACCGGGCGGAGGCGCAAACTCGCCCTGAGCGCCGGTGCCGGGATGAGCGGCCTCGGGATCGGCAAAGGGGTTGGGAGGCGGGGCGGCGAACTGCTGCGAGGGGTCGGCCTTGGAGGCGCCGGCGGGGGCTCGTAGACGGGAGGCGGGGCGACGGGGTACATTTGGTACTGGGGGCGGGGCCTGGTAGGGATAGTAGCCGGCTTGGGGGTAGGCGTAGCGCGGGTCGAGGCGGGCGCGTTCGGGGCTTCTGACGAACCACTGGACGGGAGGGGGAGCTGTGTTAGCGGATTTTTGATGTTCTTGGCAGCAGAGAGCATAGCGTCGTGTGAAGATGTGGCTCTTCACCAAGGCGCCGTGCTAAAACTGTAGATACACGAAAAGGAAAAGGAAGAGGAAAAGGGAAAGGAGAAGGGGAGGAGACGTACGCGGTGGTAGTAGAGAGGGGAGACCCTTCTTCACGCGGGACTTGGCGTGGATGTAGCCGATGAGCATGTAGGAGCAGATGAGGAAGAGGAGGCCGAAGAAGATGGACCACTTGACGATGTAGCCCTGGCGCGAGTACCACCAGGGGCGGGCGACGCCGTCATCGTCAATGACCCAGCCTTTGGGGAGGGTATCGGAGTCGGAGGCATCTTGCCGGCGGTTGAGGGGTTCGACGAACTCCATGGGGGCCGATTCTATGTGTTGCGGGGATCTTTGTTGGTTGGTGGTTTTTGGGGGTTGTTTGTTTGTCCCGTTCGCTTCAGCCCGGCGACGGTGTTGCTTGATTCGCGACTCGCTGCGATGATGCAAGGGTGCAGTTGTGCTTTCGTTTACAAATCTGAAAGATGGATATCGACTGTATCGGCGTCGGTTCAAATAGAGGCAAGAAAAAGGGGTATCTCCAGGAAACAATATTAAAAAGAAATTCTTAGAGCAAGTTTGAAAATGAAGGCGAAAGTAGGATGTCGATCAAGTGGAACGGGGAAAAGGAGGAGGAGGAGGATGGTGATGATGAGGAAGCGAAAGCAAATAATGAAAAGGGAAACAAGTTGGGTTGGGATAGGACAAGGCCGGGAGCAACCCGGTGGTGGTGGGTGGGTTGCTTGGCGATCGTGAGACGTAGCATGGAGTGTTTCACCTGAGGCCGGAGCCGCGTGTGCCTTTTTCGTCTCTCACCTTTGGTGGGGTTGTCGCAGGGGGCAAGCAGCACTTCGCCCGGGAGGCCGCCGTTCCCGAGGGGCTATGCGTGTGGTGAGGGCGCTTGGTACGATGACGAGACACGATCGAGAATAAACTTTTCTCTGGTTGGGTGATTGTTTCACACTAATTTATCTATTTATTTATTTATTTCTATTTTCTAGTTCCTTGATGAGGCGTCACGACGATGATTGCGAGAAGCCCAACGAGGCAAGGGAGCTTTTGCGTTGCATCTTTTAAATCCTGCGAGCGGCAGCGTTGCTACTGTTCGTTCTTGGCGGGACGAACAAGTTGATATCATACACTACTCTTTCCTGGAGAATCGCCATCTCTCAATTCGCAGGTCGTTTCTCTTTGCAACTTTACAGTGTCTCTTGATGTTTTATTTCTGTCCCGATCGATGCCGATATTCATGGATTCCTACATGATAAAATATATCTGGTGATATGAGGTGTTTGCTGGAAACCAAGGAAGGAGCAATGGTTGAAGTAGTGTACATGTCTTGTTTTGCTTCAAAGTTGTGCTCAATGCTCGTCCAATTCAAACATGACATGTGAGAAAAAGTTGGGCTGTAATTTTCTTTGGCTCTCCACCGTATCATCACCCCTCGTTGTTGACCGACTGCGCATTCCCACCCCGCAACACCCGACGACGGCCGAGACATTTCGGAAACATGAAAGATCAAAGAGTAGCGAAAGAGTAGGAAATAGAACAGGAGAAAACCCCATCACTTCATGATGCAAGCAAAGTGGGCCAAGTTACGCTACCTCGCCCCCTAAACCTCCTATCCTCCGACACCAACGAACGCTACCCCCTTTCTTAGAGAAAGAAAGAGAGAGAGAGAGAGGGCAACCCCTCCCCCACTTACAATGGACACTCCCGCGTCCAAGCGCCGCCGGGTCGATGCCGCGAACGCGACTCTCCGCCGTCCCTTTCGTTCCCTCTTATTCGGCGGGGCGGCTCTGCTGCTCCTGCCGGGCCTGGCGATGCGTCGCCGGCCAACGTCGAGCAGCCCAGCTCCGTGGGAAATGCTGTTCCTGGCAGTTCGCGACGGCAGCCTCAGCCGCAAACGCCGCCGCCCACGAGACCAATGGCGAGACCAATGGCGAGACAATTCGCAGCCAGGGAGCAAGCGGAACCCGCGTTTGCGTGGAAGCGCGAGCGAGCCCGGCTCGAGGAAGAGAACCGCGTTCTCGAGGCGCGGATCGCGAAACTTGGCGATAGCGGGGAAAGGGCCCAGGAGACGGCGCCTGAGGAGTCCCCGCGCTCTGTTCCGGCCAAGGGGAGGAGGCTCCCGGCGAGCTTGACGGCTTGATCGAGAAGTGGCGGTCGGCGGCCCAGCAGGCGGCCGATGAGCTCTTTGAGTCTTCCAAGGCGCGAGTTCAAAGGTGTGTATTGCGAACAATTCACCTTTGTAGTCAATTTTCTTGGGGAGGTCCCTCTGCGCTGGAACAAAGAAATATATGTACTATATATATAAGTATACTTACACTCACCAACCTAGCATGGGCGGCCTCGGGGGCATAAAAAACGAAGAGCCGAATACGCGAGTTTGGAACACGACTTCGAGACATCGCTCTCCTCCATGAGCTCCCGGGGTCGGGACCGCGACCCGCAGAGGAGCGGGACTTCGACGACAGCCTGTCACCTGCGCCGGAATCGCCGACCCGGCTCGAGGCGGAGCAGTTCCAACAAGGCCGGGAGGAGGACGGGGATGGGGACAGGGACGAGGGGACGACGACAAGGTGCGTTTACTGGTTAACCGTGGCTGAACAATGCCGTATCTAGTTGGCTTTTTCTCATTCCGCCATCTAAGAGGGGAAAACCCGCGATCTGGATGCTAACGTCGATATTTTTGGTTAGGAATTCACCATGGGTGTCATGTTGCGGAGTCTCAACATCGACCTGAGCGTCATTGGGTATGATGCGGTGCATGAAGCGTGGAGATGATGAACGATATAAAATGGGCCTATCGTACCACGCATGCCTTTCTTTGCCACCATCGTCTCACGGCGGCTGGGAAATCAGATAGATGTAAGAGATCCCCGTCATGAAGGCTCGTCTTCCCAACGCTTGGCTGAAAACCTCTCCCAAAGTCACGGTTGCTGCTGCACGGAGAGAGATCATCATGCATAAGTGTGAACACGGTCTTGGTATTTAATGGATCTCATGAAAGATTTCATACGCCTAATTGCGCCTAGAACGAGCGAGAGGGACCACTAACTTGTGTTGGCGGCCAAAACCGCTCACCCCACTCCACGTACTCAAACGTGTGAGACAAGAAAGAAAAGAAGGGAAAAAGGAAAACCTTAAAAGATCAGGCCCGATAAGAGTACCATATGACGAAGAAAGAAAGAAAGAAAAAAAAACCACCCGCCCCAAAACACCATTTGAACCTCCAAGTTGCCCGTGGGCTCATATTGCCTTTTGTGCGTCCCCTGCCATTGACTCCTAAAGCCGCCGCCCTGTGAGGAAGGACAAAGTCCAGAGTCGACTTCGACTACTTTCGCATCCTCAGGGGTATATCCGTGTAAAAATTTAGTGTAGCGTGTATTGTACCATATATCATAAGAACGCCGAGCTGCCCAACGAGGTGTGGTGCGCTGACCGAGACCTCCCGATTTGTAGCTCTTCCCTTGCCATGCTATAGACAAAGAGAAAGTCATGTTGTGTGCTTGTTATGCGCCTGTGCTTGTCATGTAATCGACAGGCACCCAATGGTGCTCTCTCGTGTGCCGATTCTTTTTCTCATCTACCCCTTTCAACTAGGAGAGATCCATGACATCATCGTCGGTATTGCCATAGTTAGACGACGCTGCAGGAGTCGAAGGCGTTGAATCCGTATAGCCCGAGCTGTTGCGCCGCTGCCTTTCGCGGGCACGCTGCCTCGCCTCAACAATGGCCTTGCGTACGTTATCATGCTCAGGCGCGATGGTCAAGGAGGCGGGCACATTATAGAGGACTAGCTGCATGTCTTCGAGATTGTGGCCGGCCAGCTGGCCGTCTGGGTTGGCGCGAACAACGGGGGATGCGGTTGGCTCGAAGGGCCTTTTCTATGTCGGGAAGAAAGATGAGCCTGCCCTCTTCGGCTTCGCTCTCGGAGGAAGAGAGCTCGTCGTCAATGTTGTAGATGTACACCTTGTGCTTGGAGTCGTCCATTTGCATGTGCTCTCCCGTGCACCTCGAGCCTTGATCATCGAGGCCATGGCCATGGCCAGCGCCTAGTGGCTGGTTGTACGGTGGCAGAGAATGCGCCGCCTGGTTCGCCGAGGTATCGTCTTCTACCGTTGCATAAAGCCTCTTGAGGTTCGGCCCTGCGCGGTCACCTGTGTTAGCAATGGGTCTAGTGAGCTGACGGGAGTGAGCGCCCTCTGAGCGCAGTGCACTAGGCAGTGGTGGCACCATACCGATGTTCAAACGACCCAGTCGCTTTGATAACCTCTCGTTGTCTTGCGGGTCTGCTTTCCGCTTCCGATTTGAACGGGCCTGCGGGTCGTAGGAGGAGGTGGGGCGGTGATCGTAATTGTTGGGGAAGGAACCCTGTAATGAGAGCATTTTGAGGGTTGTGACGGCGACGTTCTCTTTCTCTTTCTCTATGTGCTATGTGCTTGCGTATATTATGCCTCTGCTTCTTCTTCTTCTTCCTCCTACTCCCCAGCTCTCAATCACCGTTTGACGAGCGTCGGGATACTCGGTAGTAATTTGGAGGAGGGGTTGAGGGTTGAGGGGGGCCGAGTGTCTTCTCGGCAGGGGTGTAAAGTGACGAACAGCGCAACGTTGGGGTCGAGGGGACACGCAGCCGAGTGGGCGAGCAAAGGGACAGGCTACGAGAGAGGGTGTCTGAATTCGACGGATTGGTAGGGACGTGGCATAAGATTGAAACCAAAATCTAGAGAGCGGACGTCTTGGTATCTCGTCTGCAAGGAGCGGCAGTGTATTATATGGAAGGGAAAAAAGAGGTGGAAGAAGGTGGAGTGCGACGGGCGAGAAACGGAGATGACGACTTGAGCAGACTCGAATTCCCCAGTGGCAGCTCGCCGACCAGCGCTCTTCGGTGTAGTGTAAGTGGGGGAACTGAGGTACCGTACACTATGGACCGAACGAGAAAAAAAGCACAGTTCTGTGGAAGGCACGGGCACAGTGTCGGCGATACAGGGCGATTCTAGGAAACTCTGTGTGATTCGATGGCATTCCCGAAGGCAAAAGTAGAGGGTACCCCGTTTTCTACTGAATGTCGTGCCGATTGCGCCGTACCATTCCAGGTCGCTCAGTTGCAGACGCATGCAAAGGCTAGTCCCTTCCCCATCTAATTCCTCAGCCAGATTATTCCAAGATCAATAATACTTCGTACCTCTTGGCCATCTCTGTCCAATCTTTTGTTCCCCTGGGCCGTAGTTAGTGGCACTAGTACTTTGTAGGTCTGGACCTCCTCGGCGATTGGTATCCGAGGGGGAAGCTGTTGATTCGATGCCTCTAATACCTCGCTGCCTCTACTTGTATGCGTGCGCATGACGGCTGCTCGAGTCCCGATTCGGAGCACGGTCGCAAGAGAATGGGGCGTGGAATTTCTTCGAACGCGCTGTGGCATTTCCCCGCTTCCGTTGAAGCGGAGCTGATGCTGCACCAGCGGTCGAGCTCCAAGTCCCCAACCTTCCACAGCATTCTGCCCCCATCAATTCTTGTCTATATTCTGAAATGAGGATCGGACAAAGGAGACCCTAGTATCATGACGTTGGTGGACATGGGATATAGTCTATCTTTGGGAAAGTCCATGTCTTGTGATTTTGAGATCTAGAGATCTAGCTCCAGCTTAGCCTAGCCTAGCTCACACGGCGTGAAATGTTGGGCTTGTTGGACCTGATCTAGTTGAGCTTCCTGCTTGAGTCTGTCTTAGTGCTGTGACTCGCCAATTGGTGATGCTCGTCGATTTATTTGATCAATTGAGACGAAAGGAGGGAGACGGAAAAAGCTTGATCGGGTTAACCTCGGGAGAGACCTGCGCCTCGCCAATCGATGAGTGAGCTTGCTGGCTCGTCCTCTTGAGCTTGACAAGCTCACCAGGTCCCAGGGTTATCTACGCCACGGCGCGCGACTTGCTCTCCCTCGTAATCAATCCGAGCAGCACTCACATAATACTCGCCTCACGAATCTCCCAGAGCTTCGCCTTCCTCGGACCCCCGTCTCCGGTTCTCCTGGTTGCGCTCCTTCACGACGTCTACAGCTGCCACTAGATAGCACAGTGTCCAGGAGAAGAGGGAAAAAATGTATGCCTTGACTCGATAGAGAGCTAGCCATAGCCATGACTGCGCTACGGCGACTGCTGCATCAGCATCGCCAGAGAGCGGGCTCCGGTTCAAAATCCAGCAGCTCAGGCAAGGACCGTCACACCAAACCCAGCACCAGAAGAACCCTCGCGCGCGGGAGCTGCAGTCGCGACAATGCGTGTTGCAGCAAAGGCGGCAGCTGTCGCTCTCTGCCTCAGCTTTCCGCCATTACCCGTGCGAGACCGGTAATTCGCTGGCAGCTGTTATCGCCCCGACGTTGACTCATCGGCCTATCGGTGCGTCCGTCTCCCACGCTCTTGTACAAGATGGAGCCCCTCATCGCTGCCCCACCAAGACCGTCGCCGCCACCACCGTCGCTGCACGAAACAACCCAGCGATTGCCGCCGCGATAACTTCTTTTTCCCTCCTAGAGATCGCCGCCTCGAGAAGCAATCCTCTTTCCAACTCCCGGCGCGCTCGTCACTTGTCCTCCTCGACCCGACGCCATCTCCCGCAACGTCCCTTTCTCGTTTCCGCACGCACATTCTCGACCACTCTGCCCACCATGGCTGATAAGTGGACTGGCGAAACCGTCCGCAAGACTTTCCACGATTTCTTCGCGGAGCGGGGCCATTCTATCGGTACGTCTGAGAACCATTCCCCTTTTTTTACCTTTTACACTGTTTCTTTTATTTCTCTGGGTTCATGCTATGGAAGGCTCGTTTCACTACTTCCTGTGGCCTATCTTCAATTCTTTTCGGACCGTTGGTCTGCATGCTTGGTCGCAGGGCCGACATGAGCCCTCCGTGCCTCTGATATCACGAATAAGCCTGTGAACTTTCGGGGCGGTTTTTTTTTTTCGGCGCTCGACTTACACCTCGCCGCCACCATGAATTCTCTCAAAAACCATGTTTTTCTCAAGTGCCCCTGCTAATAGCTCTTGCCTCTCTACTAGTTCCTTCTTCCTCCGTTGTCCCGCACAATGATCCTACCCTCCTCTTCACCAATGCTGGCATGAACCAGTTCAAGCCCATCTTCCTGGGCACAATCAACAAGACCGATGATATGGCGAGCTTGAAGCGCGCCGCTGATACCCAAAAGGTATGCTATCAGCACGATAAAACTCTTCCAACAGCTTGGCCTTCTCACCCTGCCATGATCGCATTGTCCAGTTTCGCTAACTTATTCAACTTGTCTCTTGATAATAGTGTATCCGCGCCGGAGGAAAGCACAACGTATGTCAATAATCGAACACCATGACCGCCTATATCTCTATAGGATTGGGACTAACCTTGCATAGGATCTTGACGATGTCGGCAAGGACAGCTATCATCATGTGCGTGTGATCCACCTTTCAATCCTTAATACTCTCCGGTTCTAATGCGAATGAAAAAATACAGACCTTCTTCGAGATGTTGGGCAACTGGTCTTTTGGCGACTACTTCAAAAGGAAGCCATTGAGATGGCTTGGGAGCTTCTAACCAAGGTTTACGGCCTTGATCCTAGCCGCCTCTACGTCACTTACTTCGAGGGCAGCGAGGCCCTAGGCCTTGAGCCCGACGAGGAGGCGAAACAGCTTTGGCGGTCTGTTGGTGTTCCAGACGATCACATTCTTCCCGGAGACGTCAAGGATAACTTCTGGGAGATGGGTGACCAGGGTCCCTGCGGCCCCTGCAGCGAGATCCACTACGACAAGGTCGGCGGCGGCCGGAACGCCGCCCACCTCGTCAACCAGGACGACCCTCTCGTTGTCGAGGTTTGGAACATCGTCTTCATGCAGTTCGATCGCCAGGCCGATAAGAGCCTCAAGTCTCTCCCCGCCAAGCACATCGATACCGGCATGGGTTTCGAGCGCCTCGTTTCCGCTCTTCAGGACAAGATCTCCAACTACGCTACCGATGTTTTTACCCCTCTCTTCGACCAAATACAACAAGTCACTGGCGCCAGGCCCTATACCGACAAATACGGCAAGGATGACGCCGATGGTGTCGACACCGCCTACCGCGTCGTTGCCGACCACATCCGCCTTCTCACTTTTTCCATCGCCGATGGTGCGGTACCTAACAATGATGGCCGTGGCTATGTAGTCCGCCGAGTCCTCCGCCGAGGTGCCCGATATGCCAGGAAATACTTCAACACTGAGATTGGGGCCTTCTTTTCCAAGATCCTCCCCGCTCTTGTCAAGCAGATGGGAGAGCAGTTCCCTGAGATTGTCAAGAAGCAGCAAGACATTGCGGAGATCCTCGATGAGGAGGAGGTTGCCTTTGCCCGAGCTCTTGATCGCGGCGAAGTTCAATTCGAAAAGTATGCCAAGGAGGCCCTCGTAAGGGACGACAAGAAGCTTGACGGCGCTCTCGTTTGGCTTTTGTATGAGACCTTTGGCTTCCCCGTCGATCTCACACAGTTGATGGCCGAGGAAAAGGGCCTCAAGATTGACAACGCTGAGGTGGAGGTTGCCCGAGAAAAGGCCAGGGAAGCTAGCAAGTCGGTCAAGGATGCCGTTCAGACTTTCAGCAAGCTGAATGTCCACCAGATTGCCGAGCTCGAGAAGGATTTGGGAGTTGAGAGGACCCTGGACGATGCCAAGTTCAAGAAGGATGAGATCACCGGCAAGGTTCAAATCATCTTTGACGGCCAGGGCTTTATCAAATCCACCAAGGATCTTCCTAACAATACCCCCATCGGCATTCTCTTGGACCAAACCAACTTTTACGCCGAGTCTGGTGGTCAGGTTGCGGACACGGGTCGCCTCGTCATTGACGGCTCTGCCGAGTTCAAGGTTCTCGATGTCCAGGCCTACGGCGGATACATTGTGCACAACGGTTATCTTGAGTACGGCCAGCTCTCCGCTGGAGATGATGTCATCTGTGACTATGACGAGCTCCGCAGGTCTCCTATCCGTAACAACCACACTGGTACTCATGTTCTCAACCACTCTCTGAGGGATGTTCTTGGAGCGGATGTCCACCAGAAGGGCTCCCTTGTCGATGCAGACAAACTCCGCTTTGACTTCTCCCACAAGACTGGTGTCACCCTTCCTGAGCTCAAGAAGATTGAGGAGCTGTCCAACGAGACCATCAAAGAGGACCTCAAGATCTACGCCAAGGACCTTGACCTCGATGTCGCTCGTTCGATCGAGGGCTGCCGTGCCGTCTTTGGCGAGACATACCCTAACCCTGTCCGCCTTGTCTCCGTCGGCGCTGATATTGATGAGATGGTGGCTGACCCCAAGAACCCCAAGTGGCGCAAGTACAGCGTTGAGCTTTGCGGCGGCACCCACGTCGAGAAGACGGGCGCGATCAAGAACTTTATCATCGTTGAGGAGTCGGGCATTGCCAAGGGCATCCGCCGAATCATTGTGTACACGGGCGACGCCGCACGCGAGTGCCAGCGCCTTGCGGACGACTTCTCTCAGCGCTTGGACTCCCTCGAGAAGATGACCAACGGCCCCGAGAAGGAGCATGCTGTCAAGACCACGGGCGTCGACCTCTCTCAGCTCACCATCTCCACCCTCACCAAGGATGATCTCAAGAAGCGGTTCGACAAGATTTCGCAGGCTGTGCTCGCCGAGCAGAAGAAGCGCCAAAAGGCCGAGTCCAAGACCGCCATGGACGCCGTCCAGGACCACTTCAAGAAGGACGAGGAGGCTAAGTGGTTCGTTGGCCGTCTTCCCATCTCGGCTAACGCCAAGGCCATTGCCGATGTGGTCAACTTTTACAAAACCAAGGACAAGGAGAGGTCCGTCTATCTCTTTGGCGGTAGCAATGAAGAGGGCGCCGTCTGTCACGCCGTCTATGTTGGCACTGTAAGTCTTTTATCCCCCATCCTATCCCGTACACATTGCTCTATATCTCTCCGTAGAATGGATTAGGATGATGCTTCGCTTTCTCATCGACATACTGACTCGAGTGATTCTAGCATCTCGCTTCCAAGGGCGTCACCGCCGAGGGTTGGGCGACTAGCGTCACGGAGGTTATTGGTGGACGTGCCGGCGGCAAAGAGCCGACCCGGCAAGGACAGGGCACGAAGCCCGAGGCGATCGAAGACGCCGTCTCCACTGCTGCCCAGTGGCTCGAGGAGAAGCTCAAGCTGTAAAATCCTTTTTAATATCTTGTCATGTTTTCTCCCATAGTTTACAGATCCCGGCGAGAGCTGGAAGGGCCGGCTGCGCTCGTCGCGGGTCAAATTTAGAGTATTAGGAATGAGGCTTCGGAGGGAAAATAAAAAGAACCAAACGGTTGTAATCTCTGCATCTCCATTCTTTTTTATGTGCTTGGACGAAAGACGGCTATGGTAACGTCGGCTACCAAGAGCCTTTCGGAACAAGGGAGGCAGGAGAGCCATCAACTAGCTTCCAAGGAGGTGCGCACAATGTGAATCATCAAGAATATAGTAAAGAATTGGGTATATTCTATGTCACTAATAGAGTAGAAATTATGTGCAGTTCCACCCAACGGGCATTTGGCCTCTTTTTTTCCATCCCTGCGACCCGTTCATCTATTCCCTTTGTTGTTTTAGTAGTACAGACATGGAGGCAAAGCAGACAAAAAGCAACTAATCACACAAAAGGGGACGGTTCCTGCAACCCGCTCTCGGTTCGACTTGGTCGGCCTCGCGCGGTGTCGTATTCTCGAGTGAGGGCTCGGCTCGGCCCCTCGCCTCTTCTCTTTTCTATTGATCTCCTTCTGTCTTTGTTCTACAGCGTGAACATGACGCTGGCATTTTGGTAATACGTCAGGAGGGGTTTTCCCCGGTGCGGGTCTCGGTGTCCTCGACAAAGGCCCAGCGGCGCATGTACTCCTCGTGAGAGAGAACACGTGTAAGCTTGCCGGTGATGGCACGGTACATGGATTCCATCATTTGGAAGTCGGTGGGGAACAAGATGTCAAAGTATCCCTGGTGAACCTAGTGTTTGGGGGTTTCCCGCGTTAGTTGACGGCTTTAATCTCTCGACAACCAAGGACGATGTGGGACATTCGATGGGAGGGTGGGTGAGGCAGAACGAGAAGTATTAGGGAAGAATCTTACCAAAGGTGTCCCGACGGGAATCATCCTCCGCTCGAATCGAGTTTGTACGACGGGAGCGTTGAGGCCCTTGATGGCCTGGGGAAGGGAGTGGAAGTCGGAGGAGAGGAGCCTGTGGGCGGGGAAGTATCTCTCTAGTACGTCAAAGAACTGCAAGAGCCTCGTGGGGATGAACTCTGGGTCGGAGAGGTTGCCCGCCATGGGGAGACGCTTCTGGAGCCTCCGGAGAGCGGGATGAGAGGGGTAGGGGCGGGGGTACCGGCCGCCGGTGGCAGCATCGCGCACGCGGAAGAAGCGGGCGGCGACGGGGTCGAGCTCTGGGGTGTAGAACTCGTAAAACTCGCCCTCCGAGTCGATGAGGACGACGGCCTGCAACGGGGTCTCTGTCTCGAGGTCGTAGCGGATGGCGTCGTGGGGGAAGTTGTCCCAGACCTCCATGGCGAGGAAGAAGCAGGGGGACGGCACGCTCTCGTTCCAGTCAAAGATGGACTTGTTGATGATTTCCACCTTGTCGCCGTGGTCGCCGGCGAGGTTCTTCTTCTGCAGCTGGGCGAGGTTGGACGAGATTTCGATGACGCGGTACTTTGTGCGGGCGTAGACTTGGGGGTCCATGTCGCGGATGTAGTCGAGGATGTTGAGCATGAGGGTGCCGCGGCCGGCGCCCATCTCGTAGATGATGAGGTCGTGGTAGGGGTACGAAGTGAGGTGGTAGTTGGCGACTAGGTAGCGAGCAATGGACTCGCCGTAGTAAGGGCGGAACAGCTCGGTCGGGGTGTGCCAGAGCTGGCGGGTCGGGTTGGGGCCCTCGGCCTCGTCGAGCTGGTCCTCGAACTCGGTGTAGCGCCGCGAGAGGTCGGAGAAGAACTCGATGTTGTCGCGCATGGCGGAGAAGTTGAAAGGCTCGCCGGGGCTGAAGATGACGGCTTCCTTGGAAAAGTAGCCGTAGTGCGGGTTATACAAGCTGTCTATCGTCGGTTACCAAAAAAGAGGGTAACAGGTCAGCAAACGCGATTCGCGCGCGGGGAAGTCACCGGGGAGGGGCGGAGGATTGCCATTCCCTAGAGCTCGACTTACCCTCTACAAAATCTCGGAGCAGCATCTTGACCCGCCTCGGCCTCTGCTTGTGCGACCGCAAGTCGTTGGCCGTCACCATCGGAAACGTTTCAAACTCGGACATGCGATCCGCGGGGAGCAAGTCGCTCCTTTGCTGCCACCGCCCGTCGTTCCCCTGGCTGCCTTTACCGCCCGCCGCAATCGACGCCGGCGTCCTCCGCGAGGACATGTGCCGGCGGCAAGGGCTGAGATGTTGCCGCTGGTTCGTCGCGGTGCACCACGCCGACCCGCCTGCGCCGGCTACAGGTCGGTTCGCCCTCGTGAGCGATCGCCTTGTGACCTGACACGCCGGTTGGCGAAATAATTGGCGGATGAGGCCGGCCATGATTGGAGAGTCCATTCCTCCTGGTTCATGGGGTCATAATACGGGAAGGGGAAGGGGTGGCAAGGGGAGAAAGCTCGTGGAATATCTAGGCGATGTTGACTTTTTCCTTTGCTTCATTGGGAGTTTGAGAGCAATGCCCGTTTGGTGTAGCTTCAGCCACATGGAAACCGCAGGTCCGCTCAATGTGCTTAGTAAGCTACTCCCAAGCACTTTGCTCCACGGACGTTGACTTGGGCTCCACTTGTCAATTGGAGTGCGTTCCTAGAAGAAACAATTTTTTGGGCGAAATGTCCAATGTGAAAGACGTCATACGTCAATTGAATGAGAGCTGTCCCTGACTAATAAGCTCTATGCTCCCTCTCTCTCTCACTCACACACACTTCTCCGTGAAGGCGAAGCTTCCCTTTACAACCTTTCTTGAAACCTTTGATACCCTTGGCCCTGTTTTGTTATAATCCTTGTTTCTTTCTTTGTATAATAGACTTGCCATGGTGAGAAAACCGGGTCCGGGCGATAAAGCGTGAACATGTCCCTCCGAGACCATCCCAAGGCCTACGGCAGCGCCGTCACCGTCGCCTTCGTCGCCGGTATCCTCGTGACCCTCGGCTTCAAGGACCTATACCCAGACCTCGAAGCACGGTACCAGCAGCGCCGCCGCCGCGAGCGCCGCAACACGACGAGCTCCCTCCGCCAAGAGTCCGACCCCGCCGCGACAGCATCTTTTTCTTCGGCGGCGGCGGCGGCGGGCCGGTCACGCTACAAGACCACGAGGCCGTCGAGGTCGACATATCCGCCGTCGTCGACGGCCTCGAAGGCTGCATCGGAAACACGCCCCTCGTGCGCATCAAGAGCCTATGCGACGCCACGGGCCGCGAGATATTTGCAAAAGCCGAGTTCCTCAACGGCGCCGGCGGCAGCCAAGGACCGCGTCGCGCTCAACATGATCCAGGTCGCCGAGCAAAGGGCCTCTTGGTCCCCGGGCGCGGCGACACCATTTACGAGGGCACGGTAGGGAGCACGGGCATCTCGCTGGCCACCCTCGCGCGGGCCAAGGGCTACCGGGCCCACATCTGCATGCCCGACGACATGAGCCGCGAGAAGTCGGACCTGCTCGTGCACCTCGGCGCCGAGGTCGAGCGCGTCCCCGTTACCCCCATCACCTCCCCGGCCACTTTGTCAACCTCGCCAAGACCCGCGCCCGGGAGCACGCCGCCGTCCACGCCGACGGGAGCGTGGGCTTCTTCGCCGACCAGTTCGAGTCCGAGGCCAACTACACCGCCCACGTCAAGACCACCGGGCCCGAGATCTTTTCCCAGACCGGCGGCGACATCGACGCCTTTGTCGCCGGGGCTGGCACGGGCGGCACCATCTCCGGCGTGGCCAAGTATCTCAAGGAGGAGATGAAGCTCCCCGGTGTCAAGATCATCCTCGCCGATCCCCAGGGCAGCGGCCTCTACAACAAGATACGCCACGGCGTCATGTACTCCTCCACGGAGCGGGAGCACCCGAAGGCGCCAGCAGGTGGATACCATGGTTGAGGGCATTGGCATCAACCGCATCACTCACAACTTCGAGGCCGGCCGCGAGCTCATCGACGACGCCGTCCGGGTCACCGACGACCAGGCGTCGCGCATGGCCCGCTGGCTCGTTGAAAAGGATGGCATCTTTGTCGGCAGCAGCAGCGCCGTCAACTGCGTTGCCGCCGCCGTCGCCGCCATGACCCTCCCTCGGGAAGCAGGGTGGTTACATTACTTTGCGATTCCGGCACGAGACATCTTAGCAAATTCTGGAAGCATATTGCGGAAATGGGGTTGGAAAAGGGCGATGATAAAGGAGAGGATTTGTTTTCTGCCTTGGGGATATCTGTACCATCAGAAGCGTGATAAAAGCGTGAAAAGGAAAAGAGAAAAGAGAGAAAAATTTCGAAAAAGAAAGAAAGGCTCTGTGTTGTCGTCGCCGTAGGAAGCGGTGAGCAACAACGAACGACGACTGCCGCACCAGGCCCCCGCTCCCTTTGAGCCGTTGGGCTTTGTATCTACGTAATAGAGAAACTAATTGTATTTGGCCCGGGCTTAGCCAAAGCGATCCCATGGGCGAGCAGGCGCCATCGCCATCGCCATCACTCATCGTTCCATTGCTATTCCTGGAAGCCAAGGGTGTCTCCGAGTCTGAACACTACTATTCCCCGAGCCGCTTGGGTCCGGGGTACCATACCCCTGCCGGAACTCCTCGCAGTAAAATTCATCGGAGGATGTGAAAAATAAAAAAGATAAATGACAATAAAATGAATAGAAAGAAGAGGAAAAAGAAGAAAATGATATCTATCCAGTAACGCTGACATGCTGCAAGCGTAAATCCAGGGCGTATCCCCACCCTCACTCGCCAAAGCTTCAAAATGCGTCCACCTCACTACGATCAATCAAGATGAAAGCGGTCGAGGATAGCGAGAAGAACCAAAACAGCGAGAGGAACAAGCGAGGGGGCTGTGGAGGAAGCATCTGGAAAGGCTCGGGGCGCAGCTTGCCTAGCGGCCATATGGACGTTGCACTGTTTAGGAAAACTAGACGGGCAGTTAGCACCTCGGTTTTGGTAAAGGCTGGCGCGGATGAAAAAAAAAAGGGAGAAGGGCAAAGGGGAACAGGGAGGACAATGAATCGTAGCTCACCTTCCACCTGTTACCGCAAATAGTACATTCGCAAAGGTCGTCATCGGCTCATCAGCGCTTCGCGTCTGCGCCTGGCTGTACGACACCTTTTTCTCGCCGCATCGCGCGCACTTGAACTCGGAGCTCACACTCTTCTCTGCCATGGGCACTTGTGCCTTCTTCATGTTCTCCTTCTCGTACAGCTCGTTCGTCTTGCGCTGCTCGGCAGACAGTAGCTCGGCATCGCTCAGCTTCACAAACCTGTCGGGAGGAATGTCGCCCGCCATGACGCGCTGACCGAGCTCCGCGTTGGTCTTATTCTTCAGGTTCTGGAAGAGAGAGCGGATCTTCTTGGGGTACTCCTTGTGCTTCTCATCGCCTCCAAACATGCGGAACGCGGCGTCTTCGACCGCGACAGCCTTGGCGAGCACAACATCCTGGTGATCGGTCGACCTATAGGCCAGGCCGTTGTACATAAGCTTAATGCAGTTGTTGCGCGTGTCCGACTTGGTCCGGTTCGTGTCCACCTTGTCCGTCTCAGCGCGTCGCTTTTCGGGGTCGCCCTGGTACGTCTTGGATGCGCCGCTCGAGGAGGCCGCCGCTGGAGCTGGGGCGGGGGCGGAGGAGGAGGAAGCGCCGGCAGAGACTGGCGAGCCGCTGGACGCGGGGGTGCCAGACTTGGCCAGCTTGGCTTTGGAGGCCTTCTCCTGCTCAACGAGCTTCCGCCATTTGGAGACGAGCTGGGTCGCAGCGGTGGCAATCTCCTTGTTCTGATGAGACCGTAGCTTGCCGACGAGGACACCGGCCCTAGTAGCCTATACGCGCGACAAGCGGTTAGTTAGGCCGACATGGAGACGAGCAGCCGCGATCGGCATGACCCAATCATTGTGGGCCCCCGTGCCTGCGGGGATGTCAGACCCTGACATGTGTCACATACCCTTAGCATTTCTTCAGTTGGGTTCGCATCGTCCTTTAGCGTCTTGAGCAGAGACAGGGCATTTGAAGCTGGTTCATTCGCCGAGATGGATTTGTTCAACGCCTTCACCCTCGCCTCGAGCTCTCGTTGGTCCATCATATTGTCAAGTATAATTTCCGAAATGCGCGCCAGTGGGGAACACTGCGGGACGATGATCGGGATTCGGGGCGTGTCGCTCAGTCCGGGGAGGAGGGGGTTGCCGGAGGATCGGGGGTCACGCGAGAACAGGCTGCGTTTGGGTGGCCGGGGGTGTGGGAAATAGAGCTTTTGGCCAACGACCCGAGCAGCTTCGTATCTGAGAGCCTGAACTCTGGTATGTTAAAGCTGCAAGTGTAGCGACTGGGCGATTACGGCGTTGAGGCGTGCGTGCGTGAGGGAGAGGAAGCGAAAAGACCCCGAGCGCCTTTTTTTTGGGCTAGGAACTTTTATTGCTAGGGCAGGAAGCACTGAATCGCCAATTCAATCGACGTGGAAGGTGGTCTCGAGGCAGGCTCGGTGACCAGCTTCAAGCCACACTTGAGCCACAGTCGTCCGCCTCGTTTTGGCGGGGTCTTGTGGCACTTCTAGAATAACACGTGACCCTCAGGCTACAGCGCTCTTCCCTGAAAGCCCAGCCCCGTTAGGCGATCGACAGTATGAAGCAACGGCCTGGTTTCATTTGAAGCTACCAGTTTGGAGATACTAATCCACTATCCGTAGATCAGGTTAACCAGAAGTAATGAATTTATGGCCTATCTGGTATACTCAAATAGGTACAACCACGTTGGATCAGCGGCTTTTTTCTCTCCCTGTTCCTTTGGCTGGTTGTCTTGGCCCCTCATCTGCCATCAAGCCAGGGTTGGTTGCAGACAGGCAGCCTCGAGGTGGAACAAAAAGATATTGATCAATTGCAACACCGCTTGCCCCACAGATAAGCCGCGGTCGCCGTGCTTTCTAGATCGCCATCACTAGCCATGAAGAGCGTAGAAATGCGGAGGAGAAAGGATACATCACGGACAAGAAAATGAAGTATCTAGTACAAGACTCGTGATCTTCAACAAGTCGCTCTACTTGCATGCCTCATTCAACGTCAATTTCGGATGTGAATCACAAGAAGAAATGGCAGAGCTCTAGAACACCCTAAATGTCTTTGGCGAGAAGGGGGTGTTTCTGGCCTTGTCCCACACGCCCCTCTCCCCTGGTCATCCTGTCCGCGGGCTCGCCTCATCGTGCTCGAGCCGAGAGGCGTTGTCGCGGGAGAGACTGCGATTGGAACCGCGAGAGGATATTACACGCCGAGACCACAACAGAAGCAGGAGCGCAGAATGCATTCCCCTCCCTTCTATCATTTTCCTTGCGGTGCTTGGACTCGTGGACGCAACGAGATTGAGAAATATGCTGCACAGCCATCTAAGGGATAGCTCCGCGATCCAAGGCGCTAGTTTCCAATCATCTGCTTCAAAACCAAAGTGTACGCGGGAGTGAGATTTGATCTACAGCCGACCTCATCGTGGAATACCGGGGTGTTCGGCTCATGTGGATATCGCAAACGTTTCCTGGTGAGTTTGGCGGAAAGACTAAGGCAGGTAAGATTGGTGATTTGGCGGTGGTCCAATCACTGTCTCCAGCGTGGTGGTTCATGCTGACGCCAATGGTAGTACGGTCGTCAGCGGGCGCGCCAATAAGCGCAGGCCGTTACACCAGCAAAAGAAGGACAGCAAGCCGAAGCGGAAAAACGGCGCAGGCCACATCCAATTCGCCAGTGCCGGAGAAGACAGGGAGTGGCCCTCTTGCGTGATGCTGAACCACCAGGCTGCAGCGGCATCGCCTGAGCGGACACACACACACACACACACCCCCTTCAGTTGAATGATGTGTCGCGGCGATGGAGGATGCATCCGGGAAGCACTTTCAAGGGCCGTCGCAGCCAAGGACTTGAAGAAATTCAAGCATGGTTCACGCTCGTCCTCCCCTATCCCAACGCCCACGCCCTCCCCATTCGACACAACTCCATGCAGCTTCCGCGCGGGGAGGGGAGGGGAGGAGGAGAGGGGAGGACGGCCGGTCTGCGGGTATCAATTGACACACACGCACCGCTCTGATGACGAGGAACTTATTAATAAACACCGCAACAGCTCGTACGACCACAAGGCTCCTGTCACGCTGGTGTTGACCCTAGCACCCCCTTCTCAGCACACCTTTTGCTAGCTGTGGCCCGTTCCCGCCTCTTGTCTTCCAGTTGCATCCGCTTCGGTCGCGGGGCCTGGATAGGGCCTGTTGTATCGGTTGGCTATGCCGGTAGGACAGCCACCTATTCGCAGAATTTCGCTTCATGCATGAAGCGAACACGACCACAATGTCGCAGACGGGAGCCGACATGGCCTGGGATAATACAAGGACGCGCTCTCTTTGTTTTGTTCCTCCCTTCCCTCTTTTGGTAGCTCTCCCTGACTGCCGACACCCCAAAAGGTTGTCCTGCCACTGTTGTGGTAACATTCCCGCTGCAGGTGGGATTGTGCCACAACTATTGGACTATTCTTGGTTCTTCCCTTTATTGACCTGTAATCACATCCACGCTTCTGCATTACTCCCGTATAAGCCCGTTCAAAGCTCGGTACTATACAGCAGAAACTATACATCATCGCCAAAGAGCGGTGATGGTACGTGCCACTCCTCCTCCCCCTTCCTAGCTTTCTTCCTCTTTCCCCTATTCCCCGGGTTCTCGACCGTGTTTAGACTCTCTTTGCTTGAGTTGCCGCCTACAAGGTATATTCTTTGTGCAACAGACGAGACGGGCCGAGACTCGATGAATGGGTCGACGATGCCGCCCTCCTTCTTTGGAATCGTATCTTCATTGGCGTGTATTACGAGACAACTCTTGCGTTGCTAGAACTCCGACAAGCTAATTTTTGACCTCTACGGATCACCTACACGGCCTACCATTGGCAAGTAATTGAACCGCTATATGTTACTCCCATAATATGGGTTACCCCGTGAGCCTTGAAGTTGTTGTGGAAGAGCGTAATGCGACCACATTCCACGCTCTCTAGTTCCTCCTGTCTCTTTACTGGTCGATGGTTATGGGTCTGCGACTCTGCAAGTGCTTCCTTTTTCAAATTGCGCGCCTGCAGGTCTTTGTTTCTTGTCCATTGACGCGACGGAGTGGAATCACGCCTGATAGTCTTGACAATACACAACCGCGCCTCTCTAGCCGACATGTAGGAGAGTCCAAAAGTCCCCCTCAAATCTCTAGCTAGAAATTGGTCTCTATCTCTATACAAAAGCTATCTTGACTCATAAACCGAGGTAGTCATAAGAAGCTGAAGTTTGGAACGATCCTGAGGCTTGTCATCATGCAATGTAGTTACTGCCCTTGGTAGGAGATCTTATTCGGCCCTGTCGCTCGTGCCTCGTGGCGGAGCAAGGGGCGCACCGAAATACACCTGTGATTCCACATTCTACTGGATAGGTAGATTGAACCACAGGCTTTAACCAATATCACGATTGCGTCACCGAGGGGCTCACGAGGGACCAAGTCAGAGGTCGGCAAGGTGAGGCGCGCCTCGTGATTTCGACCCAAGCACCGATGACTTGAAGGATCCCCGCCGTCATCGCCATGCCTGTAGGCAGATTACGGGGGTCAGAGTTTCGCAACCAAACCTCCGGGACCCTGTAAGGAACTTCTGATAACTTACTGAGCACGCCTCATCTAGGCACCTTGTGGGGTGCTCTGTCAAAATAGCTCCAATACGACAGTGCGCGCCTCTCCTCATTCGGTGTGATGTGTCTGATCTCCCGGGTGAAGCCGGTGCCACCTCCGATGCTCTTCTTATTTTTCTAGAAAAGATCTAGACGAGCTGACATGAAGGCAAGGCGGGGAGGATGTGTTCCTCGAACATCAAACCTCGACCTATTCAGCTCAACTAAATTGGCTGTTGGGCTTCCCTCTTCTTGTACGCTCTTCAATCCTTGCCTTTGATTCTTATTTCTTACACATAGGAAAGGGCTGGGCTATTAGCACAGGTGCTTAAACAACGAGTAGAGTACAAGGGAGATAGCTATCGACCCGACCTCGGGGTTCCCCGCGCAATGAGAGTGGGGACCGGTTTCTAGAAGGTGATGAAACGAGGCTCCAGAGAATCAATCATCAGGCGTCAAGGGGAGCCGAAGCGGTAAACAATGAGTGAAAAAAAAAAAAAAAGAGTCGGATCAAGCCTCATAGTCATCTACCGCGAGAAATGAGAGGAGCTAAGTCCAGGAGGGTCCGGGCAAGGCTACACCTCTGCGCCTCCTTCCGGGCGGGCGGACGGGATGATAGCCCATGGTGGCGGGGTAAATTTATTCTTGTCCCAGGACAAAAATAACCACCGCTCAATAAGAGATCTAAATCAAGGAGGCGGCGTGTTCCCTACGAGACTGGGGAGTTAAAGCCCACAACTCGTGTGTAATGGTTCCCCATATTGACTTCTATATTACTCATTTGGCCCCATCCTTCTGCCCGCAATCCATAATTCCCGTTTTTTGTGGCTTTCGTTCCCGAAACAAGAAAAGCGAGGGCACGGATGTGGATGGGAGGCGCACACACGCGGTGGGTGTGATGAGATTGAATCAAATGAGACCATGGGCTCATGAGCACGGAGAATTAGGGCCGGAAGGGCGGTCCTGGGGGTGCTCTGGTCACACTCTTCTTTCCCTGTGGGCCTCTGCTCAGAGCGGAGGAACTCCTCTAACAGCTCTAAATGCGAGCGAGGCGGACCAGGCGAACCAAGGGGACTCTTCCTAATCGAATTGAACCTTCCCACATGGAGCGAAGAGACCGAATCGAGGATCAAGGTCCAAATTGGGAGAAAGTCTAGGCAGAAGGGGATTCGAACTGGGCTGTTTGTCACGAAGAAATGTGTACAGCTTGAGCAGGGTTCTGTAGTCTTTGGAGAGGACCGCACTCGGTGTAACTCGTACTGATAATCGCCTGAAGCTTCATGCCGTAGCGGGACGTCAAACACTGCAAGTTTTGTTCAGCAAGGGTCTAGCAAAATCAAAATTCAGGGAGGCACTTCATGGAAGAAACCTGTCAAGCGCAGGCGGCTGGCCGAAGGGTCCACTATAGGTAGCTGGAGAACGCTCCGTAGAGACTTGGGGGTAAGATTTTTAGCGACGGATGGGGAGATATGTCTAGTGAAAACGGAGATGCAGGTTTCAGCAAGAGTAGAGCATTCGGAGGATCAGCACGGCGCAGCGGATAGAGATCAATGAGATTGATTTAGATGACTAGTGGAGCGTTCGAAGAGAATTGGCATGGGGAGGCCATGGCATTAACTCGTAAAAAAAAAAAAAAAAAAAAAAGCTTCTCTTTGTCCCCCTTTGTTCCTTCCTTCCTATGAAGGGCTCCATCAAAGAGCGTATGAGTTGTGAGTCGGCTGGGGCCACCTTTTCCCCGTCGTACTAAGCCGAGGGGGCAGTCAGACAGCGCAAGCCGCACTTGAAGCTAGTTCCCAGCTCTTCACTATCTTGCAAGTGGCCTACCCATCCAAGGAGGGAGGGGGATTGTAGGCCTAGCTTAAGTACCCATCAAAGTGATACGAGATAGGTCAATATCATCACGTCCGGACTTCCGCTTTCAGTACTCGAACCGAGGAAATCTAGTGGTGTAATCGAAGGGCCCTTCGATGGGGGAAAACGGAGAGCACTAGCTGTGATGTAAGAATGCAACACTAGCCAAGCCCATCGTGTTCGCGATCAATTGATAAGCGTTAAGTGCCTCAACGGCGAGGTAACCGAAAACAGGATGGTGAGAGATATTGAAGAAGGAACATGGGGGCAAGGTGCGCTCGACTAGCAAGGGTGTTTTGTCGATCACAGAAGAATTTGAAGCCTGCGGGCTTAACGTCTGTCACTGTGGATGGGATAGAGGACACCAACGCTAATTCTGGAAGCTCGAACTGCTCTCTCCGTCCGGCGCTAGCAACCTAGCGCAACAAACGTCAATGTTCCGAGCTGATTCGCCAATGCATCGATGGATGATTTGGACCAAGACCCGTGGGGTAGATCAATTTGATCCACCCTTCCAGTTGAGTGCTCCCCTTCTGTCACTTTCCGCTCGCTAGCCATTGTGTATTAGTGCGAAGGTTGACGGAATGGATCCATTGAATCCATTGATCAGTGCACAAAACCCCGCTGGCTTCGTTGACATGGGGTGGTCGGGAGAGAGGCAAAGACCCCTACGACCCAGCCGGGGAGCTCGCTCCCATCTCCGCGCCGATTTCTCGAAATTACAAAGCCCCAAGTATTGTCTCTTTTGCCCGTTTGGCCCTGAGGCAGACAGAGACAGGCAAGGGGAAGTCGGATCAGCGGCCACTGCTTGAATCCTCCCGTCCGCTCCCCTTTCCCGCTTTGTCTCCTTGCCCCCGGCCTGGCCATCCCGCCCGCCCAAGGCAAACCAGGCATCCTGGAAGAATTACTCGAAGACCCCCTGCTTGCCGAACGAGCCAGGGGCTACCATGACTCGTGGGCACACGCGCAGCTTCATTTCTCAGCTCAACCGACATCAATTGAACAAACCTGCTGGATTGAATTGACCACGCCCTTCAGCGAATTAGGTGGGCACACAACCCTGAACTTCAAAAGCGCGAGGTCTAGAACGAAGGGAAGGGGGTTAGACCCTGGGGACACGGGGGCACTGGGAGAGCAGAGCATCAACTGATACTGGTCCCCTGGGCTACATGCACCCTCCCTCATCATCTTAAAATTACACTCACCTGCGACACAGATGAGCCCAAATGAGGTCCTTCGAGTCGCTTGCCGGGAATAACGCTCTCGAAACATTTCGGGCTTCTTTGATGGCTGACCAGAGCCTAGCGTCCATCAACCTTTTCGGACAAGCTAAAGCCAATCTCTCAACGGCGCCCCTCGCTCACCCGCCTGCTTTAGTGCCTGTCTGAACTTGTCTGGACTGGCGCGAACCCCCACTTCGTGGCCCTTCCTCTTCCCCGGGCGCGATGTACCCTTCTTGGCCCTCAACAGACAGGGGATCACCGGCTTCCCGAAGCCGGTACGGCGCCAATTTATCACGTGTGGACGAAAGGTCCAGTCCCCGTGAAGCTGAAGACCTAGAGAGAGTGAACTGAACTGGCAAAACTGGCAGGGGGCCCAGAATGATAGGGTGCTGCTCATGTTTTCTCCCAGGCGTTTTTCACGGGCCGGGCGGTGATCCCCACCGGCTGACTGTATCCTAATAATCCTTCCGTCAGGGAATTGAAGAAGGGCTGGGACTCGAAGAAACCGCTCTATATTGAATGCCGTACGCCAGGCTTTGTGGCACCAACCATGGGCTTTCCAACGGGAAACGGGATGGCTCGGCCTTCTAGAGATGCTGTTTTGCTTGTCGGCTTCTATTGAGGCGGCCAACTTCGGTGCAAGCTTGACTTAGGGCAGACTCGCATTCACGTTGTCCCGCTCCTTCCCTCTAGTCCTCGTTCATGCCTTGAGCGAGGCTGGCTCATCTCAGTGCTCCCTTCCGTTGATTCAATCAATGGTACTATAATAAGGGCCTTCCATATCAAGGCACACAAATGTACCTGTTCCAGCTTCGATGGTTGCAACACAGTCATTGGAATGGATCAATTACACTTCCCGTCCGTGGCCAGATCAACTCGGAGGAGATGTGCGATCCCGAGCGCTCCAGCCCCATTATGATGCGTATGGTATCTTTTGATGCCTCTTGATGGAACGTTGACATCCTTTCATTTGTTTCCATTTCCTCATCCCGAAAGCGAGTGCGGCACCTCATGATGCCCCGTGATGCCCCGTCACGCCGAGACGATTGGGGTGGGAGTGTGGCTGAGGAGGTGAAAATGCCCCTGATCCATCCCACCGGTATCCAATCTGAGAGGCTCGCGCCGTGGTGACTCAGGGTTGGTCCTCGGGAGCAATTAACAGTTTTGTTGGTTTAGGTTCTGACCATGTATTATCCATAGATGGATGCTGATCTGGCACTCGCTAATACAGGATTTTCACGCACCGTGGCTCTTCTTCAATTGATCAACGATGTACCAAGTAGGCATCAGCTGCCAACATGACAATCACCCGCGCTGGAAAAGAAAAAGAAAAAGAAACAAAGAAAAAGAAAAAGAAAAAGAAAAAAAGAAAAGAAAAGCACCCGTGTCACAGATTGTTCATGCGCGAGTTTTGGTCCCTCTTACCTAGTTCCGCGCTTGGTGTCACCCTAAAGAGCGTTCGGCCAACGAGGAATGGAGACACCTCCCCCACGCGCCTATCCCACCTTCCGCTGGTGGGTGGCCAAACCCCGACCGGCCGCAGAAACGGTCTGGCAGTGGTTTTTCCACTCCCACCTCACCTGCAACGTCAACGCCGATGCCGAAATATGACCTTGCCATTTTGCGACAAGAGCAGGTGGACAAAAAAGAATAAAGAGGAAAAAGGAGGCAATTTTCTTTAGGGCTCCTCTCACTAGGAAAAACGAAGCGAAATAGTGCCTGCTCTTTCGCTCCCTCCCTCAAGTCTACATGGAACTTGAGCCAAGAAGAAAAGTGGGTGTTGTAAACCAAAAGGGGTGGGGATTTTGGCCACCCCCTCCCCGGAAATTGTAACAAAGAGACCTTTCTCCTATACTTGGCAGAAAAACCTCGCTCAATCTTTCCGTCGCTAGCCAATCGTGGTTAGAAGGCATTTGGAAAGAAGAAAGACTTGATCAATTCTTATGTGATATCATGTTTTTTTTTTGAGGGCGTGTTTGCCTACGCTGCGCCCCTCTTGCGACTTATTCGCTAAGGCGCTGGTGCACAAGAACCACGAGCCGGGTGTGGCAATGACATTAGATGGCACCCACTTGGCGAGGGCAGCGGAATGCAACACTCGGGCTTCGTGACTCCCTCTCACTGACGTTCGACTCTCGATGGAACGTTGTGGGAGCGTGAATCGAGCGCGAGCCTCAATTGAAGCAAAGTTCTGCCTAGCCTCACGTTATCTGACTCATGTACTTCTTTTCTTGAACTTCCTTTTCGAGAGGTACGCTTTTTTCGTCACAGATCAATGGGAGAGAGCATGGAGACTGCGTGTAAGATGGAGAATGATAGTATGGATAGAATTGATGGATGCAAACTTTAGTCATTTCTGGTTCCCTGGGGACCTAAGCAAAACGTCTCTAAAGCGCCTAAACAGCAACCCCGCAAAAAAACAAACAGAATCCACATCGAGACTAGATTTGATGCGTAGCCCTGAGCAAACGAAATGTTCCACCTGGTATACCAATTCATGTACTGGGGCCGTCTAAGAAGTTGGCAAGAGAACAATACCAAAAACCGCCCGAAATAATCCCAATCTGAGCCCGCAACTCCAATGTACCTTGCCTTTCCCATAAAGAAAGAAGAAAAAAAGAAGAAAAAGAAAGAGTGAAGAAGGAATCAAAAGCAGCCAAAAGAAGAGAGAGAGTGGCTGTTGAATAGAGAAAAAAAGAAAGAAAAAAGAAAAAAAAAAGCAGGAGGATGAAGAAGAAGAAGAAGTGGAAGAAACTCCAGATTCGGCCAAACCCGACCCATCAGTAGTACCCTAACAAGGATGTTGAGAGTAATACTGATTGATTGGATTTACGGGATGTTGGAGCCCGGCCGTCGTCTGTAGTCCACCCATGCTTGGCTGGTAGGCAGTGCTGCTCTCTTCTGTCACCGTATTGCTAGTATCTACCGCGGTGCGGTCGTCGACTTGCCGATACAGCTCCTCCCGTTGTGCATCCGTCATTTCCGTCGTAAAGGAGTGCATTGGCTGCTGCTGACGACGGACCTCGAACTCGATCCTGCCCGAGGCACCTCTGCCGCCGCGCTCTTTCGCCGGTCGGCGTCGAGAGCGGGCTTTGGTGTCCGGGTTCAGCCAAAGATCCTCGAGGCCCATCTCTACGAGCTTGCACTCAATGTTGTTGGCGTTGAAGCCAAGGTTTGCCCCGCCCCCGCGCTCGTTGAACTTGCCCGCTATTCGCTGGTACCTCTCCTTCTCGTCTTCGAAGTAGAGCTCTCGCAGTAGATCTTCCTGCCAAGCGACGTACAGGTTAGATAAGATCTTTGCGCCACAAGCCATCTTCAAGGAGACGGGGACCTCTCGCTTACATCTTTGGCAGGCCAAATCACCCATCGTTGTTTCGCCCGCGTAAGCTTCATCTGCAGAGCCGCCTTTTCGGGCTTCTTGCCGAAGCGTGCCGCAAAGGCGTCTCCGATCTGGTCCCACATGGTCTTCCCCTTGGTGTCCTTGAACTTCATTCTCAGTTCCAAGAGATAGCGCTCCTCTTCTGGGATCTCCGGCTTGAACTGCATCTGGTCGCTGGGCTCCAGGCGCTCTGGACGCGCGGCGGGTCTCGCCTTTGGCTTGCTGGCCTTTTTCTGGACCTTGCCCTCGGCGATTTTGCTGCGAGGAGGCTTTGGGCTATTGGCTGGCATCGGGTAGACGGGGGTGCGTAGGGGACTGCGTAGGGTCCGGGCCCAGCGCGGGGGTTGGCGGCAGAGGGTGATGGTGATGGGGGTTCTGCGGCGAGTGAAGAGGTAGAGGGGAGTGAAGCATAGAAGGTCCATGGACCGAGATCTGAGGATGAGAGTGCCGCTCCATCATCTGGGGGTGGATGCCAATGCCAGGGTAAAAGTCCTCGTCTGTCTGGATCCGGCTTTCCGAGACGCCAAAATGGCCAAAGTATGGGGCGGGAGGCTCGGGAATTTCGTCTTGGCCGGGATCGCCCGTCACGTACGCCATGTTGAAATGTCCTTGCTCTTCTGTGCTCTCCTGGGGGCCGGTGGGCATAGGGGAGCCGGACTGGCTAGTGGTTGTGCTCACGTCAAACGTGGAAGCCCAATACATCTGCGTGGTTGCCGGGGGCGTGGGCTGCTGGTGACCCGAGCCGGTAGGGGATGCGGTGTAGTGCTGGGCCAGCTTCGCCGTGTGTTGCATAGGAGGCGAGCTCGCGGAGGAGATGGGCGTGAGGAGGTTGGGCTCGCAGGAAGCCGGGTAGGCAAAGGGGGAGACCTGGGGTGGAGTAAGCACCGACTGTCGGCGTTGATAATAAGAATTGCGCAGAAGCGCGAGCGTAGCCTCTTCACTTACGGCAGTCGTATAAGGGTTGTCGGAGTAGTTCGCGGGGCACACCTGCTGGGCCGGTGGCCGGGAACAGTCCAATGCTGGGGACCTTAGCCCGTGACAGTCCTGACGTGCGCTCACGGGTGTTATGTAGGTCTGGTTTGTCATGACGGAGATCAAGGTCGACTAGGAAGACAAGAAACGCGACGGTGGTGTGAGCGCCGGAAGTCTCGAGGATGAGAGAAGGGCTAGGTCAGGAAATGCGGGAGATGGGTTGGTGTATATATAGAGATTTGTTCATATGGGGACGGGCGGGAATGAGTGCAGGGGATGTGCCGCAATGTTGGCTCTAAGTTGGCTCAAGCCCAGATTGAATGAGCCGAGAGGATATCAGACAAGGAGCTGGGGGATGATCGAAGAAGAAAGGCTGGAGGGGAGAGGGGGTGTAGAAGTAGAAGAAGAAGAAGGCGAAGAAGAAGACTTGAAAAGGCCTCGATGTTGGGAGATAATCCTCAATAACGGGAATCTGGAACTCGAGGCGGATGGAGCCGGGACTTATACGTAGTCGACCAGGGACCAAAGAAGAAGTAGGCAAGAATGGATCAATATGGATGGGTTGGAGGCAGGCCAGCCTTTGGGTTACAGCTCCGGATCATTGAAGTGAAGGTGTAAAAAAGCCCTATACAAGTTAAATGGGGTTGGGGGTATTAGAGTTAAGTACGTCCTATTAGTGACGGCCGATTTTCAGGAAGAGGCGCATCCATTGAGGACAGGGGCGTCCCTAGGCACCCCTCCTCCAGGGAGGGTGCGTGAACAAAACGACCACGATCTTAAAGACCGAGAGCGAGTGCGGCAGCAAGATCGTTTGAGCGTGGACGAGGGAGGGGCCTGACTGCCTGCTTGACAGCTCCTCGAGAGCGAAGACGAGAAACAGGGACCCTTGGGGATTGGGGGAGTACACGGGTACCAGCCTAAGGCGTGGACTCGATAGGTGTACGCCGAGGGCTGGCTATCCTGTATGCTTCCTTGTCGTTCGCGAGCATGAGAGAGAAGAACCTGGGGCCGCTAGTACTTTGCATTGCATAGGAGGAACGTCTGGTGGAGCCAGGCGTCCAGGGAAGAAAGACAGGTACTAAGTTACAGCCTCGGTATAAGTGAAAGTACACGCTCAAGGTACCTCTTGAGTTGCAAAGTACTCGGGCCCAAGTCTTGCGACCTCGCGCGGCCTCAGAGGCGCAAAAGCATCTGGAAGTTAAGCGCCGGCCTTGCCTGTCAAACTCAGTGATGGTGGCCCATTGTCCATGTTGTGCGTCCGACGGGGAGCAACGGGACTGGAGAGCTGGTGCTTCAAGAGCTACAGTGAGAGAGAGGCGGATCTTGGGTCGCAGACTCGTACTGATGGGGGATAAAGGAAGGGCATATGCGGGCAAAGCTATAACAAACCCCGAAGGGCGACGAACGTGACATGACCCAACCTATAATGGCTTAGGGGCCTTTCCCCTTCTGCGTTCGTTCAGTTAGGAAGAAAAGGGAAAGAAAAGCCAATTCCACCTTCGACACGAGGCGGAGGGGGGGGATGAGAATCTTGAAAAATGAGAAAAGAAAAAGAAGAAGAAAAGAAAAAAAAAAAAAGAAAAAGAAAGTAAGAGAAGAGTAATACGTTGAACTGAATGGGGTTACAGGGTTGGCTTGGGAAGGTGGGGAGGAGAAAACCCTCATTTTGCGCACCTCCCTCGTCTCATGGACCCGAAGAGAGGTTGTTCAATGAGAGGGGTCTACGTAGCAGCTCAGGCGGGTCACGGCCGGGGTGTGGCAGGACTTCGAGCCGGGTGCTAGGATCAGGTCTCGAAGGAAGGTACTGAGAGGTACGTACAGATCCACCCCTTGTGTTTGTGTCCCCCAACTGATCCTCTCTCCCGGGAATAAAAAAGAAGAGGAAAAAGGGAAAAAGGGAAGAAAGGAAAGTACAAAGTTCGTGATGGCCGTATGGTAGGGGAACATGACGCGATGGCCGTTTGACGTACTCTAGTTCTGGGATAGTACGACGGGAAAAGGTAGAAAGTACGACTCTGGTTTTGGTATTTTCTCTAGAGCTTCTGGCCGACCTGCTCTTGCCTTGCCCATCCGCAAAAGGTCACCCGCCCATGGGCGCACAAAAATCAGCTCTAGCGCGTTTCTGGTGCGGGTCGTTCTTTGTTCTGGACGAGCACTTGAGGTCCTCGCCTTTCTTCTTGCCTTGTTTCTGTGCTGGAGCCTGTGGCTTGGCCACCATCCCCCGATAGCATCGTGGCAGTCTCGGGCCGGGATGTTCTTGTCCTTTCATGAATCCACTCTCAAAAGGGCAGATCTTTGGCTTTGCGATCATGGCCGCCTCGCGCAAGGCATCCTCGAGTCGTTGGTTCAAGGGAAAAGAATATGATGGACAATCAATAATTGAACAGTTAATGACCAGAATTAAAATCACGGAATAGCTTTCTCCTCACGTCCCATCCCCTTCATGTCGTTGGCGTAGAAAGAGAAATGGTGGAGTGCGCCGAGAAATTGCGTACCCATTCCCCATGCTGTCAAGGAACACTACATGTGGCAACCCAGATCGGAGGACGCCCTCTTCCTCGAGGAAATCTGGCAGGTGGCACCGAGAAACTCCAGTCATTCATCTGTGTTGGTATGACAGGGCCTCACAATCGCGAATGGAAGCAATTTGAACCCAGGAATAGAATCGGAGGCGCAATGAGGACCTCAGGCGCAGGAATTACCGCGACCACCACCGGCTGCTGACTATCTCCAGAAGAACTCCCGCGCTTGTATAACGTCCCTTCATATCGTGGCTGATCTCGAAGGCATGACGCTCGTATCACTCCCAAACTGGATGAGTTGATGACGGCAGAGCGGACAAGTCAGAGAGTGCGCGCGCGGTCAACGCGCTATTAACGAGGACTGAGGGGAAGTAACGTGCCTGTCTGCTCAAAGTATTCAGACTTTTGTGCCTGAAAGCAGTGGGCATCTCCTCCAGTTGAGTCAAGTGGGTACCTTGCAAGGGTGCAGGTGGATCCTAGTTACACCTACCTTCCATCTCGCTTGTGTAACCGTATTTCACACTGTCTTGTCCGCCTCGCCCTTTGTTTAAGCTACACACAAACGCGTCAAATCAAATATTGAACAGAGAGTGTCCAGGCATTCATCGGTTGATTTGAACTCTGAACTGATGGGGAAAGGGGGCGTTGACATCAATTGCTACCGGGGAGTGAGGATTTTATGTATCGTCAATTCGTGGATCCGCGAGACGGCGGAATTTCTCCGGTCCCTTGGACTCTTTTTCAGCTCATTCGTCGGTGTTTGAGAAAGAAAAGCAAGGTCAAAAGCTGAAGACGGCGCGCTGACGGGTGCGTTGCCTGTTTTGTTTCTTGGCTGTTCTCTTGTTTTTTTTTTCTTTCTTTCTTTCTTTCTTTCTTTCTTTCTTTCTTTTTTTCGTTTTACGTCCTTGCTGCAATGTGTGAGATGGTGGGTGTTCTCCTGACGGTCGCGGCGTGGCGTTCGACATGGGGGCAGAACAATCCCGCATCATCCCCTGACCTCCCTCCATAACACATCGCCCTTCCCGAAGCTAACAATCAGACTACACGAAAGTGCCGAATTGCAAGGTTGCAAAAAGAACATTGAAGATGATGTGAAGAAAATCACGTTTCTCCAAGGAACCTCAATTCAAGTGACGAAATCATCTAATAGGGAGGGGCTGGATGATGCTGTTAGGGGCTAAACGAGGGGCACAATTATTGTTGCTGGGGCTTGGACACGGCAGCAGCTGCCATCATCACTGTGGCGTCGCCTTGTACCGAGACCCTCAAACCCCTCCTCCCTCCAGAGGAGTCATAATCAGAAGACCCCTCAGGTCTCGATGGGATTTGAAGTCGTTTAGCGCACCTTGTGGGGCTGGCGCCCCCTCCCCGGATCAGTTCATCTTTTTCTGCGAATGCTTGATGTGGATCTATCACCGTCTACCCTCCTCTTTCCGCCATCCTCCGCCTTACTCCATGACGCAATGATTATTCAAATAGCCATGATGACATGGGGAGACCCTCTAGTCCCGGCGCGGATTTCTCGGATGCTTGCGACTGCAGAGCTTATCGGCTTATGGCTTCTCGATTTATGGAGTGTTTTCTGTATTGAGTCACATCAGAAGGACCTCGCGTTGTACAGGTTAGGGAGGGGCGGATAAGATGCTGTACTACACCATCGACTGCGTAGACACTGATCTGTGTGGAAGACTTCCTTAAAAATTCTGTAGTTTTAGGCAGCTCGGCTCAGGGAAAGCAACTCTGACCGATTTCCGCACATATGGGTCTGAGATCCGGTAGGCGGGCACACCTCGCCGCATTTCTAGGATCCACCCATTGATTCCACGTCGAGTCGAGAATCAGCACTGGCGAACACCCATCACAGTTTATTCGCTGGTTTGCCCTGGCTGCCTTTGTTGTGGAGCCGACCCCGACGCTGATCAACGAGATACCTTGCAGCTAATCGTTGACGTCCCCAGAAGGGAAGGGAAGCTCGCATCACCAGACAACGAAGCGGGCTTGGCTCGTGAGCAGCAGGAGGCTAAGCCAAGCCCGGAGCCGACGCAAGCCAGGATTTTAGAATTAGCAGGCTCGATAGCGATGCATGGATCTCTGGATGGATCCATTGACCCTTGAGATCACGGAGCATCTCGGAAAAGGCCCCTGCCTCGCCGTTGCCTTCAAACGAGAAAGCACGGGCGGGAGCGTTGACACACTCTGGAGAAGTCGAACGGTGTTGAGGGCATGGGGACGGTTCTGACCCTCTCAAGGTCCGTCTGAAGACCCCCCATGAGAAATTTGGGATGAGTTCAGACATGGGGCCCCTGCTGGACGTGGCATGGCTCGACATTTGATTTGATCGGGGAGATGCACTGGCTTGCTGGACCGCGGTTTTGGTGGGGGTGGCAGGGGCGCGATCCAAACCTGGCATCAACTCTTTCCCTCCAAAGATTTCAGTCATCCACGACATAGCAAAACGTTGGATATTCACCCAAAAGAAGAGCTGCCATATCAATCCCCATTTTCCCCTCCTCAGATCATAATGAAGCCGCAACTCCAAGAGAGTAAACCTGGTGGTAGGAGAGGAAGGGGCGCGGATTGATACCGGCCAGA